AAATACCTAAAACTTATTAATCTTAATATATATAATATATATTAGTAGTATATTTTTTAAAAAGTAAAAGGAGTATACTTTATATTTATCTATTAACTAGAGGTATTATATAACTTATTAACTATAGCTTAAACTAAGGAACCTAATAAAAAGAATATTAAAGCTTTAAATATATAACTTTAATAGTAAATTAATAACTTTATATAAGGTCTTATATATATCCCTTTTAATTTCTATTATATAAAAATATATATTTTTATAAATAAATTATTTATAAATAACTTAGATCTATTATTATAACTTAGATTTATTATTATATTAGCTAAAAAAATAGCTTATATAATAATAGACTTTTAAATTAAAAGAAATATTATATACTAGAGTTTAATAAAGTATAAAAGAGTTATATAAAGTATACTTATAAGTAAGTTATATAAGATAACTATAGGATTTAATAATAAGATATCCCTTAGTATAATACTTACTAAGATCCTTTATATATTATAACTCCTAAGGATTCTAGTTATTATCTATTTAAACTTATAATCTTTATATAAGTACCTTATATAACTAAGTATAATAAATAAAAAGAGGCTTATAATTAATATTATAAGTCTATATAAGTTATATATAAAAAAAAAGATTTTAAAAATAAAATAAATTAATAAAAAGAATAACCCTATTAATGCCTTTACTAAGAAATTACTAAACTTAGTACTTAAATAATTAATTATAATAAATATATTAAAGATTTAAATTAAAGTATATATTAAAAGATTAAAAGAAAATATTTAATAATTAATTTATATAACTTTATTATTATATATTATTAATTATTTAAAAATAAAGTATAACTTTAAGAAGATATTTAATATACTTAACTATTACTAATTCTAATCTTAATATTAAATTATACTTTTATTATATTTATAACTTTTTTAAATTACTATATTATATAATTTATTTAATTATTATATAAAATTTTAGGGAAAAAAAGTTATATAATTACTTTTTATTAATAACTATAAGGCTAGTAGAAGTACTAAGAAAATAACTACTTTTACTGATGTTCTTGCTAAGCTTACTACTAAGCGTATAAGGTTTATAAGTATTAGTAATATTAAAAGCTTTATAGTTATTAGGGCTATTATTATTATTATTATTATTATTATTACCTAGGTTATTAGATAAATTAATATCTTGATTGTAGTAGGTGTAGTAAACGCTATATAACTACTAGATGCACTTAGCGTAGACATTACCCTGAAAGGTAGGAATATAAGTGCACTAGTAGAAGCACAGGGAGTTAGTAGTTACGCATTTATTGCCATAGGTAATAGCTATATAACCATAAGACTAAACTAAGACTATAAAAAAATAGCCTTAGTAGTAGATAATGCTGGTAATAAACTATTAGATAGAAGTGTTACTAGTGATATAGATCTTAATATTATGTAATAGTATGTTGATAATAAGATGCTTTTTATTTTATAGTTAAGGTTAATATATAAAAATAAAATAAAAACAAAAGTAATATATATTAATAGCTAAAGCTAATAAAAAAGTATAATTATTAGTATTACTAGTTAAAAAATAAAGCTAATAATTACTAGATATATTAGTATATATATTAATATTATTAAAGATTAAACTACTAAGGGTAATAAAAGATATAATAAATTAATTATATAAGGTATTATTAATAAATTAGTAAAAGAAAATATATAAGAGGAAATCTTATATATAAGTAGTTATTATTAAAGTTAATTAAAAAAAAAATTTTTATTATTAATTAATTATATAAAAAAATAATATATATAAAAGGTAAAAAAAAAAAAAAAAATTAAATAAATAAAAAAGGTTTTAAATACTTAAAGTTATTATATAAAAAAAAGAAGATATATTAATAATAAAAATAAAAGTAAAGTTAATAAAAAAAAAAGAACTTTATTAATATATAACTTACTTATTTAACTAAGTAAAAAAAGAATAAATAGTTACTTAGAGTTTTAATATTAGTAATTTATTATATAACATAAATAGCTTAACTTATAAGGTTATATAATAAAGTTATTAATGTTATAATTAGTATAACTTAATTAGATACTATAAGAAGTTATATAGTTATAAAAAAAAAAGTTATAAGTATTAGAATAATAGTATTAGCTAGTTATATAATATATATAACTTAAGGACATATATTATAGTAGAGGGTATAGACTAGATATTTAGCTCTTAGTTAACTATTAAGGGGATTAAAAGTATATTTATACTAAATTAACTTAGGGATATATAAGATCATATATCTTGTATATAAAAGCTAAGTCTTATAGTTAGGAAGATAATTACGGAAAATATATCTTTGGTTCACCTTAACTTTAACCCGAGTACAATCGTACAAACGGGTTCTCTTAGGAAGAGAGAATCCATTCAACAATTATGGATATTAGTGGAAGTTATGACGTGGACAAACTTTTTAAAGGCATTAATACTCCTTTTAGCCTAAAGGAGAGCCTTATTAGCCTTAGTAATAGAGATAATAATAGAGCTAATGATGTGGCCTTTTTGAGTAATAAGAATAATAGCTTTAACGATAATGGAGATAGTGACTCTGACTAGGAGGACAGTGATAATAAGTTTATCCAGATGGTTAACACTTTTACCCTTGTTTATAGCAAAGCTAATAAAAGTCACTACTATAGCAAGGCTAGTAATTACTATTGTTCCCTTAAGGATACCATCTTTGCCTTTAATAGAGAGATGGCTGTTGCTCTTAATAATAAGCTTTGTAAAGAGGTATTTGTTATTTTTAATAAGTTCTTTAAGAAAAAATCTAAGTAAAAGAATAATAATACCTTATTTATTATAAATAATATTATTTATAGTATTAAGGAAGCCTATTAAAGAGCCTAAGATACTAAGATAACTAATATATTAAGTTAATTAATAAAGCTATTATTTTATATATAGGTTCTAGTAGTATATATGTTATATAAGAATAAATATCTTGTTAAGTTTATTAGTAGATACTTTACTAAACTATAGAAGTTAAGCTTAGCGTAAATTAAGGATACTAGATTTATTAGTAGAACTACTAGTAATATACTTATTATTAAGATACTTCTCTAATAAAAAGAAGAAGTTATTACCTAGCAAAATAAGATTAAAACTAAATTTAAGGACCTTACTATAACCTATAATAAGGCTATTAATTAGCTTTATATTAAGATTAAGGCTAAAAGAAATAGTAATATTACTTAAAACAATATAATTAACTAGTTATATAGTAAACTTATTACTAAAGTTTATTATAAGGTTTTAATTTTTACTAAGCTTATTATAAAATTTAAAAAGTTTAATATAATATTTAATAAGCTTAATATTATTAATTATAAAACTAATGTAATAATAGATAAGCTTTTAATTTAAGAGAATTAAAATAGTTATATTATTAACTTTATTAACTCTTATAATAAGGCTACTACTAAGAGCAATAAGTTAAGTAGAAATATAACTAGTAGTTATAGTAATAGTAACTTTTGTTTACTTAATGTTAAACCTTATGCCTTTAGTACTAAGAGTATTATTAAAGCCTAGAAGGCTACTAACCCTTATACTAAAGTTACTAAAAAACATAATACTCTTAGTGTTATAACTAGTATCTCTACTAAGAAGACGTATATTAATAAGGGTAAGGGAACAAATAGGCTATTAGGGGATATAGATTTATGAGGAATAGTGAAGGAAATAGGAGATATAATAGATTATATAGGAAGGCTAATACTAAGTAAAGTCTAGGACTTATAATCTTTATTAGAATTTATAGTATTAAGGCTATAATAATAAATAGAGGATAAAAATAAATTTATTAATAAGATTAGTAAAAAAAAAAGTAAAAATAATAATATTTTAGTTAAACTATGTAGATAATAACCTTATAAGATATTACTAGTATAGCAATATCTTAAGGCAAGGAGGGTATATATTACCCTTGCTGATAGACATAAGAGGTCTACTACTATATAAGGTAAACCTCCTACAAGGTCATTAAGGGAATCAACTTCTTTCACCTCCATCTTCTAGATCCTATCTTTGGTGAAGCAGGTTCACTATATTGACCGTAAGGTCTGTCAGACTACACGATAGATCTAACTGCTCCTCTGAAGGACTTACCTTATCAGAAGAGTAACAAATAGGCTTTATACCTTTTAACCTTAAAGTAGTTATTTCTTAGTTAAATTTTAAGCTAAAAATACTAATACCTTTAACCTTATAGCTAAGTAACTAAGGCTCTTAAAATATAAAAATATTAACTATAATACTAAAAAGTATATAAAGTACTTTTTTTTTAAAAAAAAAATCTAAGTATATTAAAGTAGCTTATTAATACTAATATATAAAGTAATTAACTTTTAGGCTAAAGGTATTAATAAGTTAGCTTATAGGCTTATTATTATTAAGGCTAAGAACTATAAGCTTTATATAGGGATAAAAGTATTAAGTAAGCGCTAAAGGGCAAAAAAGACCTAACTACGTCTTAAAGGGTTATTTAATACTATTAAAGTAGAGGTACTATAAATAGAAAAGGGTAGTGTTAATGCTAGAGGAGAGAATAACCCTCAGAAGGAGGGTTACATAAAAGGTACTAAACCACGTGCACAGCAATATAGTAATTACAGAAAGCCTAGATATAATATATAAACCTATAAAGTAGTTTAGGATAGTAATAAGAAATAAGGTAATAAGTAGTTTTAATTAATTTTGTACGTTATAGTTTGATTAACTTATATAAAAGGTAGAAGGGTAGAGGAAGGTGGCCCGCTCGCTATGTTGGCCCGCTCGCTATGCGAGTACGTTATACCTGCATGGGCAAGACGTCAAAAGGTTGCCTTAAAGATGTCTCCAAGACATAAATAATCAGCCTTTTCTCCTTTTTACCTTGGGTTCTTGTATCAGAGAAGAAACAAAGAGGCAAAGTCGTAGTTCGAGCCGCCATCAAAATGACATCAATCAAATCCTTCCTCACGTTGGCGCTGGCGCTCGCTCCCACATCAGTCCATGCCGCCTTCCCCTTCTCTAACCCCGGAACCCTCAGTGGTCCAGACGCCTGGGACTACGTCCGTAAAGAGCACAATGGGAACGTCGAGCAAGTCACCAACGTGGTCTACAAAGGCACCACGGCCCTCAAGATGACCCAGAGCTACGATCCCTCCTACACGGGCCGCTATCACTCCGAGGTCGACGTCAACGACGGATACAAGCGCGGCCAGGAGCGCTTCTACGGCTTCGCCTTCCGCCTCTCCGAAACCTGGCAATTCCAGCCGCAGTCCTACAACATCGCGCAGTTCATTGCCAACCGCCCCGGCGCGGGCTGCGGCGGCGACAACTGGATGCCTTCCAGCATGCTGTGGCTCGACGGCGACCAGCTCGCGTCGCGGATCGTAAGTGGGCAGTATCGTCAGCCGGATTGCAGCCGGAACATCGTCAAGTACGAGAACCTGGTAGCGGTGTCTCGTGGGGTGTGGCACCGGGTCATCATTCAGGCGAGGTGGAAGAGTGATGGCACGGGGTTTTACAAGATCTGGTTTGATGGCAATAAGGTGTTGGAGAAGTATGATGTGTCAACTACCCTCAATGACGACAGCGCCTTCCAGTTTCGTGTAGGTCTGTATGCGAACAGCTGGTATGACGACAAGACAATGCTGGGTGATCAGAGCTTCCGCCAGATTTGGTTCGATGAGATTGCTGTTGACTCGACCTACATGGCCGTCGACCCGGCCCAGTAAGACACAAGTGTTGCCGGAATACGAGTATGATATGGAGAATTGAGACATGTAGGGCTCCACTGAGTTTTGTACAAGACGGATAGTCTCAGTCTTGCAATTAGTCGCTCTTCATAATTGATAGCAATCATCTTCTGGACCTTTACACTTAGGTATGCCAGGGCAAGATCTGTTGCAATACCCACATGAGATAATTCCTTGGGCTTACAGAAACAGACATGATGTGTAGTTGAAAAATGTATATGGTCACAGGCACGGTGAGAATTCTTGAAAAGAAACTAAACAGCTACTATTATTCTAAGCATTATGGAGTCCAAAGCCTGTTCGTCACTTGCGGGTGACAGATGAAGTCTTATTAGGTTGAAGACTTTCCGCCTTTACAATCGTTATTCCGTTTTCCATAGAGACTGTCAATTTGGTTCCTTCGTCCAAGTATTTGTGACAATGTTTCATTACTCTTATTTGTTTGTTTTTGAGGGTTACATCAATAGAATGACGAAGACAGCAACGGAAACATTGCCATTTTACAGGGAAAACTAAGGAGGGAACTTATTTCAGGCTCAGTCATTAAAGCACACAGTGAACTAAATATGCTTAATATTAGGCCTGATCATCCAGACATGTGAACCATCTATAGAATGCTCTTAAACTAAATCCCCCTTTTTTAGATAGTAGTAACAAGAAATTATGGCCTGGTCGTGATCCAACATTATGCGCAGAGATTCCAAGCTCCCTTTCTTTTCTGGTAGCGCCAAAAAATCAAGTCTAATCGAGGACAGAGAGGCATAGGGAGTTAGTTGCACCACATCTCCACCTTGACGCCACGGAGTCCCTCCAATACACCAAAGTCCAACCCGTGCTGCCGGAAGGAGACAATTATCATGTCAAAGGTCTCGAGGGTCTCGCGGTTCCACTTCTCGTCGGCCAATCGAGGCGCAGATGGCACGGCATTCTGCTTCACAAGCGGGTCCGCGAACATGACATCGACCTCGCCGGAGCGGACAAAGGCTTGTACAAGGTCGACTCCCGGAGAGTTACTGAGGACAGACTGTCCGGCTTTGAAGCCAACCCCAACCACGAGCACACGAGGGCGAACCAGGGCCGACGCAGCGCCAGACTTGGCGCCTGTTGTCAGAGAGGCAATGGCACGGCGTGCGATCGCAGCGGGGCGAGCAGCCATCTTCTCGGCGGCAGCCTCCAGCAAGGGGAAGGCGCTGTTGGACAGGAGGTAATAGGGGTTGACGGGAATGCAATGACCGCCCACACCCAACGAGGGGTGAAAGGCATGTAACCAAAGGGCTTGGAGGACGCCGCGGCGGCAACTTCGTAGGGGTCGATGCCGTGGGGAATGCAAGCGTCTGCCATCTCGTTGGCAAAGGCGATGCACATCATCCGCTGGCAATTCTCGTACAGCTTCATCATCTCAGCGACCTCTGTGCGGCTGACGGGGACGAGACGGTCGAAGACCTGGTTGTAGAGACGGATGATTGAGGCGAGAGAGCCAGGGATGCAGTCGTCGAGGCCCGACACGATCTTGGGAATCGCATGGCAGGGCGGCTCGACGCGGCCTGGGTCTACGCGCTCCGGAGACATACCAGCGTAGAAGCCGTGAGAGACGGCGACGGGGCCGAGCAGGCTGCGGGTCATGCCGACGGCCACAGAGCTCTCAATGACAACGGTGGAGCCTGGCCTGGCATGTTGAGCCACAGTAGCAATGGCACTCTGGAGGTACGAAGTATCGATGCTCTTGTCTGCCTTGAGCAAGGTTGGCACAGAGATCAGGAAGTGGGTCGCTTCGTGCAAGTCTGTCTTGCAAGTTGTGAAACGGATGCGCTCGCTGGGGAGCTCCTTGCGAATCTCATTGATTCTCTTCTCGGATACATCGAAGCCGAGAACGTTGTAGTGCGCAGAGAAGGAGTCGACCAGATGAGTGCCGACGTAGCCGACACCGATAACGGCAACCAGAGGCTGATTGTTGGGGTCAACTATGGGGGAAATGTCGATGACCTCGTCGTCATGTGAAAAGGAGTGTTCCTTGTACTCCGGGGGAGGTGTGACAGGTGTTAAGGGAAGTTCGAGGTTGGACTTGAAGGAATCAAAGCCGGGAAAGTCAAGACCTAGCCCTTCTGGTGGAGGCGTAGCAGGGGCCGGCACAGAGAGGCTACGGCTGTGAGAGAAGGGTTTATCAAAGGTGACCTTCATGGTGACTTTTGGGTGACGACGGTCCAAATGGTGGTACAATAGTGAGTGACTAAAATGCAAAGACAATATCAGAACAAAATAAAACTGCTTGGTTGAAAGTTTCTCATCTGAATGTTTTGGGTGAGTTGATGGAGATGCAAAATCATATACGGAGTTTGGAGAAGGGGCTTATATGCGTCTGCAGAGTGGAAAGCCTGTCTAAAGGATGATCCAGCCGCGCCATGGAAAAGTGTGCAATCCGTGCCAAGTGATCCAAAATTGACCAAGAAACAACACCAATTACCACCCCGTAATAGAAGCGAGAGAAGTGAGCTGAATGCGTTGGCAAAATCAAGATGGCAGGGGCCGTTGCGGAACCAACTATACCGGACAAAAAATCGGACTAACGGAGCGCCACAACCAAAGAAAGAAGTGTTCCCGGATTATGAGACGAGTCGGCAAAAGAGACTGGCGTAATCCTCATTTCGTGGTTTACACTCAGCAGGTAAGTCTCGCTAGACACGAAATGTATCGTCCAGGCGGCGTGTCCCCGGCAGACTGGGAACCTAGTGATAAGCGAGCGTAATGGGAGCTGGTACCTGGTAGAGTCCGAGCACAATATTCTGTTTGGCTCCTCAAACTAGAGGCCGTCCGAATGAGTCGTAACAAGAAGCATGAGTCTCTGCTGTCGCACATCCCCGGGCCACCCGAGCCAAGATGCCCGGGCAGAGAAAGCGCTCCTAACGTTGGCCACGGCCAGGGGCCCTTTCTTTTCGACGCAGCAATACTTTCAGCCTCATTACCCGTTTTGGTAGTAGGGTTGCAAACGAGGAAGAGAAAACCCCCGTCGATTGGGCTGTAGCAGCGTTAGCGCGGCTCTACTCGTAGTGTGAGCGGGAGGCTGCTGCGACTTGAAGGGGGTAAGATGGGAGGAAGTCGGAGAAGAGTAGAATATGTAGATAAAGGACCCAAAGCAAAAAATGCTTCTAAAGCATACACGGCCCTGGTGGGGGAGTCGGGGATCACCCGCTTCCGGGATAGCCCCACTGTCCGGGCCGCCACATGGTTCCCCGCCTTTCCTCTTTTGTCGCTCGTTCCTGGATCAACTCCTTTTCATGCAGTTTTCCTTTCCAAGACGACAACAGGAACGCCTAAACAGTCGCCACGACAGCCAACTTGGTGCGAATCGCACACCGTCGGCCGTTAGCAGGCTGACTTTTCACTTGTGACTCTTCTCTGCTACGAACCGTTGACGTTATGCCACTTATTTCCGCCTACGTCATCGTCCCCTGAACCTGAGATCAGTGCCCCTGGCAACCTTGAAGAAACGGTCACATGGTAAGCTGTCGTCCGGGCTGATAGGACTGACAGCGGGCAGGGAGCTCTGTTTTGCCTGTCAAGATGTGCGCAGGCACATACCTCGGCTAGATGCTCTCAGCCAGAGGGGGGCTCCATGACTAGCAGATGCTAGTATGGACATGTTTAATGACAACCTTGGCCGGCCGGCAGTCAGGGCGGTCCCGGGATGACCCAATCCCAGAAGTTTGGGACACCGCGAATCCTTCGCTTCGTCCCGGCTCCCTCGAGTCTCCTCCTTCCCAGTAAAGGATATGATCAACACAACCCAAGAGATCCCGAGAAATCTAGCCAAGACTATGGGGTAGAGGCCTGGGTCTAGAGCATCAACCGCGTTGTCTTGTCCAAGGTGAGCCTCGAACACTGTAGCAACTTCAGGATGACATAGTTGCTCATATTCTCCTTGGACATCATGCATCTCATTGCTGGGAACAATAGTACATCGTTGCTGACGTATGGCCATCTTGCCGTCTCTCTTTCGCTTTCGCGTCAAATGCGAAAATCACGCTAGCCGCTTGCTCATCTCCTGCCAACCAACTCTCCTCGGCCCAACAGTCTTACCACCGGTGAGAGGATATAAATGTCTTCATCTCGATGCTAAAGACTGATCACGCAATGCGACGATAATTAGCACACCATTTCATAGTAGTGCTTGGCTGTTAAGAGATCAAGAGGCTGCAGCCCACGCGGGATTCGTGCATTTTCCTCAAGCCCTAAGCCATTCATCTAGTTCGTGTTTTAGGGCCTTGGCATTTAAGCTTAACTGAAGCTTGGTGTTGGCGTGAGTGACATGTTTTTTGAGGCTCCCATTCAACCCCTGCAGGCGTACTTCATGCTAGTCGAGCTATCAGACCCTGATTGATGCATAGCGTCTCAGCCGCCTGCGGCTAACAATCCTCCAGCGTCTCAGCGTTGAAATGCTCTGTAAGGCTTTCAGCGACCGTGCCCTCGATAACTACGCAGTGTCACGTTAGTCACTAACTGACAACAAGCTGGCGGTTGACAGCGTTTGAATGATGCTAGCCCTTCTTGGAAAAGAAGACTACGGCATTGACCGAAGGGCAGACAGGGAATCCCGTAGCACTCAAGATCAGATAGCGATATTAGTTGGTTGTGCACTAATTGATGTGTGCTCGGACGTCTAACACCAGACAGCACGTTTGCTGCCGTATGGAGGCCAATCATCTGCCTCAGCTGCGGCAAAAAGCCAACCTACTTGTCAAGAAATGGGACGAGTCTCTGAAATGATGGCTGCAGGAGAGCCCACAATGCCAAGTCTTGGGCTTTTGACAAGAGATGACAGACTTCAAGCCTGATAGCACTCGGTCCCATTCCCTGATTGGGAAATGGTAGCTTGTTTTCCCAGGTCCCCGGCTCAGTGACGGCACATCCATTGCAAGTAATTGTATGTTGTCTCTGCTGTAAGTCCCTCTGCTCCCATGCCGAAGCTGACAAGAAGTAATCTTACATGCCCCAATGCCAAGGCCACCACGGCCGAGTGGCGTCCAGCTTGCAAGAAGAGTTATTCTAGGTTCACCGATAGTGAGGTGAGCGGACATCAAGTTTTCTGAGAAAGCCGATTAAAAACAATATGGCATCTGAAAATGCCCACAATGTTTCCTTGGTGCCTCTTGTCTTTTGTTGAATAGCCACTCTGAGCGTTGCCTTTAGCAAACCTCACTACTCGTGGTGCTCATTCCTTACTCCCGACATCTTGTCGGTGCCGCTCTTTCGCCGTGGATACCTTGTATCCTAGCCGCTCTCTCAAAATATTCACATAACCATGGCCCGCCCAGATATTTCGCGGCCCAAGTTGGCGCATACCGAGGACAAGCGTTGGACCGTCAAAACGTTGTCTCAGCGGTTGAGCACGCATCTGTCGCCTTCTCGTCCCCAGTCCCATGTTTTCCGTCCCGGGACACCAAACTCGTGGCGAAGCCAAGGAGAATGGGACGCCTACTCTGCTGCGAGCGACAGTCGGCCGAGCACTCCTCGAACCTCCACCTCAACCAGGCACTCCAACGGACGCGAACGACGTCAGACCAACGGCAGCAGTTTATCCCAGGACGACGGCTATGTTGAGAAGCCGTCAAAGTTTGTCACCGATTACGGCTGGCCCATTCTTTCCGACCCTCTCAATCCCAACAAGAAGCTCACTCCGAGAGAGCTTACGACCCAGAGAATCCTCTTCATCCTTATCGTTCTGATCCTCAACATCGGTCTCGCTGCGGTGGCCTGCTTTGGAAACACCGGCTTAGCGACCCTCGTCTTCATCTTGTTCGTCAAGTGCAAGGATTTCATCTCCTCGCTGTTGTCCCTAGTCTGCCTTACTGGAACTTCCATCTACCGGCATTTCCGCCCGCCGGCGCCAGTTTCTCAACGGTGGATTCTATCACTGATCCCAGCCTATTCAGAGAGCGAGGAGCAGCTCATCAAGACGGTCTACTCCCTACGCGACAACGGCTGTGAGCCACACAAGCAAGTCATGTGCATCTTCCTAGATGGAAAGCCAAGGAACATCAAGAGCGAGTTCTCGCGCATCGTCGCCGACATTGAGCGTCCCTACCACTCCCTCAAGTACAAAAAGGGCAACCTCAAGATCACTGCCGGTTTCATGCAAGATGTGCCCGTCATTGTCATCGAGAAGGTGAAGAATAGCGGCAAGAAGGATTCCCTTGTCCTCACCCACGACCTTTTCAACGCGCCCCGCGAGAACATGCCCACTTACACCCGCCTCCTCCGCGAGGAAATTTGGCGCACAATTCTTCCCCCTCTGACCAAAGGCACCGACTTCCGCAACTTTGACATGGTCTTCTGCACTGACGCTGATTCCGTCATTCACCAAGGCTGCGTCGCCAAGCTCGCCAACGCCCTAGCCCGCGACAAGAACGCCATCGCAACCTGCGGGCTTGTTCTTGTTGAGTTGGAGCCTGGATATGAGTGGTCTTTTTGGAACCTCTATCAACAACTGCAGTACACTTTCGGTCAGTTCGTCCGTCGCCGTGCCGAGGGCTTCATCGGCAAAGTCACTTGTCTGCCAGGCTGCGTTACAATGGTTGCTGTTCGCAAGGAAATGGCTGGTGCAATCGCAAAGTACGCCAGTCCCGTAAAGGAGAACTGGGTCGTCCACCACCAGGTCCAGAACCTCGGCACCGACCGTCGTCTCACGTACTGCATGCTCAGCCAGGACAAGAAGCTGCGCACAATCTTTGTGCCGGACGCCGTTTCGGAGACTGTGGCTCCCCAGTCTTTCAAGCACTACGTCCACCAGCGTCGACGATGGGGTTCCAATGCCTACTTCAACAATTACTTTTACTTTGCTGGCGAGAACATGATCTTGATCACTCGAATTGCTGCTGCCATCGACATTGCCCGTCAGACGCTGGTCTACTACCGCGTGCTCAACACGATCCTCTTCATCCGCGCACTCATCAACGCCTTCAACCCCATGGATATCCTTCCACTTCTCGTGGTCGGACAATTCCCCGTCATCTGGTTTTGTGTATGCCTGGCCGTTGAGTCTTCTCTGCGCCAGCGTGCCCACAAGATCATTCTTGGTTTCTTTGTCAACAAGCTCGTTTCGCCGTTCATGTCCATCATCATCTTCTCGGCCGTTGCGAAGAACCTCGGCAATGCTGTCTGGGGCATGTCGGGTGTCACTGCGTCATCGGCGGCTGCATCGCCCAAGGACAAGCTATCGGATGCAGAGGAGGGAAAGGCTGGAGTACAACGGCCGGAAAGCCCCATCTCGCGCCCTCCCTCACCGCCTGAAGTGCTCTGAAAACTGACGGCAATTGCAAACTCCAAAGCATCGATGTGTGTTTTCAACTCATAGAATTCATCTTCCATTCTCACAACTGATTCATGTCCTTGATGATTTAATCAATACTTCCCATCACGAAAGTGTGTTGGATAATTAGATAGGTGGCGGCGAAGCAATAATCAGAGTAAAATTCAATGTACATATTCCAACTTATCATGAGACGGTCAGTCATTCATACACACGATGCTTGCGGCCCAGTTGCCTAAGGTGCATGCTACGCAGCTTTTCGCAGTTCCGAAGTCATCGCCCACCCTTGATTTCGGAGGCAAATTCCAGTTCGTACCGGTTCAGGTGTTCAGTTTGATCGCAGTTGACAGAGATTTTCAAAATCGCATGATATCCCACTCCCCGGTCGTTTCAGTTGAACCAACACCAAGAAACGCCCTTGGCTCCATACCGTGCACTAGGAAGCAGAACTACTAACAATTGCATACCCATGGCGAGCTGAATTTGCCGTTCATGAGCTGAAGAAACTAGTTGTCAAGCGCGGCGTTGCCACCAGCCACAGACGGACTAGTGGCTGAGCCAAAGAAGAAAACGCTGCACAGCAACTGCGCATCGCTTAAAGACACGCGGCTCAACGAGCAGTCTAACATGAATGTAGAGTATCTTAGCGATGTTTACTCCTAGTTCAACCCCTGGTGTGCGCTGCAGCCAAAAGGGGGATGTCTATCCCTTCCGGAATGAATGGCTTATGCACAAAGCGAGTCGGTACGTACTGCTGGTCCAGGGGCTCCATCCCGCCTCCCGCTCGGACGGACCCCTTCTTTTTTTGACTTCCCGTCTTCCACCTCCCATCGTTGGTACAGCCTCCCGGAACCAACTAGTGAAATGACGCCTACGACAACATCGGGCCACTGTCGTCCTGCTTTAGTAGTCCCCGCCGCTGCACCAAGCGTCTTTGGCACCCCGATATGCTGGGGACCTGGGTTCAAGAAACGCAAACGCAGACTTTTGCTAACATCAGCTTCGGAAATTAGAGTCAGGTTGGGCTAGCTATAGTAGTCACTCAGCACCAGCACAATGGGAAGCTAACCGCTGTCGAGTTCGACGGACTCGTCCAACGAGATCTAATGGATGGCTCCTACTGGCCAAGATGCGAAGGGCTCTCAACGCCTGCTGCGTATGACCCTGGTCCTTGACCTACACCACGTGCAAGCAAAGACCTTTACCAGAGACTCGGGCTACTAACCACTCCGGCTCATTGCTAATATGGATAATGGAGGAGGCGGCGCATCTGTGGATCCCGGAATTGCCGTGTGCATGCTGTAAGCTATCAAGCGATAGTCACCGTTTTTGCGCAAGCCTCGTGCCAATATAGCAAAGTTGACTAGGTATCTTGCCATCTCAGGACAAGGCAATGCGCTTGCGGCATTCCACCCAGCCCCAAATCACAAACCCCAGCCTTCGTTCCTCGGTCACTAACATTGGCATATAATAGACACGTCGTTATCCTTGCTTTCACGATCTGTTCTCCTCATCGCACTCTTCAGACCACTGCCAGTCAACGAGCTCCCAGTCTCTCATTACCTCTCTCCCACACTCTTTGTAACAGCTTGTATCTGCAACATTTCACTCGTTCAATACCCCTCTACTCTTCCCTTCCTCACTTGCACACCTACCAACCTCAACAATGCAGCTCATCAAGTCTCTTGTCGGCCTCCTTCCCATCATGGGAATGGCCTCGGCCGCTGCCATCTCCTCAAGCGTCCCTGACCCAGCCGACCCAATCCCGGCATCCGTCTCCAGCGGTCTCAACAACCGGGTTGTCACTGCTGTCATCGACAGCACCACCTCAGTGACCAAGACCGTCAAAACGACCGTCACCACCGAGAGCCGCACCATCACTGCGACGGCTCGCACTACCGTTGCCACGGAGAACCTCGTCCTCACTTACACCCAGAGGACCACCGCCGCCACCCAGACTCTCGTCCTGACCTACACTCAGAGAACCACGGCCTCCACCAGTACTCTGGTCCTCACTTACACGTCGAGGACCACTGCAGCCACCGAGACTGTTACTCGCACTGCCCGTGCTACCGTCGAGGCCTCCGAGACCATCACCTACACTCCAACAGTGACTGGCGATGCCACGACCGTCCACTCGACCTTCACAGACGTCACCACGTTGCCCAGCACCGAATACGAGACCAAGACTGAGGTTTCTACGGTCTTCCTTGATGAAACCACGACGATGCCCACCGTCGTCTATGCCACGCAGTATTCGACCGAGACTCGCGTCCAGACCGTCGAAGAGGTCACCACTATTGGAAGCACCATCTACACTACTGCTACTGCCATCGTTGACACGACCATCTACGACACCCAGGTTGCCGTCGTCGAGTCCACCCAGTACAACATCGCCACGGTGCCGACTACCATCTACACGACCGAGGTCATCCCCACGACCTCGTACGCGACGGAGATCATCAACTCTACCATCACCGCAGCCGTCACTGAGACTGCTACGGCTACGATCACCCAGACGGCGACCGTCACGGACCAATCTGTGTGCCTGTACAGATTGGCTTACATCACTCGCACCCAAACAGCAAGTGTTGCTCCCCGCTACTCCACGTACACGGTTTCGACCATCACCTGCCTTGCTGCGGCGCCGACCTGCGACTCGCGCACTGGCAACTGCAACAAGTTTGCTCGCTTGGTTCTCAGCGCCGAGCCTACCCCTGCTTAAGTTTGCTTTCAGCGGCAATAGCCAGCGTCAGCAACACACATGATAGACATGCAGGTGCTTCGATACGGCCGGCAGCCTCTTTGGTGTGATCAATTTTCGTCATATCCTGTCTGTTGACTACTTGCGGTACACGAGGCGTGTAGGTCAGCATTGGGGAGTTGGGGTCATGTAATGGGTAATGGGGTAGACTTCTCTTCTTCTGCTGGCCCTCGAAGGTATTAGTTAATCAAAAAGTTTGGGAGCAATTTCGTTCAACGAATGCCAGTGAAATGTTACATCAGGGGCTCAATCAGACTGAGCGCATCGGGGCCCAGGCAATCTCTAAATACAGTCCACAAGGACATGCCCTGTTATGGGAGAAAAACATGCCCACGGCGATAACCCATGTATAAAACGAAATGGAAAGAACTGTTTGGCTCCGTGAACATGATTACCTACGCGTCGTCTGCACCCGCAAAGATGGCAACGCCAAACTTACGACTCCATGTGCTTCCCTCGCTGTCCTTGATGTTGATGTCCAAGTGGTCGATTCCAGCTTCCGCACCAGCTGCGTACTTCGCCTTGCTTCCATTCACGGTCACCTCGCCCTTCTCCCCGCCAGAAACAGTAAAAGTAGGTTCCTTGAAGCCCAAAGCCAGTAAAGCAAGGTCAATGTCAATAGACGTGGACGGTGTCACAAAGGCGTGCGGATCGGCCATGAAGTTGAGGTACCCCTCGATAGCCGTGTACCCCTCGCCGCCCGTTGACCCATCCCACCAGTCTGCAATACCATCGCCATCAGCATCCCAGGTTGCGCCACGCGTCGCTTTCGGGAAGTCTTCGAGACCGCCGGCGTCCTTGGGGTCGTCGATGAGGCCCTTCTTGCCGGAGACAGAACCGACGTATGTCGCGGTGCCGGTGAGGGTCTCATTGATGATGCGCGCGTCGTGGATGTCGCGGACGGGCTGACTGACACCTGAGTCGGAGACCACCCGCTTGTAGGCTTCGGTCGAGGACTGGGTATCGACGTGAGACTCAAAAAAGGCCTCGGGAAAGAACTTTTGGTAAGTCGGGGCCGGTTCGAAGGAAACGTCGGCCCAGCAGGCGATCTTGGCAGTCTTGTTGGCAGTGCCGTCGCCGGAGGGGTACTGGACGGAGTCTTGGTCGAAAACGCCGGGCATAGAGTTGCCGGCACAGTGATATTGCTGCATGCCAGGCATGTTGTCTTCATACTAGATGCATGTCAGCTTACAGACAACGCTGGAAGAGTGGATGGGCAAAGTGTCATACTGTTGCTCTCAGACCGTATGTGAGCGTGGACGCAGGGCCCTGCTTGTAGTAGTTGCCAACAAAATTAACCTTCTTTGCACCTCCATCGGTTACACGACCACCTAAGCGAGTCAGCAATCATATAAAAACCCTCATGTCTGGGCGGGTTGGAACTAACCAAAGTTGTAAACGACGTTGTTGCGAATGTCGAGCTGTCCAGCGAAGGCACCCCTATCGTCAACACCCCCTCCCATACTCCAGCTTCGACCCTCGGCGTGAGCGAGCAGGTTATGATGAAAGGATCCAACATCACCGCCAATCGTCGCACTGTATCCGTGAGCGGTGCCGTTGGGGTAGTTCTTGTGGCCGGCGATGTTGAGTGGCTCCGAGATCATGTTACGCTGGAAGGTGATATTCCAGGCGGACCGCGAGCTGAAAGCTTCGTCGATAGTCCAACCCTGACAGCAGCAGTCAGTGGATATTTCAACACTCGCAGGTGTCAGAGATCAGCTTACCATGGAGCAGCGGTCAAAGATGCAGTGGTTCGAGCCTTGCATACCCATACCGTCGATGGTCTGCCCAGAGACCTTACCGGGGCGGACACGCACATGGCGGAAAATGATATCCGACGCGCCAGTGAGGCCGAGCGGGTTGCCCTGGATGACTATGCCCTTCCCAGGAGCAGTCTGGCCGGCGAGGGTAATGTATTGGTCGTTTACAGAAATGCGGGCCGTGGTGGTAATCACGCCGCCAACATCAAAGACAACGATGCGCGGGCCCTTGGCGACAGTTAGGGCATAACGGAGGGTGCCCTCGTCGTTTGTATCCTCAAGGCTAGTGACCTTGATAACCTTACCACCGCGGCCACCACGGGCGAAACGGCTGGAAGTCTGTCAGCGAGTTCTCATGGAGGAGGAGACAATATTACAACTCACCCCCAGCCCTCGGCACCAGGGAAAGCAAGCTGTGCGATGCGGAAAAAGAAGACACGGCCGGTGTAAGTGTTCGACCCAGAGACGACATCGACCCGCCAGTAGAAGCTGTCAATAGTGTTGAGGCCTGTCAATTGGTCAGGTGAGGTCATTACAAAGCATACCAATCAACTCAAGCTTACCGGGAAGCGTTGCGCTTCTCTCCGTGATACCCTCTGCAACGCTCTTCAAGTCGGTCGGTGATTTGCCGAGAAACACGTTGTACTTGACGTCCTCCCCAGAGGCTGGGCCGGTCCAAGATGCCGTCACGCTGCTGTCGTCGCTGACCTCGATACGCTCATCCCGATGCCTGGGCGTTGGAAAGCTGATTTGGTTCTGCATTGCCGGGCATCGACTTCGAACCCGTTGATAAAGGCGCGCTTGTCAGCGCCATTCGGGGTGTATACAATTTTGACATCCTGTGTGGCGGACGCAACCTCGAAAGTGATGTAGGAAGCCGCGGCCTGCCAGATATTGTCAACCCGTACGGACTGCTTGAAGCTGGTATAAGCTCGTTGTCCATTGACGGTGATATCGAGAACCGCAGTCTCGTTCATTGAGTCCCAGGCATTGTGCCAGGTCAACAAGCTGTGGCTTCCTGGCATAAGACCCTTGATTGAGAGGGTGAGGGGAGAGCCATCCTTATTCGAGGTGCTGATACCCTGGCTCACAACACGCTCGCCAAGCGATGAGAGAAAGCGTGTGTATTGGTATTTGTAGTAGTTCCCAGAGAGCTCGGAACCGTTGCCGGCAGCGAGTGTGAACGTGACGTCGCTCTCGGTAATGTTGCTGACGGTGATGTTTGCTGTGGCTGATCCCGGGACAGTCCACGTGATGTAATCCGTGTCAGCAAGGTTCCGAACGTTGGCCGGATTGAGACGGACACGGATGGGAGCAACAGCGGGGATGTTTGAAGACGGGGCGTCAGAGGCTTCCGGAAGACGGGAGGTCACAAGAGTTGTTGGGATTGGGCTGCCGGAAGTCGGGTCCGAAGGCGAAGATGGGACTGGTTCCTGGGCCAAAGAGGTCGTCGCCAGCACGGCCGTGGCCAGGGCCTTGAACAAACCCTTCATGGCATAGACAAGAAACAAGTAATGAGAAAGCGACAGACTAAACAAACCAAGGGGAGTATAGGTGAGGAGTTGATGCAACGCGCAACGTTTCCCGAGATGCAACAACGGATCGTACCCGAGGGGACTCGAGGTCGCTCAATATGTAAAGAACATCGTTGCAGTTTCGCGCCATAATTGCACCGAAACCACTGCGAGCGCTCCTTTCATTTGCCCGTGTGATTTGATCATTCTTAACCGTTTAAGTGAGGGTGCTTTTCCCTTTACGTGCAGCGCGGTCACAGATTGAACCCCCAAGAGAGATGGGGTCCGGGCTGCTGGGGGCACCGCTGGGGACAGCACAACCAAATCGACGGAGCCATCCACTAGACGTTACCAGACGACAATGGCAGAGAGATTGTAGTGATCACCGGGGAAATTCTGCGCCGTCCGTTTCCACGAGTAGGGGGCCAGACGTACCCCGCAGAGAAAGTCTATTGTGCCTGAGCTGCCATCCCGGTACGGATTTGGTTGTCGGAACCTTGCAATTCTTGGCGTCCCATTGCATGTGGGCTCGGCGGGTATGAGTTCTGTTTAGGCTTGATGAGGCAACTCAAAGTTGATGCTGCAGGTCATTAACGGGTCGCCAAGAGACGAAATTGCAAAGGGGCTCATAAAGGAAGGAACTTTGGTCGTCAGCAGTCACAAAGTCACGTCATAAATCCGACACAAAGTGTCTTTTAACGGCGCTCCATTGCTGGAAATAGTTAAAGATCAGACAAGTGTGGTTGGAGTAGTACTTATTTATGTTGAGCTTGCAGCAAGCAGCTGTTTAGTCCTTGGAAGTTCCATGACTGAAGAAGAGCTGGGTCACTGCAACCCTTGAGACTCCACCAAACAGATTGATCCGAACTTTGCACGTTTAATCACTTGCTCGATCCAACTCACACAGCAACAATGACAGCGCAGCCACATGTGGTTGGAACAATGTCAAGGCTTACCGCCGTGAGTGGTTTTGCCTCATTATTACTTACAAAAATCGCTGACGCAAAGTCTTCCCTCCCCCCCCCCCCCTTTTACTTTCTTCTTTTCTTTATGTGAGCTGGCGAAATCCAAAGGCCCTCTCCCAAGTGAAGCAGGGACGTCACGCAGACTGTCTTGAGCATTAGCCTATCCTTCGTCATATCAGAAAATAAAAATAAGATAAAAACATGAAAATAGAATCAATTCAGGAGTTGATGGAGCTAAATACTTTGTCTCATAATCTTTACAAGCCTTGAATAACTCAGAGCGGAACAAAGACGATTGGAAGATGCACAAGAAGCTTCTTAAACTGACTGTCAGTGTACAGACAATGACATGCGGGTGTCACCATAGGACTCGAGTTAAACGAGATTGACGGCAAGGTGACCTAACGAGATGTGAACGGTCTTTGATTACACATTGTGTGGCCATCTAATGAGAGAGAGAGAGCGTGTGGAGCCTCCAACCCAGCACAGAGCTCTGGCTCAGAATAAGGAAGAGCAGCGTGTCTGATTGCCGCGGGATAGGCCAGAAGGTAATCCACATCTGGGTTAAATGGCTCGAGGATCGAAGGGCGCAGGGCATCCCAATCCATTGTGGTAACATCGGCTAGCAGTTATGATATTGACAGACTTAAGGTAAGATATCGCGGTAGGCTTCGTCGGGACTTCGTGTTGTATTCCTTGCCAGGGTAATATCCTCTGTATGTAGACTTCTCTAAGAAGCCACGCATCCCTTATATCTACTCATACAGCTGCAATCGCAATATAAGAACATGGATTTATACTATGATGTATTTGTTTCCGAAGCCATCTTCAAAGACCTTGAGCTATCGCGTCTGAGTATTTGAACGTTGTGGAGGCTATGTGGGCCGTATTTCGAGGAGTTGCAGCATCACAAGCTGCATAGAGTTTTATTAAAAGTCGAAAACTTATGTCTTGTCACTAGTTTCTCTAACCAATGTCCAACGTACCTTTTGAGTACCCGGAGGGTCTTGCTCAGGGATCAAATTTTACCTGCGAGTACTAATGAGCGACATCTATCGAATACCGAAAGCAAACGATGACCCTCCTTATGTGATATTATTTGTACCATTTTTGCATTGCATCACAGAAGGCCCCCCTATCTGCTACTCGAGATGGCGTTTTATCTTTTTGAGTTAGGTTGGAGATGGTTTTAGTAGAGATTATTCGGTGACAGCAAGTTGACAAGCCCGTGGTGCGTGGTCGCGTTGTATGTAGCAGCAAGCCAGACAGCTTACGTCGTATTAAGCCAATGTAGGCGTCACAGGGCTTCTAACATGATATCAGTACCATCTTCCTCGTGTATTGTAGTGGCTTGTCAGTGGTCTAAAAGATAAAGAGTCGCTGTTCAGAGTTGTTTCAAATGCTCAGTGATTAGCATCGAACACGGTCTTGATGATGTATCTTCATGACCACGCATACCGTGATTGAAAGGGTTGACGTGACTCGAGGCAGTTGATACACAATTGCTATATTTTCTTACTAACTGCAATTTGGACAACACGAATAAGATACAAAATACGAAATGTGACATCCACCGCGCCACGCCCACTAAATCTGATTTGAGAACTTTCGTGTATGTGGTCTTCTTGTAGGATTGATGGATTGTACTGAAAGTGGATCGGTTCCAACACTCGGCTTCTGTTCGTCTTGCAGCATAGATGCGTGGGCTGTCATTTCAATCAAGATCTCAGTGATCTTGCGCAGGCGCTCTTCTATGTTGTCGATCTTATGCTTGCTTCCCACAAATTTCCGTTAGTTCATTCAAGTCATACAAGCGCGTGCTCGGTCACGCTTTGTGTCTCAATTGGGGATATGCACGCACTACTCTGGAGATATAAGAACTCTCTGTAATTCAGCTCGGGGCCTGAGTTGTAGCTTTCGCTCGCAAGTAGTTTCGTGTTGGACACAGTTTGCGCAAGGCGACATTTTGTTGCACCGCACCTGCTGGAGTCAGCATTTTGTTATGGAACAGACATCAAGAAGGCTCTCTGTGGTGTTGCGTCTAAGGAATGGTCTGACCGGGACAGCACATTACAGAGTTGCCATACCTTTCTAGAACGGCAACCATCGCACTATCGGATTTTTGTTTAGCTGGAGTACTAGCATCTGGCCTTGGCTCTCTTGCAAGCTTACCGCGCGTTGTGATGGCACCGGGGTCTCGGCTCTGGATTCCTCTGCTGTGGGCCGATACATATTCAACAGGCACCCTGTAGTACGGAAGCTAGTTATGGGCTGATGGAATTCTGTTTGCAGCAAATTTTTAGGGTACAAACAAGCGTTGATCAGTCGACAACAGTAGCCTATGTATTTTTGAAAAAGAGTTCGATCAGGAGTGCGATGGACAAGATAAAAGTAGCCTTAAAGGCTCGGTGGAGATCCTTGGTCTCGTTGTGTGGGATACCGGGCGCCCGTCGGAAGCCGTGCACCCCAGACGATGTAGGAGCCAAACAATAGTTGAAGGACGAGACTTTTTCTATAGCTGGTGCGTCGCAGTGTAGTACGATAGCCTCGCATTTCAGATGGGATCACGAGGCAGCCCTCAGTGCTTTTTCTGCAATTGCTCGAGTCACATGGATATGTCCAGTGTTCCGGACTCTGAACCACACAACATCAATGGTCCATTTTGGTCGCTCGCGTATTGTGGCCGCAGCATCCCTTTTAACTGATTGATAGCCATGGTAGCTTGAGTATGTCTAAGGAACCGAAAGCGGACAACGAGTGGATTCCAGACTGCGTTTGTATGACCATGACTGGATAGTGACTATGCCCACACACAGGTTCCCCGTCAACTAGATTTGGTATGCATCCGCGGCGCATCTTTCTGATATCAATCGAAACTGACTACTGTGAAGAAGTACTTCTCTCCCAATAGGAATTGAGCTTCCAGACAGCAGAATGAAACATTATTTATTCTACAACAGGTTATCTGTGCCGATTGGGTCCAAGAACTGCACGGCCGGGACCCGACGGGCACCGTCTCGAAGACAATCGTAGAGCCCGCGGGAACACGGGTTAGGTAAGATTCCATGTCGGGACGCCACAGGCCCGAGGCAACGGTATGGTGGGCCGAATAGTGTGTGATCAAATGGGATCCGCGCAAATGCGCGCGGATTCCGTCAAATCGTTGAAGAATACTTCAATGGCTTGCTCGTCCCCCTTGGTTCACGTTCTGGTGTGCCACCTTGGCGCAGCGGAAATTGTGGGAGCGACCCACTGTTAGGCAAGAGTTGATTAACACCAGACGAAATTTCGAGGTGGAGACTCCCCTTAACCGACCGAGCGGGTTAAAATGGTCAATCTGACGCTTTTCGCAAAGCCATCTTCGACATCATCATCGTACGAACAATCGTAGAGAAGAACGACGAATAAGAACAGACCTGGAAAGTAAGGCCTATGAAGGTGCATGACTCGTGTCATGGCACGCTAGAAGAATCGCGACATGCTGTTCTTGGGCTAGACTTCGAAGGCGCTTCATTCAATTGGTACTCCGCGGAAACTAGTGGAGTCTGGGGTGAGAAGAGGGCAGCCTTTGTGCGGGGTCATCAACGACAAAGAAACACGGAGCATTGAAGAATTCTGGAAGCCAGGTAGGTTGATCGTAGCCAGGTCTTTTCAGGGAAGAAATCGAAATTGAACCATGCTTGAATTTTTGTCGCCATCATCGACACGACTGCCTCACTAAGCAATGTTTCCCTTTCGAGGTATCATCGACCCATACCTGGCGGCCGGGGTGGCCATCCTGCTCGCTCTCGTCATCGCCGCCCTCCGTCCCAACCGTCCGCATCTTCCACTGGGGACTACCCTTCCGCCTGGTCCCAAACCCAAACCCCTCATCGGCAACCTGCCTTTGATCCCACCGGTACACTCTTGGCTCATGTTCCATGAACTCATCAAACAGTACGGCCCAATCGTCCGCCTCTCTCTGCCAGGTCAAGAGCACGTCCTCCTCGGCACCGAGACTGCCGCCAACGACCTTCTCCGCCAGCGCGGCAATCTCTACAGCGACCGACATTATGCGCCAGCCTCATCCCATTTTTTGACTGATGACCACATGCTCTTGCTGCTCCCATACGATGAGAAATGGCGGAAGTATCGCAGGTTCTTGCATCAGGTGACTATGTCACCTGTGGCACCGTTGTATGAAACAGAACAAAGGGTCGAGGCAGTGAGGTTGCTGAGAGATCTCATTCGAAACCCAGGAGATTACGAATCACTCTTCGAGCGCTTCAGTGTTGGACTAGGCTTGAGAGTCATCTACGGTCTGCGGCTGGAGAGTGGACATGACCGCGACGCTAGGATGATTCTTGACATTGTTCACGAACTCGAACGTGTGGGCTCGCCAGGGGCCTACATGGTTGACCTCTTCCCGTCTTTCATGTATCTGCCCGAGTGGCTAGCTCCTTGGAAAAAGTACCTTAGAGCGCGGAGACGTCGCGACGAAGACTTTTTCCAAGAGCTCGTCGACCGGAGCCAATCGCCATCTTGGGCGAGGACCTGGCATGAAACCAAGGACCAGTGGGGACTAACGCGACGCGAGGCAAATTGGATGTTAGGTTCTGTATTCCAAGCAGCCGCGACAACCTCCGGGTCAGCGCTCGCCGCATTCATACTCTGCATGGTGCGGAACCCGGGATGGTTTGAGAAGCTTCAGAAGGAGGTTGACTCTGCAGTCGGACCTGACAGACTGCCAACTTTCAGCGACATGCCGCAAATGCCTTTGGTCAGAGCATGCGTCAAGGAGACATTGCGATACTATCCAATCACGGCTGGCGGGTTCCCACATCGGCTCACAGAAGACGACACGTACCATGGGTATTTCCTCAAGAAGGGTACGGTTGTACACGCTGTGCAGTGGGCGATTCAGCGTGATCCGGAGCTGTATCCGGACCCCGAGCTCTTCAACCCTGATCGCTGGTTGGATCCTAAGTATCCCACATACAAAGAACCTTTGAGCATTTACCCGAACTTGCAACAATTTTCTGCCTTCGGCCACGGCCGTAGGATATGCCAAGGCATTAACATCGCCGAACGGAGTATAAATCTCAAGATCGCGCTGCTTGCCTGGGGCTGCAATATTTCGAGGGCTAGGGATGAAAAAGGCCAAGAGATTATACCGCCCTTATACGATTTTGTCGAAGGGTTCAACGTGCAACCAAAACCTTTCGGTTTCGACCTTCAGCCACGAAGTCCTGCACGAGTAGAACTGATAGAAAGAGCGTATGAACGAGCGCTTAAGGACGATCCATTGCTGTAAATACAGGGTTTACGGAGAAGAGAATGCTAATATCATCAAATGGAGCAGAGCCCACTAGGGATGCATAGACTTCTAATTAGCTACCGCCATTCAAGGTAACTTGGTTGCCGACTTGAGTATGCAGTGGGCCAGATGACTATGTCATAAATATAAACTTTAGACGCTGTAGGGATGCGCGAGTTGCGCCTGCCAGTACCTAAACCATCCACATCGATTTAGTGTGCTCTTTTCCCTCGCGTCTGCGAACGCCAATGTGGTATCGTTAATATCATAAACTGTGATTGCATCATTCGGAAGACCAGCAGCGGAGGAAGTGACTGGCTGGCTTGCACTGATGTGTTTTTATTGGAGGTGATTGGTCTGGATGATTTTAGTTTGATACTGTCAACCCCTCTTGAATAACAAGGCTTGACCTACCGTGCGGTGAAAACAGGGTGCGAACCTACGAGTTCATGCTTTGAAGCTCGTGATCAACGCTAATTGCCTTGAATATTCCGATCTAGGAGAGGTATCCACTTTTTTAGTAACGAGTCACAGATGTGGCACACCGAGTGACTAGCTAGGCGCTGGCAGGGCTGCACTGTTCTGTCGTCTGATTCCGTAGCCTCGGTTGTTCTTGCAGTATCACAGCTGCATAAATACTGTCTGTGTGTTGTGTTATGTTTATCGATTTGTGCTAGTGAAACGTGTTTCTAAGATGCCTCGTTGAACGGTCCTGTTCCCGGATAGTGCAACCGGATGCTGCAAAGCTGACCGTCGTCTCCGGAGCATCAGTTGGCACGTATATGCCTCGCAGCTTTATCCTCCAACACCTGATGCCCCTAAGTCCTCGAAGAAGTATGTATAGCAATGGACCCAGACGAGGATCAATTCTACGGGTTCTTGACAGGTTCGGTTCCAGTAAGAGTGGATTTCTGCATCGTGAAATATGAGTGACCATGGTGATGGCCAGTTCTACTGAAGTCGGACTGTTACAACTTGCACACTTCGTTGTTGCCATTTGATTACACGTTCTTGTACATGGTGATCCGTATAGATCACAGTGATCGGTGAGTCTTGACATGAAAAATCTACCACAAGCACCACACACAGAATACCCTATTATTAATACCCCATACCAGCTCTAAAGCCCGTTTCTAGCGTCAGGCCATCGGTTGTCGAGGCATCATTCAGTTTTCTTTTGACCTCCATACTTAGGCTTTGCACAGCTTTCAGTAGGGGTCTAAAGTCCTTTTCGTCCCGCGACGCTTTTCTCACGGCGTCGTTCACCCTTTCCAGCAGTCCGATATCTGCAGCGTGAGCATGCACATCTGGAGACCGCAGAATGCTGTTGAGAAGGCAAGCATATGAGACGTAAACACGGTACATGCCCAAAAGCACACACATTGTTTCGGGATAAGGATTTTGTGCTATCGTCATGCAAACAATCTTGAGTAAACCTCTGGAAGCATCGACAGCTAGAGGGGATTCAGGAATATCGGCATCGCAGGACACCGGTCGTGGCGAGTTGGAACTTAAAACGGCCAGCTTCCGCAGCATGAAGATAACGTAGGTGTAACCCGTCATAGCGACATCGCCTAGTAGCCAACTATCAGCTTTGGAGCCTATCAGGAAAGTCCGTTCAATCCATTCTTCCTATAAAAGGTGTTAGAGATGCCAGTCCAGAGCTGAGCGATCAGTGTCTTACGAGCTGGTACTCTTCGAAAAGCCTGCCAATCTCGTGGCAGTATTCTTCTGTTTTGACTCGAACGGTGGCCTCGTCAGAGTTGGGCTTTTCCAGTTGCTGGTAAAATTGCGAGAGAATGAAGGTGAGTCTCGATCCCATAATAAATGTCACTGTAGGCACACCGTTGGGGTCCAATGGCGTGCTTCCTGACAACCAAGGCAAATTAGTCCTCCACTTGCTCATGCTGTCTGTTATGGCTGGTGGCCGATTGAAAAGTAGCCTGAAGAAGAAATCAATTTGGATTAATTCCCAAAAGCCTTTTCTATCCGCATCGAGCTTGGCCTCGTCAAGGGTGGAAAAGTCGGCCTCAGCGTTATGAGCATCAAGGTTGTGTAAATTGAGTGCTTGCGCATACTCGCAGGCGTATGTGTACATCCTCCAAGCCAGCTCCTCATCGAAGGATTCGGCTGCAGTACGGCACTGATGAAAAGAACGGTCAGCAGAGCGTGCGACTGATCCAGAAGGCTGACAAAGCTCACCATAAAAAGAGCGGCTATGAGATCTGTTGTGGTTCCAGTTGCTTCTCGTTGCCACAATGGTATAGAACGGAGACAGCACACATATAGCATTGGAATGTACTTTGAACCCTCATCGGTCTCCTTTGACGTTGACCCTAGCACGCTGCCATGGTGGAGAATACCGTAGTAGACAACTAGAATCGCTGGGTCGAGATGAATATGAGGCAATTCGAGGAGGTCAGGTATCATCTCTATGAGTTTCAAGTTTACGAGGCTGAGGAACATGTTGGTGTGCACATGCGTGAAATAATCTGACAATGATTCAAATCAGACCGTGTTTTCTAGATTGGAAGAAAGATTCAATTGCTGAGTTCCACAGGAAAGGTAGCTCACTCTTAATCCATTGCTTTGCCAACTCTGGAGAAATCCGCACATCTTGAGTGATGATGGCAGTCGAAAAGGTCTGAAATCTCAGCCGTTGCACTTGGTCAACCGCATCTTTAAGAATGGCTGCTACATCAAGTTCGGGTGCGAGACAAGAGGTAGTAAAATTTGTCCAGGGGGACGTTGCCTGCCCCCCAGTGGTGTTTGATTGAGCAGGAGATGAGAAGCTGGAGGACGATGCATGCCGGAGCGAGATGGGAAGGGCGGGAGGGGCCGGAGAGGAAGCAGGGGGTCCTTTCGGGGATTCTGGATTCTGGCTCGGGGCCGAGAGCGTTGTGCAGTGTTTCTCGACGCGCTGTAACCTTTCGAGAATGGCAGATAGTGCGCCATCCGTTGTGCTAGAGCCGCCAAGGCTGGTTCTTCAGCCCTTGATTTTGGCTTCTCGTATTTGATGAAGGAGAGGCAATGCTTACAAGAGTCGGTCCGTCAAGGTTCGAGTTACTTTCCGCTTGACCCGTTGAGGGTAGATACACTCTGTATCATGTGATTTGCATCTATCACATATTGGCATCACACGACTGCACCGAACCTGGAAACGTCGAGACGACAGTCAGCTGTGACTTAAGGTGACTGAGAGGCAAAACACCAACTGACCTTTCTTTGCTTGCATCTTTTGCACTGGCTCAAGAAAGTGCAAACTTCTAGTTAGTCGTGAACAATGAATCGAAGTCTCAACCCGGGCCCATGTCTTTGAAGCCGGGGGGGACAACGGAGCTATGGGACTGCCCGATACTCACCGAAAGCGGGTTCAGACGGCTTGATTGATCCTGGTCTGGCATGTTAACCTAAGCGAAGAGGTTCCTCTGATGGCGGAGAAATAGGGTGGGGGCAATGAATGCAGTCAAGAGGAGGGGATTCGAAGGACAAATAGACGCGGACCACGCCTTCGTTGATCCCGTTAGAGCCATTCGATGTATCATGAACTAGAGTGTCACTTGGGTTGGTTTGGTTTTGGCTTCCAAAGTCTAACTGGATGCAGAATGACGAGATGGCTAGGATCCTTGTCTGACGCGACTCGGCGTGGAAGCGCGTCCCGGAGGCCGCGGACCGCTTGATAGAGGATCCCGAGAACGCCGCACGATCACTGAGACAGCACGAACTGATTTCCCAGCATACTGTCGAAAAGGCCAAAAAAAAGAGTGTGTCCTCTCTCCATCCGGCAGCAGCTGTAATTGAGTGCTAGTTCACTGTCAGTGCCAAGAACAACAGACCAGGTGTTAAAAGAAGAATGTCAAAAGCCAACCCCCAACATCGATTGATTCCATTCAGTGTCTTGGCAGTGTCCAAGTCGAAGGCACAATGGGCATCATAGGGGTGAGCAGTCCACCAAAAGCGGACTCTCGGACTCCTCCGAGTCCGTCATCGACTACAAATGGCGCCCAAACGGCTGTTTCTTCCGACAGTCACGATCCTACCATGATTTCTGACTCATGGACGAGTATCGAGGACTGTCGTCTGTAATATGGAATAGCACGCTCTTGGAGCCCTTCTGTTTCTTTCGACCTAGTCCATGCATTGTGTATTTGCATATTTGCTTCTTGAAACCTTTCCCCATCTTACCGGTCATGACTTCAATCTTGTCCTTTCCTGGTAGTTGGATGGTATTTTTGGTCTGAGCGATCATCAAAGCGGCCGGGCGATCTGACATGAGTGATCATGCGGTCTCACCGAATTACCCAGCGGCACAGACCTCCTGCGCCTGGCCTTCAGCTATTAGCTTGTTCTGAAGTGAAGCAAGGCAAATTGGCTACTTGAATTGTATTACTAAATCCCGAATTCGCGGTATCGGCAGAATTTCGTCTTCGCAAAATATTACGTAAGGGTGCAATAAGTGTCCAAAATTTCCCCCGTATCGTCTAGTAACCGGGAAGAAGCGAAACGAAGCTACTTGTACGCACTCGCAAAGTCTAAGCGTACATAGTAAAACCGTCGCTGGTCGGTCATAGCTTGTCGCTGGCAGCTTTGCTGGTATATAACTTCTTTCCCACCGTGGTTGAAGGTCTGACCTTCACTCGTCGCCACTGACTGGAAATCAACACACGAACGAGAAAGATACAGCTGATGAGTCGGTGGTTGTTTGCAGCTCTGTTTGCATTGTTTGTTTGACTGTTCACACACCAACACAATCTAAAATATACACCGGTTCTGCCCCCTCACGACCAACGGTAAGAAATTGCAATCATCGGTCTTTTAGGCCATCTGGGCCGACACGGTTGCAGAGACAGGATGCAGAAAGCATGAAGGTGCTACTTAGCTAGCCTCGATAATGAACGATGAGGTCTCGCAGCTCGCCCGCAGTTTCACCACGCAGTCCCTTGCTGCTCCCGGCACACTGTTCCCGGTCGTCGCCGAAGGTCCTCTGGATCCCAACAGCGATGCGTTTGACGCTAGAGAATGGGCGAGAGCATTTTACAACATCCGCATCGATACTTCCGAAGGCAATCCACCAAAAACCACCGGCATCGCATTCAAGAACCTTAGTGTTTTCGGCTATGGCTCATCCACCGACTACCAGAAAAGCGTGGGCAACATCTTCCTTGGCGTAGTGACCGTGGTAAAGAAGCTGCTAGGAAGAAGAGACCAAAAAATTGACATTCTTCACGATATAGAGGGCGTTGTCCAAAGCGGCGAGCTCTTGGCCGTTCTTGGTCCGCCTGGCTCCGGGTGTTCGACATTTTTGAAGACGGTTGCCGGCGACACACATGGATTCTATGTCAGCAACAACGCGACCATCAACTATCAGGGCATTCACCCAAAAGCCATGCGCACAGCATTCAGGGGCGAGGCCATCTACACAGCAGAAGTTGATAATCACTTCCCGCACTTAACCGTGGGAGACACGTTGTATTTCGCAGCGCGCGCCCGATGCCCGAAAAATGTCCCCAAAGGCGTGTCGAAAAGAGAGTACGCCGAGCATATCCGTGATGTGACCATGGCCATGTTCGGCATCTCTCACACCAAAAACACTCGCGTGGGTGACGATTTCATCCGCGGTGTAAGCGGTGGCGAGAGAAAGAGAGTCACCATCGCGGAGGCTGCGTTGAGTTACTCGCCATTGCAGTGTTGGGACAACAGCACAAGAGGCCTCGATAGCGCCAACGCCCTCGAGTTCTGCCGAACGTTACGTACGCAAGCCGATGTCATGGGTTCGACCTCTTGCGTTGCTATCTATCAAGCTTCCCAGGACGCTTTCGATGTAAATGCACCCATTATATCACCCAGATCCCCAGCGTCCAGAAGTTAACGTTTTGAAGATATTTGACAAAGTTCTGGTTCTGTACAAAGGCCGGCAGATTTTCTTCGGCAAAACCAAAGAAGCCAGAGCATACTTCGAAGGTTTGGGATTCATCAGTCCAGAACAGCAAACAACGGCCGACTTCTTGACCTCGATGACGAGCCACAAAGAGCGCGTCATCCGGCCCGGATGGGAGGACAGAACGCCGAGAAGTCCGGAAGAATTCGCTCAAGCATGGAAGACGAGCGAACATCGCGCACGCCTTATGGAAGAACTCGAGGACTATCTGCAGCGTTATCCGTTCCACGGAGAGTACCACGCCAAATTTCTAGAGGCCCGCAAGATCGACCAATCCAAGTTTCAACGCGGGAGGTCCCCCTTTACGCTTTCATACATGGAGCAGATGCGTCTGACCCTATGGCGCAACTGGGTGATGCTCAAAGGCGACCCTAGCATCACCTTGACCATGCTCATCACGAATGTTGCCCAAGCTTTGATCATCAGCAGTATTTTCTACAACCTGCCCCCAGGCACGTCCAGCATGAATCGCCGCGCTATCCTGCTTTTCTTCATCATTCTCATCAACGCCTTTGGGAGCATCCTTGAGATATTGTTGCTATATGCGAAGCGCAAGATCGTTGAGAAGCACGCCCGATACGCCTTATACCATCCTAGTGCCGAGGCCCTGTCATCCATGGTTGTGGATCTACCCTATAAGATCGTAAACGCCATACTAATGAACACAACCTTGTACTTTATGGGCAATCTTCGGCGAGAACCTGGTCCGTTCTTCTTTTTTTTACTCATTTCATTCACGATGGTGCTGACCATGTCGATGATGTTCCGTCTCATCGGGTCAGCCGCCAGGTCTGTTACTCAAGCGCTGGCACCAGCTTCAGTTATTCTCTTGATGATCTCGCTCTACGCTGGCTTCGCACTTCCAACGGAGTACATGCAGGACTGGCTTGCTTGGCTCAGGTGGATAAATCCAGCCTACTACGGATTCGAAAGTGTTATGCTCAATGAGTTCGTCGGGCGCGACTTCCCTTGCTCGGCCTTTGTCCCCCAGGGTCCTACTTATGGCTCGGTGGCTGCTACCGAGAGGGCCTGCTCCTCTGCTGCAGCTGTCCTTGGGCAGGACTTCGTCCGTGGGACGGATTACCTTCTCACTTTATATGACTACGAGAATTCCCATCGATGGAGGAACTTTGGTATTCTGATCGCTTGGATGGTCTTTTTCATGGGATCGCATTTGTTCGCTACAGAGTACATCTCATCTGAGCGATCGAAGGGTGAAGTTCTGGTGTTTAGTCGGAAGGCTATGAGGAGACATTGGATGCAAGACAGAGATGATGTGGAGACAGATGCTGCAAATAATCCCCAACAAACAAGCAGCGACAACTCCGAAGGTGTTACCGGTATGGAGGAGCAGACAGCAATTTTCCATTGGAAAGACGTTTGTTATGACATTAAGATCAAGAGCGAGCCCCGGCGCATCCTGGACGAAGTCAGTGGTTGGGTCAAGCCTGGCACTCTAACCGCACTCATGGCAAGTCACCAGCAGTATAACAAATCGAGAAGAGCGTAGCTAACCTGACATAGGGTGTTTCTGGAGCAGGAAAGACCACTTTGTTGGATGTCCTTGCTACGCGCGTGACTATGGGCGTCATATCCGGCGAAATGCTTGTCAATGGGCAACCTCGAGATGAGTCCTTTCAACGAAAAACGGGATACGTCCAGCAGCAAGACCTCCATCTTCCCACTTCGACTGTTCGAGAAGCACTCAACTTCAGTGCCCTGCTTAGACAGCCTGCGCATTACACAAAAAAGGAGAAGCTTGATTACGTGGACACTGTGATCCACCTCTTGGACATGGAGGAATACTCTGACGCCGTCATTGGCGTCCCAGGCGAAGGTTTCAACGTTGAGCAAAGGAAACGACTCACAATCGGTGTAGAACTTGCAGCACGTCCCCAGCTCTTGCTCTTTCTCGATGAACCTACTTCCGGACTTGACAGTCAAACATCATGGTCCATTTGCGACCTCATGGAGAAACTGACTAGAAGCGGTCAAGCCATCTTGTGCACCATCCACCAACCCTCAGCAATGCTTTTCCAGCGATTCGACCGATTACTTCTTCTCGCCAAAGGAGGTCGCACAGTATATTTCGGCGAGATCGGCAGGAACTCACAGACCCTGGTTGATTACTTCATCCGCAATGGGGGTCCGGAATGCCATCCTGGAGCCAATCCCGCGGAATATATGCTAGAAGTCATTGGTGCTGCGCCCGGAGCCCATACCGACATCGACTGGCCCGCCGTCTGGCGTCAAACACCAGAGTATCAATCGGTTCAAGATGAGTTGGCCCGATTGTGTGCCGGTACCTCAGCTCAGTCTGCACCAGTCAGCAAACCAGACCCGTCGAGTTATAAGGAGTTCGCCGCCGATTACGGGACCCAATATGAGGAGGTTACGAAGCGCGTGTTCCAGCAATACTGGCGTAGCCCTTCATACATCTACTCCAAAGGAATCCTATCTTTTGGTCTTGTAAGTGCTCCCTTCCAGGGTCCTTGTCATAGGCGATCAGCTGACCGAAGCAGGCACTGTTTATCGGGTTCTCTTTTCTGAACGCCAAAAACACGCAACGTGGCTTGCAAAATCAGACATTCGGCGTTTTTATCTTCATCACCATGTTCACCCAGGTTGCACAGCAGATAATGCCCATCTTCGTCTCTCAAAGAACAATGTATGAGGCCCGCGAGAGACCTTCGAAGGCGTATTCGTGGACAGCGTTCCTGTTCGCCAACATCCTCGTGGAGATGGTCTGGAACTCAGTAAGCCGTCTTTGTGCAATGGTGGATGTGATTATCGTAACTGACACCAATCCAGCTTATGGCGGTCCTCAGCTTCGTTTGCTGGTACTTCCCAATTGGGCTATACCGGAATGCATATCCCACTGATTCTGTTGACTCTCGGGGCATCACCATGTTTCTCCAAGTCTGGATGTTTTTTATCTTTACTGTTTCATTCGCTTTTATGCTCATTGCCGGCCTGCCGAATGCTGAAATGGCCGGCGGCCTCCTCAACCTGTTCGCAATCATGATGTTCTTGTTTTGCGGGTGAGCCTTATTATCAAACTCAAGAGTCGGACGACATGGCTGACGTGTGTTAGAATCATTGCGGGCCCAAGGGAGCTTCCGGGCTTCTGGATCTTCATGTACCGTGTAAACCCATTCACGTATGTGGTAGAAGGCTTCTTGGGCACGTCGCTGGCCAACGCACCTGTACAGTGTGCTTCAAACGAATACGTCACCTTCAACGCCCCTGCAAACCAAACTTGCGGGCAATACTTATCAGATTATATTTCTGTCGCTGGAGGCTATCTATCGGACCCAAACGCAGGCAATGGAGGCAGCTGCCAGTACTGTGCCCTAGCTGACACCAGTGCCTTCCTGAAAGGTATCAATGTCGAATTTGGAAATCGATGGAGGGATTTTGGGTTCATATGGATATACACAATCTTCAACCTAGTCGTGGCAGTCCTGGTCTACTGGCTAGTGCGTGTGCCAAAGAAGAGCAAAGTGAAGAAAGAATGATGGTCTTAGATATTCAATTGTTAATAGGAGAGAACGTTATCATGTAACTAGAAGTGATAGGTGCAAGTCTCAACTTCTCTCCATGTTGTGCTCCTTATCCATCAATGACTCAACGCTCCTACACTGTTGGACGTAGACCTCGTTTTTGAAGACACTTCTAATATGTTGGACGGTGCCATATGATGACCTGTATTCTCACAAAGGTCCGGGCCAAACAGCGGCAGAAAAGCGGTTGACTTTGGCTCCTGAGATCCTACGAAAAAGTCGCAGTCTTTTTAAAAAACAAATTGCCGGATGTAAAGATCTTGGTACATCGTCACTGTCCGAGTTATTGCTAGCTGTCAATTTCTCCCCGGCTTGCGATTTCTTCAATGATTGCTCTTGATTTTCTAAGCATGTAAGAAGGGGGCACCTATCAACAACATGTACAAATCACCAATAAGAGTGTGGATTTGACCTGGGCTTGGCTTTTGCTGGCTGCAGCACAGCGAATAATGGCGGGCGGGAGACATAGCCAATGCTCGATTATTTAAGCCTAGCGACAGCGCTTGAGATCGGAGAATGCAACATGACATGCCAAGACCGTTTGACGGCTAACTATTGAAAACGCGTGCCTTGCAGCGCAAACATGGGAAAGATGATCGAAGCGTAGGGCAACGTAGCTTGTTTCTGACTTGTGACTGGCGTCGCGTCAACACCATAGTTCTACGTCATCCTCCGCAAAACATGGAGGAGATTGTGCATCTCAAATGTCAAAAACGGAGCTTACCGTCATAAAAAGTGTGCCCGTTTGTCTGCACAAGGGCGGTGTTCATGTCTGGGGGAGGAGGAAGGAAAGAAGCAAATGTCTCCCAGGTGCCCAGGGGTTGGATCGGGAGTGTGCTCAGTCTCACCGCCGTCAAAGGCCCGTTGATGGGCTGTTTCAGGTCACGTTCCTTCTGAACTATGTCGCGTAGTTAGCTGGATGGGAGACACCGACGTGGCCCCCTGTGCAAACAAGCAAATGCGCCTGGAGTACTTACTTTCTTTTCCTGATATGTGTTTTGTCATCCCGCTGGATGCTATGCAATACAGTGTAACATCGTTGCCCACAGCTCTTCCTAAATATTTCTTAGTCGCACTGCAGGGGGAGAAGGCCGCGATAACGATTCTTTTGGGGGATAGCACGGTGCGTCTGGGCTTCTCATAGCGCCATTAGTTACGCCCCTAAATACGTGCGTCTTGCTTAGATAATGCGGAATGGTAGTCCTAAGGACTCGTTTGGCAGGGAGAACAAATCTTTGGCGCTGGGAAGGGCTAGCTAGTGTTTGGTCTAGAAGGCCGAATAGCTCTCTTCGCGCCACCACCACCTTTGTCCGTAACCTTGTCCATGTCACGCATGTCTCGCCCAATCCAGTCTCTGATCAGGGCCATAAAGGCTCTCTTATTGATACCTCTCGTCAAGCTCTGTTACCGGGCAGAAGTTTTCTACTCGCTTCTTGAATGTCTAGTTCCCCATGTGCGTCCCTCTCCGCATGATGATCGGAGACAACGCCGACCCAACCCTCCGCACGACATCCCCTCAACAGCGCGGTCCTACCGCAGGGTCTACAGTGATTGGGCGTTCGGTGGCTTTGGTCTGAAGCACGTCCGCTGGCACGTCCTGGATCTGCAGGACAAGTGCTCCGGTCTGAATGGTCACATGGCGCATGCACGCAGTCCAGCCCCCATCCCATACAACACTCTCTGAACCTCTCAACCCAGCGAGCCTAACGAGGGCCGAAGGCAAAAGACCGAGGGTTATCGCTTGCCTCTCTTTGTATGGGCTGAGAGCTGCAGCAAGCGAGCTTGATTTTGTCCGGTCGCCTTCCTCTTTTTTCTGGCTTTCAAGTCTTGCCTCGTCTCGCCCCGCCTCCAACACGCCTGCCAAAACCCAACAAGATCGAGGACCAGTTGAAGCTCGTCATATCCGTCCCTAGCTCAGGCGTGGTGGCTAGACGAGGGGCTTCTGCGTGACTTGTGGCGGGCTAGCTCTGTCTCCTCACTTCTCACCTCCCTTTCCCTCCTTCATCCATACACTTCCGACGCGTCCTTCAGCCATAGCTCGAGAGTGCTGGCCGGACTTGCCTTCTCAGGGAGGACGGCGACTGGTCCGGGGTTGCCCTCACCATCGCTCATCAAAATTTGACTCACCATCATCTCACTTTTGCCCATCTCCCGTCAGAACGGTCGCATTCCTCACTCATCCACTTTTGTTTGCAACGCTTTTTGGCTCAAGCCAACGTTTTCTGACGTCTTTGTCATCAACCAAAACGCAACGTGGACAGCAGCGAGAGCGACGGCGAAGTCCTCCGGGGCGATTTCCCCACAGCGCAACCCCGACGCGGTGAGCCAGCCCAACCCAGCCATCCGCCATGCGCCCGATCAAGGCCACGCGATGGAGGGCGGTGAGCCGCAAGTCCGACAAAATCTCGATTCTCACCCTTTTGGGTGTCTCAGAGGTACTCAAAATCCGCGGCAAATGGCGCCTGGCACTGAGGCTCGGGAACTTCGCCCTGCAGCAGTCGCAGGGCCTGGGGACTTTGACTGAGGGCCTGGCCCTGTTGAGCGTCGGGCATGCCTATCGTAACCAAACTCCAGAGGATTGGATATCGGCCCAGCATCACCTTCGGATGGCAAAACTGCTCCTCGAGGGTCTCCCGCCGAGTGAAGACCAGACCTTCTATCTTATGCGCGCTGTCCTGCTGCTCGGCGACACCCTTGTGCGTCGTGAGGATCTTGGCGACATTGCCGAAGCCGAAGAGTTGGCTCATCTGGCCGAGCGCCTGCTCCGCCAGAGCCGTGAGCGACCGGGCAACTCTTTCCGCTGGACTCTCTTCACCGGCTCATGGCGTGATTTTTGTGTGCATTCCATGGTTGAGCTTGGTGAGATTTACTACTACACGAGTCGCTGGGCCGAGGGAGAAAAGCTGCTTCGTGAATTGGTGCCGACACTGGTCAAGAGACGGGGTAAGCGCCATGTGACGACGATCGAAGCACAACGTGACCTTGCGAGCATGTTGGTCAACCAGGACAAGTACGAAGAGGCCGAAATAGCGTATCGAATCGCGCGGGATTGGAACGAGGAAGTCCCCGTCTTCGGCCATGAGGAGAAGGCTGCTATCGACTACAACATTGCCATGTGCCTATCCGAGCGCGGCAAGGACAAGGAAGCCCGGGTTGAGATTGGAAACATGGATTTGGCAGCTGACCTTCTGCACTACGCAAATGGCGAATGGACTCTGAAGCTGGCGCGCCTCACGAGTCTTCGCCTGAAGAAGTACGAGGAAGTGGTTGCTCTTTGTCGAAGGTTCCAACGAGTCTTGGATGAGCACAGGGCGAGGTTCGGGCCCTGCAGCCCTGTGACTTTGAGGAACATGGAGGACCACGTCACGGCCTTGAAAGCGCTTCGCAGATGGGACGAAGCGATTGTTATTCTGCGCGACATGTGCCGGCGTGAGGCAAGCGACGTGGCACGTGTGGTTGAGCAGACTCTCGAGACTCGCCTGAACCTCGCCCACACTCTCCGCCACGCCGGTCTCCATGAAGAAGCGGCATACGAATATCGCAAGTGCCTAGAAATTGAACGCGCGGCATCTGATGACTTCAAGGACGAGGCTCAAATCCGCAACATACTTAAGTACCTCGCGTATCTCTACGAGTTAGCGAGGGACAAGACAAACGCGCTCATTGCGTATTCACAGCTGCAGAGGGAGTATTGGGGTCGGCCGAGCCAGCATCGAAATTTTATCAAATACGAATGGTGCAGGGGCAAAATGTTCATGTTGCAAGGGCGCTGGGAGCATGCGTTGAAATTGCTTTTGAGCGCTCTCGCGGTCAAAAGGGGCGTCGAAACAGCAGTCTCGATCATCACTGGCTTGCCGATCGAAGCCGTTCATGCCATGCAACCGGGCAGGAGAGTCACAGACCTTATACAGCCCGAGATTTTGGAGTCGGATGTTGAAGCGGATGAAGAAAACGAGAAAACAGTGGACAAGACAACGATCAGGGGCCACGTCCAAGTCACAGAGTTGAACCTCGAAGACGAAGAGGACCAGTCATGGGACGAGGTAGATTGGTGGGAAGAGGTTATTAAGGACGCCGTTGACGCTGTCCGGCGCGAAGAGCCGTTCCAATCCTGTACACCCCTCGATGAGGCCGACTCAGAGGTTGACGACGACGAAGTGGACGAAACCGTGGACGCTGTCCTAACTTTGAAGAGCGGGTACCCTTCTGTGCCAGCCGACGATGAGTGGTCGCAGCCCCAGTGGCCGCGACTTCCAGACACATATGAGGAGCTTGTAATTCAGCAGAGAAGGGTCGTCGAGGAAAGTCGACCATGGGTTCCATGAGGAAATGTACGACAGAACTAGAGGTTGACGGCATGTTCTTATGATATCCGGAGTTGAGCTTGATGCTCGGAACAGTGTCTTCTTACATTTGTATGCGGCAAATCAAGGTACATAAGATGGGCAGAGCTGGATATAATGACTTGAATGTTTTTCATCACAATATAATGACAATTTTTCTTTTGTTCACAGCCGAATGACGAAAGCCAAGCAGGTATGAGCTGGTCTCCTTACCTCGCTGAATGTCGATCCAGGCCTTCGGCCCCGCCCGCATTGTCAACCCATTCAGTCTTCCGTTCCCGGGTTTAACGCCGTATCGCCGTCGCTTACTCACCAGTTGTGCTCCGTGGAGGATTCAAAGCCTGCTCTTTATACGTCAACTCGATTACGCAATTGTATAAAATGGCAATTTTATCATACCTCGCCAACCACATAAAGGCAGCGTCGGCTGAATAGCTGTTGCTCAAAAAAGGGTTTTTGATCCAAAACACTTTATTACTCAATTCAGTTCACCCCTATCAGCATCTTCCACTCCGATCAAGCCCATTCGCTGGTCACATCGAAAATGTCAGTCCTTGTGCTCGGAGCTGGTGAGCTTGGCATGGCTATGCTTAAATCTCTCACAGCACACCCCTCACGGTCAACAGGCTCTTCGGTCTCCGTTCTCCTTCGACCTTCCTCTATCAATTCACCTGATGTAACAAAGATTGACCTAATAGCCCATGTCAAGGCTCTAGGTGTCTTTATCGAAGCAGGCGATATCGTTAATGACGCCACTCAGGATCTTGCGGGTACCTTTTCTAGGTACGACACAGTCATCAGCTGTACTGGCTTCGTAGGGCCAACAGGTACTCAACGACGGATCTGTGAAGCTGCCCTACTCGCCAAAGTACGGCGTTTTATTCCCTGGCAATTCGGTGTGGACTACGATGTTATCGGACGAGGAAGTTCGCAAGTACTTTTTGATGAGCAGCTTGATGTCAGGGATATGCTGAGGGCGCAGAGAGATGTGGACTGGATCGTTGTCAGCACGGGTCTTTTCATGAGCTTCCTTTTTGTGAAGGATTTCGGCGTGGTGGACTTCGAAGAGAAGAAGCTGCGGGCTCTAGGTGGATGGGACATTGAAGTAACGCTCACCACACCAGAGGATATTGCCCATATGACAGCAGAAGTTGTCTACAATCCTCGTGGAATCCCTGGAGATAACCGGAATGTGGTATATATCTCTGGCGATACGGTCTCATATGGCCGCGCTGCGGACTTGATCGAACGGAAGTTCCCAGACGTCAAGTTCACAAAGGAAGTATGGGAAATGAAGTCTTTAAAGGAGAATCTCGAAAGGAACCCCAACGATAGTTGGAACAAATATCGCGGAATCTTTGGCGCAGGCAAGGGTATCTCATGGGCGGACGAAGAAACTTTGAATTTTGAGCGTGGCATCAAGCTTAAAGATCTGGAGACTTTTCTTCAAAACATAGAGACTCCAGCTGCGCTGAACAAGTAGGTGGATATTTCGTCAGGACAGACATTATTGAATAAATCATACATCCAGTCACCAGTAGAAACGAACGCATGAATTTCAACTCAAAGCTGTAGCGATTTAATTCATCATCGTCAATATTGCTGCAGAGACGGCAGATGTCTAGGGCAGCCTCCACATGGCGCAAGGTTCCAGTGCTATATAGGGTTTGTACTTACATGGAAACGTAAGTCAGTTCAAATATGACGGTATGCTTGGCGAACGCCGTCTGTATTTGATTCGGGAATCCGCAGAGTCTCCTCAACGAGGAAAAGAATGAACCGTTCTTGGCGTGGTGGGTTCACGACTCCGAAGAGAGGACGGGGCTACTTGCAAAGTGCGGTAATGACGACAATTTGTTGTCAACAGAAACTACATAAGATAATCTCCCATAGAGGTAGGAATAAACTTTTCATTAAGCTTGTCCTGTGGTGTGGTCCCAATCTTCATAAATGCCGACCTAGCCGGCCGTCTTAGCCGTCAGGGTACGATCGCATCGCAGGCAGGCTTAAATGTTCTCTGAACCTATACTCAGAACCCATAAAGCTACTTCAAAGAGCGAGTAAAATATGTCGATTCCTGGTGCGATGAAGATATGATAAAAATCTTTCACTCAGCTTGGGCAAGTTCATAACCCTCTTGGTAGGGGCTTAGCACCGGGGTGGATGTTATTTGAACAACGCTGCGAATGGACCTCTAGTAAAGAGCATGTAAAAACAGTTGCCCAGCAAGTGCTGCATGCGATTCTTCCTATCGCGCGGTCAGTAGAGCAGCAAAATCTTCTCTTCAACGAAGAAACCGCGAACAAGATGCGTTGTCGACTCACCCGGCATCGTCCGACTAGACCGAACCATCGCATGTTTCAATTGTTAAAGGGCTTGGAGATGAAGACTAACTCACTTAGTAACAGAGAGCCGAAGCTACACCGATGGGCACAACTGTCGCTGCAGCATGCTTGTAGAGCATGGGCCACAAAAAAATGGCGCGTAAAAAGTAAGAAACCTGAAAAAGTTACTATGCCTAAGGCAAACGGGATACAGTGCCAATGGTAACATGATTACCTATTAGGGGTTTCCCAGTCCTCTCAAGTCTTGCTTATTTCCCGAACTAATTAGTGAACTAGCACATTTGTGTCGATGTTGTAAGGCATCTCGGTCTGAACGGCCTAAATCTGTGCTTCTGACGACATGCTGGGAACTGCGACTAACTCTCAAACTGCGCCAAGGGATTTACGGAGAAGAATTTTCCAGACCAGTAGCAGCATGTAAATACTGTGATGGGGCGAACATGATTCTGCGGATCGTTCTGTTGTCTCTGTAGTCCTCCAGCATTACTCGCTGATCGACTGTGGCCGATAACAAACCCCCAGTTTTTGTATAGTTGAAACCTAGCTTGACTGGACCCAGACCACGGAGAATTTGTTGTTAGTGTTTTTTGCCTAGCCCCGAACCGAATAGAATGACTGAGTATAATTCTAGTTGAGCCCCCATACACGGTTGCTCATGTTTGGTTGATATGTCTTTGTCCATAGAAGGCGCAGGCCAGCCGAGGCCCATGTAGATGCAGCATCGACTCTGACAATTATTCGGTCTCGCAATGTCAGTTACGTGCCAGACACTCTGACAGGCTCGAATTTAACTGCACTGTTGTTTCAGCAAAAGGACGGGCAAACCAGTCCCTGGCTCGTATTAGGATCTAAATGCATTTGAGTTTGGTTACAGAGTTTCGAAAAGAAGAGTGTGTATCGATCAGGCACTCAAAAGCTTTTGCAGGTGGCACCCAGGGAATCACCTAGCCACTTATATCCATTGATGTTATCTTAGAAAATACTTGCCCCCTTTTCACGTCATGTTTCGCTCCAAGACTCGGCGCCAAGGTAATTCGCGTTAGGAAGTGTACGTGTCTCACCCTTGGCTTTTTGTGAAAGGGACGAACTCGTTCATGGTACCTGAGTTTGGAAGAGAAAGCCTTGACGCGTTGGCAATGAATCAAAGAGCTTGATTGTAAAACGGCTAACCTAATTGTCGGGAATGCCAAAGCCCAGAAAAAACACTGGCTACATGCGCCAAACATTTTGCTACTAAGTGATATCGCTTTCTCATTCTTGTTCTATTTCTGTCCTGTAGCTCTTTATTCGACTGGTAATCTTACAACACCAACGGGGCTCTAGGGGTGCAGTAGCCGTGAAGTTACCGTCATCTTCCCGGCACAAAAGGGCCATCGGCCAAAGATCAGTGATTCTCCAATGCTCTCAAATGCGCTGCTCATGGTGGCGGAAGTCGTCCGTGAAGAGAGCCAACGTATAATGCCACGAAGAGAAAGCAATGTGTCTTGGCACACTCTGTCTCTATCAGTCATCTATCAGTCAGAAACAAGCGTCAAGCGCAAAATCAGCCGTGGCGACCTCTCAGGAATTGGGCGAACAGCATTGAAAACTATATGTCCAAGACAGCTAGACAGGGCCAGGCCAGTCTGTGATCAACATGTATAAAGATGGTTCGATGTTCCACGAACCACAGAATCGGATGAAACCGACTCGTTGGTAACCGAAAACGATGTTGAATGCTGACGTCGCAGTGGGGAGGTGACCACATCCACATCAATCTATATTATTCCCCAGCAGCGGGAGTACAAGCCTTTCTCACTAGAAAACATGGGTTTAGGAGGCACGGGAGGCAAATCTGAGCGCGACACTATAGGATTGGTTCGGCCCCCATCCGCACGATAACGCGGATGGGACACGTCCGGTCTCTTGTAAATGACTCTCTGCTCAGAATAGGGCCCAAGCTCCGGATAGTGAGTGCAATCTTCCAGCCACTCTCCGGCAGGCAGAAGAAGGTCAAATGGAGTTTGCAATGTTACGGACAGGCAAGAGAACACTCACGCACGTTAAGAGAAAGGATTTGAATTTTGCGTTCAGTTTCTCCAACTTGCACGGATCCTAGCCCGCCTCCCGATGACGAATGGCCACTGGCATCAGCGCACCGCGCACCCACCCCCATAATAGGGGCCAATATATGCGGCTGCATCACCGGTACTGACCTGCAGAGTCTTGCAAGGCAATCCCAGGCGTATATGTGATGATCTATAGTTCCCTAACGCACTGATTCTCGAACCTTCATGTTATGATTTACCAACGCCTCGGCTCATAATGGAGACACTTAAGAGAGACTCACCATGCATTTTCAGGACGATCCGGACGAGAGCCAGATATCGGATGGAGGGCCCTCAACCAAGACGACCTTAAACCGTCTGAACCGACGAAGCCGGCAATGCGCCCACCTGATACGACGTGAGCAACGGGAACGTCATGGCCAGGAACGGTCGATTGCCTTGCAGAGTGACAACGTGCCTGCCAAGGGGCAGTGATTAACGGACAACGGACAGCAAAACTTACGGGCTCCATATTACTGTTCCGTCAATATGAGTTACCGATGCATCAGTCAGTCCCGCCAAGGCCATGTCCAATCCCCTTTCGAACTTCGCCCGCAGTCACACCAGTCGACATGGGAAAAGCAATATGGGATCATAGGCATCACGGTTTTTTTTTGTCTGAGAAAGTCTTGGCACTGCTTTGGAAAATTGGAGAATGTGGAGAATTGCAGATAGTTGAATTCGTCATGGTTGGCTTGGTCGGCTTGTGGGAGACCCCTAGCGCTGGCCACGGGTGTTTCGAAACGTCCTGCAAGGGGCACATTCGACATTAAAATGTGCCTCTCCAGGTTATCTCACAGGGGTAAGTGAGCAGTTAGAATGTGGTGTTGAAGTGTGTGAGAAAAGTACAATGGCGCGTGGGAGTGCGAAAACGAGTAGTAACGAAAGACAATTGTTGCTTGCCAACTTGTCGACTGTTGCAATCGTTCATGTTTCGTATGGGCGAGTGGCTTAGCAGCAATTGCTAGGGGCCCCATATAGCCACCATCTATCTGGTTGATCACTTTATTTCAGACCTGGTATTCGTCTGTGTTCAGGCTTCGCGGCCAAGGAGATCGAATTGGAGGGCGGGCCTGGCTAGTCAGTGAGCCGGGATCCCCAGTCGAGTCGTCAATGTCATCAGAGCCCTCTCTTCCTTTCTTTCGGGCAACGACTTGCGTACAAGCAATCAAGTTGGGATGAGTCCATGTCCCGACTTGGGAGTAGACTCCATTTTGTGATGGAGCTAGACTTCCAATGACAGGAGCTCTTGCAGTGCTGCCCAAACTTGACGACCTCATGCACGTCGTTGGCGCCGTCAACGGAATCTTGTGAGCCCACTTTACGGATCCAAGGTGGATTGGGCCCCTGGTGCGATCTTCAAAGCCTGCATCGACGCTTTCATTTCCTCCGCGTCGCTTATTGATTGAAGCCGTACTCTTTGCGGAGGAGATAGAGCACCTGGCCTAGCTCTGGGCCGAAGCACGCACACTTTGTTCCTACACTAACCTAGACCAGCCCCCAAGTCCACGAAGGTGGCAGGTAGTAGTGTGAATTCATGGTAGTCATGGACCTGGACATAATCCGATCCACCCTTACGTCTCTCTTGATATAAGTAACCTCGAGTTCTCTTCCTATAGTCTTAATTCCATGCTCTTCACCTTCATCTCATTTCCTTTCAAAGTTCTCTGTTCATTAAGTTTCACTCTTTCAAGCAGGCTTGAACTGTTTCTTCATTCTCTCAGGTAGACAAGCCATTTCTCTCTCTGTTATCTATCCTCTCTCATCAACCATTACCACGTTCAAAATGAAGTACACCTTCGCTGTCGCTCTTAGCACCCTTGTGCTCGGCATCACTGCCGCCCCGGCGGCCAACGGCGCAACTCAGGGCAACGCCATTGCTCACGCCGAGCGTGGCTACTTCGACTTCCTTCACCACGCCGCCCGCGCGGAGAAGCCAAGCAAGACCAGATCTGCTAAGGGCCCCAAGAAGACGAAGCCTAGCAAGACCCGCAAGCCCGGCTCCATCATCACATCCGCCCCTGGCGCTCCTGGCAACGGAACCAACAATTTCGAGATCCGTGCCAGCAACGGCACTGCCGCCGCCGGTGGCCTGCCCGCCTCCTCCGGTACCTCTGTTCTGAAGGCGGCCCAGACTGTCGCTGCTGGTCAATCCTTCGATGGTGGCATGGTTGCCTTCGACCGTGGTGTCTCCTGCACTGGCCAGGCCGAAGGCGGTGACTCTGATGCTGTCTTCATCCTCGAGAAGGGCGCCAAGCTCTCCAACGTCATCATCGGCCCTAACCAGATTGAGGGCGTTCACTGCATGGGTGGCTGCTCTCTCGACAACGTCTGGTGGTCCGCGGTATGCGAGGACGCTTTCACCATCAAGAAGCAGGATGCCGGCGAGACCACCACCATCACCTCCGGCGGCGCGTTTGGAGCCGAGGACAAGGTTCTCCAGCACAACGGCGCTGGCACTCTCTCCGTCAGCGGCTTCACAGTTGAGACCTTTGGGAAGCTTTACCGCAGCTGCGGCAACTGCAAGACCATGTACGAGCGTCACGTCATCTTTGATAGCATCAACGCGTCTTCTGGAAAGCTTCTTGCTGGTAAGTTATCATCACACCGATTCCTGGTAGCCACCGACACATGCTGACATTGTTTTTCTCACAGGAATCAACTCTAACTACGGTGATACTGCTACCTTCAAGAACGTTGTTGCTAAGAGCGTCAAGACGATCTGCACTGAGTTCAAAGGCAACGACAGCGGCGACGAGCCAACTGAGATCTCTTCCGGTCCCTCCACGTACTGCAAGTACTCTACTTCCGACATAACCAGCTCTTAAGCATGGTAACTCGATACAAGATCTGCTCAGGCGATTTGTCCTGAATGAAAGATTAACATGGATGCCACATGCAACAAAATAGCGATCCAAATCACTGGCTTGTTTACTTGTACATATTCTTTCTTGTACATCCCACATTAGCATGTACATAGAACCCAAAGCTCTGCGGGCAGTTATCAAAATTTGATGTTCTCACTTCGTGCTTTGGACTTTGAGATTGCTTGGATGGAACGTAGAGACTGCAAGTGAACGCATCCTTAAACCTTGGGTCAATAAGGTAGCATCTGAAGCCGAGAGCGCCTGTTGGGCCAGGGCTTGGGAAATGCTTTTCGGGCTTAATGTCATTCATTGGAGCTCTGACCAGGCGTAAAACTAGATATAAGAACGAAAGCTTAGAGCGACACTAGAAGCATTGAGGGCAAGGCTTGTGTACAAAGTCCTTCTTTACGTGTGTAGACGTCAAGCTGGGGTGTCAGCCCCGATTGGGTGAGACTTTTAGCTTCAGTAGTACTGATGCAAACAGTACAATATACAAAATCTATTTTGCATTAAAATCGATTGTTCTTGATGAAGTGCATAGCCTGATATCATCTACATCATGGTTGAGCTTTTCGATGCCGTTCACGGCAACCATCAGATAGGTAAAACAAAACCGGGCCGCAAGGCCTGACTTTCCTACAAGACTTCCTGGCACATCATTCACGCCCCAACGCGCGAAGAGATGTGAGCAGGACGCGTTGAAGTCAAAGCTAGCGCTGGGAGTTGCTCGATACTCAAAAAGAATCTTGGCTCAACTCCGAGCGGAGTTACAAGGGAGCACCCCTGTCGCAATTTCAAAATCCGCGGGCTCGTTCTAAGCTCCAATAAGAAAAGGGCAAGCTGCAGGCGCATGTGTAGTGTGGATGATAACCGTCTGACATCAGATCGTTGTACATTCTTGATGGACGCCACCAACATTTTCTTGTTGACAAGCCAATCCTTTTGGTGACATTGGATGTGATGATACAGGATAATATTATAAATCCAAATATCGCTCTGCAGGTTCATCCCCGCAAAGCTGAGCAGCAAGCTCGTTTCGCCTTCGTTCCCAATGCGGTGATGTGGGATGGAGTCTCGGGCGCCTTGTAAGTGTCTGCAACTATATAAGCATTGTTCTCCCCTTCATGTTGGAACACCTTCGAGCACACTTTTACCTATTGCATTCGCTTTATCCGCCTCCTTGAGACTTGCATAGCAACATCACACATAGAACGATCTGAGCTCGGCCACCAAGATCATGTCTCTCGCTGCTTTCCGCAACTGGCGCACGCAGTTCTACCCCCAAACCCATCCTTCACGGAAAAGCACGTTGAACCCCAGAATGGTCGCGTCTTCATTGTCACAGGTGGCAATGCGGGCGTCGGTTTTGAGCTAGTCAAGATCCTCTATACAACTGGTGCCACTATTTACATGGCATCGCGCTCTAAGGTGAGTGACCATGCCACCAATTAGCCACAGCTTGGCCTTGCCGGGATGTTCTCCGCTCTCGTCGGAAACTCGCCGTCTCCGCGGCGCCGACGCGAACCCACTTCCCCGTTCATGCACGGAGACTGACGCTTCCCATCCCCGCTGCTAGGAACGGGCTGAAAAAGCAATTCAAACAATCACGAGCACTACCTCCACACTTAAGAATCCCGGTATTGTCAAGTTCCTTCATCTGGACCTCGACGATCTCGATGTTGTGAAGTCGGCCGCTGCATCCTTCGCGCAACAGGAATCCAAGTTGGACGTTCTCTGGAACAACGCCGGCATGGGTGCTCTCATTCTGCCAGCCGGTTCGAGAACTAAACAAGGGTTTGAGTCCATGATTGGCATGCACTGCATCGCTGCGCAGCTCTTTACACACCTCCTGCTTCCCCAGCTTCGCGCCGCCGTCGCCAGCGCCCCAAAGGGATCGGTTCGTGTCGTGTGGACGTCGAGCTTCCTTGCTGACTTGAAATCGCCCACCCATGGCGTCGAGTTCAACCTACTCGAAAAGGGTACGATGGACCGTGAGCGCAATTATGCCCAGTCAAAGGCCGGAAACTGGTTGCTTGGTTGCGAGATGGCATCTCGCCATGGCCCTGAGGGCATCGTCAGTGTTACCCAAAACCCTGGCAATCTGAGGGCGGGCTCGTATGCTGGAGTCTCAGCTCTAGCCATGCTTTTCATCAATTATTTGTTTCTTCATGAGACCAAATTTGGTGGTTACACGGAATTATATGCTGGACTTTCACCAGACATCTCGCTCGAGAACAATGGCGCCTATGTAATTCCTTGGGGACGGATCCGCTCTGAGGAAAACTGTCCAAGGAAAGATATTGTGAATGCTATGAAGTCTGAAGCAGAAGGTGGACTAGGATACGCGACTAAATTCTGGGATTGGTGTGAGGAGCAATGGAAGCCTTTTGTCTAGCTGGTACTGACCGAAATGTAATGATGGACCTTGAGGTGTATCTCATCCTGACAAGTGTCGTTTCATCATGAGCATTGCTCTTATCCCTAGAACGGAACCTCCATCACTTTAAGTCTTCTTGAAAGCTTGCTTGGTGGTCTGTAACGTAAGCTTGCTATTCATTCACTACTTTTGTTTTTCTTTTCTTTACTCAGTGTTTGGGGTTGCTCGTGTCATTTAACATTACAGAAATCTGAATAGAATGCAGATTCATCACATTCAGTCACAGTTACCTCCAAGTGACTTCCAAGTACCAGTTGTCATCATCCAACTGACCACTCGCTCTGTCTAGTTGGTTGTTGAAAGCTAGCATGTTGTAGGGAGCGCTATACAGGGAGGTTGGTCTACAAATTTGTCTTCACACCAAGCGGTATGTTATCAAGGTATACAACTTCAACAAAGGCTTCACGGCAAGTCAACGGAAAGCATTGTTGTAAGTGAACCTTCAAGGCGTTTGAAATCGAAGTTTCTCATGACTAAGACCGCATGTTTAGATCCTGTCATGCTTGTGAGCGTCAACAGGGATTTAGAGCGCCAAGCCATGAACCCTTGAATGCATATGCCACTAACAACAATATAAAAACACGCCGTCGGACTTATCCGAAAGTTTGTGAGGCATAAAAGGGTTCATAGACTCCCTTGGATAATAGCTGAAGCCTCCTGTAATATACGCACGCTCACAGACACATTAATACACAAACTGAGTAGCATGAACAGCCTAATACTCGGCTTGATGAAATCACGATGAAAGACGCAAACAAAGAAAGCGGGAGACGCTTACAGTTCAGGCTTTCAGTTGTCTTGATTGTAAAGCTGTATAGAGAGTGGCGAGTGTTCTCGGGATCATGAAATTGTGAAGGTATCTTTAGTATACCATCAAGACGTATATGAAGTTCAAAAGTTCACGCCTCAAGATGATATACACAGCTTCCTGCCAAAGATTAGTGTCCCGGTTTTTGAAACAGAGCTTAACATATGCGAGTTTGTCTGCAAACCTACGTAGTGGGTCAACAGCTTGTGATTAATTCATCTGTGAAAGCAGATCAAGAGAACTGGCCTAAAACAATTATCATCAAATCCCAATTGTGTGCTACAAACTGACATAAGAGGGTGTATCCTACAAGTTTTTGGTATCAAGCGCTGTGACTCCGTAGGTGGGTAGAAACATCAATCCTATTGTGTTCAGTTTGTTCGACCGGTCTTGTTGTTGTTGTTGAGATGAGTGAAGACACACAATATCTCGAACGATGCGGGGTCATAACGAGTACGATGAGTTGATTTCAGTTTCTGCCTCGAACCATGTACCCGGTCTGCTGAGGGCATGAACATCTTAATCCAGTAACTTTCCGCCCCAGTCAGCTCACGAACTCAAGGGCTCTCTCGGGCTTCTCCTCGAACCCATATTTTCAAGTGACTTAGATAAAGCGACGCCGCTGTTGTTCCCGCTGAGGTAGTGAATTAATGTCCTCATCTGCGTTCGCTTGCAATCAATAAGCCCAGTTGTCGGTTCTTACATGCACATTTTTCCGACACATTTTCCTAGTGGAATCCAATAGTTAGGGGAAGCCTGTAGAGATTTGTCAACACAAGTTGAATGCCGAAGGCTGTGAACTCTATCTTTCTGTCAGAAAACCACCAAGCCCAATTGCCAAGCATCTGTGATTGGCGATGACAATGGGACCCTGTCAAGCCTGCCTGTACCTTCAGACAAACGTAACCTTAGCACCCCCCTCGATCGTCGCATGTTGCCTACTTTGCCACCAGAGGATGCTGGAATCGAGAGCAGCGCCGTTGACAAAAGTTTATTCGGCGTGTTTCAGTCCAGATTTGGCTGATGCAGTAGACAATCATAACACAACACCATTTATTATCTCAATACAGCACCAATTCTATTGTACTAGTCGCAGCGTTTGCAAGACTGCAATTAAGGTGTAAATTTAGGCTGATATAATGATACAGGCTTTCGCGGACCGCCGGGACAAGGTGTATCGAAGAGGCAAATGCTTTGCATGCATATGATGGACGCGTATTCCAAGCTTTTCGTCCCCCTTCACGGACAGCTATTTATATCCTTGGACTTTCCAGCCAAACTACAACCTCAAATTCGGACTACTTTTTTCTCCTCTTGGCATTCATTCTCACAAGTTCCAGGCTTCAACGTAAGCAACTGGCCTCAAATCCGTACTCAATATGAACTGTCTCATCTTCTTCGTCGTTCTTGCACACATCACACTCTGCTCAGCCGTCATATCTGGATCGGTATGTCTATCCCTTGCAAATATTTGCCGATTTGTGTCATCAACACTAGGGCAATCTCGAATCACCTAGCTGACTTTGAGGATAGAAGAAGAATGGCGCACTCCGGAATCGGAAGGCCGCAGACCCCGACTGTATCTTTGGAGGAGGTAAGCATATGGCTGAGTCTTTTGTAATTAAGCCCATGAGAACAATGCAAGACCACATGTTGACATAAATAATGTAACTACAGCTTATTGTGCAGCCGAGATGGAAAGCTGCACATTATGCTTGAAAGTGTTATCCAGAGATTCGTCTCTCGATTGATCAAACCAGAAATGCGGCTACATCAATGCCCACATCTGTGATATTCTTGGTTTTGAGCAGACGTCGCTGGGTTATCGAAGCAATGCGGCTGCGAAAAGTCAGCTAAGAACTGAACAGACACTGGTTTCCGACAGAGTTGGAGCCGATACTGGTTAAATTGATTGTTTTGCCGTTTATCATAAAAGGTCACAGGCCCCTTGGCTCATTTGGTTAGTTTGGCTGTTCAATGGCGCGAAAATGGCCGTGTGTATGCTAGGTGTACATGGAGCAGTCCGCCGTGGGACTTAAAGGTTAAGCAGGTATGGTTTCCTAAAGCCATGATAACCAAGTTGTCACTGCAAGACGGCCAAACCTTCTCCGATAGGTCCGATGAATCCCGCCAGCTTTTTTTTATGTTTCAGCTTTCAACTAGCACTCTGTAACACCACTGTAGTAATTGAACGAGCATCGTTCACGGGTCTCAATGTAGCCCGCGCCTTCCATAGACCTGCCATCTCCTTCATCACCACGCCGTAGTCACTTTTTCTTCCCACATTGCCGCACAAGACAGGCCAGGAGGCCGGTTCTTGCTGTTGGCCGTTGCCTAGCGCGAAGACCGTGGGTCAAGTAGGCTCGTAAGCCATTCACCCAAGCCTAACTTGGAATCACAAAGATCGTCCCAGTACCAAAAGCCCAAACCACAAGTGAGGCGAAATAGAGTCTGTTAGACGTGTTCTTCAAGGCCGACGGTGTCGGTATGAAGCGACTCTACCCGCTGGGCTACAATTATTGATTGGTGAACAGAAAAAAAACTAACAACCTTAGCAGTTGGTGGTCCGTGGAAGACACCGACTCGAGGCTGACGACGAACGTTTCATCCACGAGTTTCCCCTCTGACTAGCTCGTGCTTTGTAGGATTCTTTCTGGACACCGCAGGGTTTGTCAATGGCAGGTATCAACGAAGGTTGCCGGCAATGCATGCCCCTTATCAGTATCTCGCATCTCGGTAACGTACGTATGACAACATATTATATGATGGCTGCATGGAAGGATGATCAGGTACAACCAATTGCTCCAGCATTTGAACAGCTGTTGTGCTGTTCTTGAGAAATCGCCGATTCATGAACCATGGCATGGTTTACAGGCTTTGAAACCGATATGCTATGGGATGGAGCGTTCTGATGAAGCCGGGTAACAATGCGCAATCAATTTTGCCATGGCATATCAAAACATGAAGCTAAGATCCCTTTGGAGCATCATCTACCCCTATCGACTAGGATCAGTAGATCGGATTTCTAGTGCTGTGATACCAGTGGTATCAATGAACGTTTCATAATTCTAGCTAATTAAATACGCGTAGTTCGTGGTCTTTGCGGAAATCCACGAAGATGTCTTCCGGGTATCACGAGTTGCCCTGCAAAGGGTGAAGGATGCTTTCGTGAAGGGTAGTTACAGTACAAGACGGGCCGATGGTCAGAGTAAGAAGTAAATGTTGAACTAGCTAGTGCAATAGCTAATACAGGATGAACTATCAGAGCCTTGACGAAGCAAGTAATGCGGCGTCAATGTAGAATTGAGCTTGTTCCAAGTTTGTTCAGATCTATCTCTATAGAGGACAAAGGAAATGTAATGTATTACAGGTAGATATCAAGCATTGGTACAGATGGATGTCGTCAACCCGGACACCGACCCCGATGCACCACTCCCGACTCCGTTACGATGCAAGCCATTCCTTGCACATGAAAAAATAAGGCAAAATCCCCTCTAGCATTGGTATCCCTTTTTCTCTCTTTTTTCCCAGGCGGAAACTCTCTAGAAGCAGAAGACGGCGTCAGACATTTTGGCGATGGCGCCGGGCTTCTCGAAGCCCAGGTTCGCCAACGACTTCTTGGCGGCGGCGACCATGCCCGGCGGGCCGCAGAGCATGACGCGTGAGCCGTCGCCGGGAGCGGGGAAGCGCTCGGCCATCATCTCCTGGGTGACGTAGCCGACGCCGTAGGTCCAGTTCTCGGGGGGCGAGTCGAGGAGGTAGTGCAGCTTGAAGTTCTTGGGGTACCTTCTCGCGAACGCCTCGAGCTCGTCCCTCAGCAGGATGTCGGCCTCGGAGCGGTTGGCGTAGATGAGGCTGACCTCGGTGGTGTCGCGGTCGTCCTCGCAGATGGCGCGGATGAGCTGGTACATAGGCGTGATGCCTGTGCCGCCGGCGAGCATACCGATCTTCTTGGCAATGTTGGGCCGGTAGCGCATGGCGCCCTTGGGGCCACGGAAGAGCACCTCGTCGCCGACCTCGAGATTGGCGAGGTACTTGCCCGTCAGCAGGCCGTCGGGGTAGCAGCGGATGACGAGCTCAAGCTTGCCGAGATCCGAGTTGTTGGAAGTCGGGGTGTAAGACCTGCTGACGGACTTGCCGTCGATCTCGGCCTTGATGGAGACGTGCTGGCCGATGGGCAGGCCGAGGACGGTGGTGGGCGTGGGCAGCTCGAAGACGAAGCGGTAGACGTTGGGGGCGAGCAGGGTCTTCTCGATGAGGGGGAGCGGGTGGTAGGAGACCGGGTCGAGCCAGCCGCGCTGGTTGAGGGGGTTGGGCTTAGCGACCTTGGGCATCTTCTTGTGCGGGCGGTAGTGCATGGGGGTGATCTCGTAGTGTAGGAGCTTGGAGGCCTCCTTTGCGGCGATGGAGCCCGCGACGGCAAAGAAGGCAGAGGCGACGGCGAAGCCCTCGACGAAGCCGAAGCCGGTGCGCTTGGTGCGGGCGGCGCCGCCAAAGGAAAGCCATGAGGGCAGCTGGAGGTTGAGTCTTTGGATGGCGGCGATGGCATCCTGACCGGCTGGGGTGGAGGAGGCGTGACGAGCGGCGACGGCGCCGAGGCCGATGAAAAGGGCGGCGGCGGCGGCCTGGGATGCGACGCGGGCAGCCGTGCCGGAGGCGGAGGAGGCCGGGGCGGCGGGTGCGGACTTGGGAGCCAGACGGACGGCCTTGGGCGCCGAGCGCTTGTTCACGCCCTTGAGCTTGCCGACGCGGAATTCGGCCATGATCTCGTAAGCATCCTCGGAGTGGCCCGCGTTGTCAAAGGCTTCGGTAGCGTCAACGCCGGCGGCCTCAATGAGGACATCTGCGCCGCCGGGGTGGTCGTGGATGTATTTTGAGACATCGTAGACTAGGGGAGTTAGTTGAACGTTGCCGGGATTGTGCGCAGGTGAGGGAGGGGCGGCAAACCTTCACCGTGGATGACCATCCAGCAGTCGTTGGCTTCTCTGTGAGCAGCGACCTCCTTGGCCGTGAACTCTGGGCCTTCTGTTGTCGCCATCGTGTCTGGTATGTGTGGTTTTGGTATTGCTAGGGGTATCTCTAAAGGACCTGAGAAACGGGGGAATGAGGCGTGCCGTGACACTGTTCAAAATGTGTGCCTGGGCCGATATAAAGGGGAAATTTATTATCTTATCTAAAGTAAGAAAAAGGAAAAATCGTGTCGATCGTGATGTTGACAAGGTTACAGTAGAACAGGACCCCTTTTTCCCAGGAGGAAGGGGCTTCGGGACGAGGAAGCGCAGCATTCATATTTATCGAGGGATGGCGACATGCAAGACACGACGGACAACCCAGGGATATCCACAATTACAGAAAAACCAGAAGGATCGGTCGCCATGGACCGATGCGCCGCTTGACTGGGAGGAAGGGCAATGTCCGAAAGGGGAAGATGCCGAGGTTCGAGAGAAAAGTGTGGGCAACCTCGATTTCGGCACCCTGCGGGCCCTGCCTAGTTGCCTAGGCGCTCCAAGGAAATGGACTCCGATAAACGTCGCGGCGCATTGGAGCTTGGAGCGCAGGGACGTTGGGGATGGAGGCGGGAAGACTCCGATGGCGATTTGAGTGGCCGGTGGACATCTGCGTATCTTACAAAGCAGGGCGACGGGATTGGGTGCCGGGCCGTTCCCACTAGGCGACGGGCCTCGGCGGCCCCGACACGATGAGCGGGTGATTGTCTCCAATGCCTTGGCTTGTTAGGACGCGCGAGTCGTAATCTTTGCTGCCATATCCTCAACGACGTGTCTCTGTTCCAGTTTTACGTAGGGCGAAGCGCAGATTGCCTTGGCATTCGCGATAACGGACGATGCTTGACGGAGAAGGGAGACAACACCAAGACGGCAGACAGCGACAGCAGAAAAAATATAGAAACAAAACCACCGCAAACACTGCAACCACTGCAGGAGAACCAAGACATGGAGGCTCTGTTGACAGCAAACGCCGAATTCGAATCCCTCTTCCTCATCTCATTTCTCAGGGACAAGAATCAACACGGATGAACCCGCGCCAGCAGATGGCAGCCAATGATTGGGTGCGTCAGATGGTTTTGATGGTAGAGCATCGGGCCAGAAGCATGAGGTAACCAATGGCAGCGGCCATGTGGACCCATGGCTACGTGTGTGGCTCAGCGAGCCGAGGCGACGGACTTCGGGACTTGACAGCGAAACACTTTACGGCCGCGGTACGTACCGTTGACGGGTAAAAAGGACCCACTTTGGCCCGCCTGCCCTGTAAATTTTCTGCACCTCTTTTTTCTCCCTCGATTGTGTTCGGCAGGCGCTCAATGACCGTCCGCTGTCGACATTTTCTTCGAAGAAGACGGCATGTCCACCCCCCCGTTTCGACAAGAAAGGAGCTTATCGAAGCACCCCAAACAGTGACACCCCCTGTCCTGACCTCGGCACCTTGAGCTTCTTAGCGCCGATCATCCATGTTTAGCCCTATCAACGTGCATCAAATGAGGCTCCAAATCTCCGATTTTTCTCTACCATGCGCCCAGTCCTTCTTTGCTCCCACCCCTTGAATCACTGGTGGTTTCCGCTGTCATCGTGCCAAAAGGGCATCTGGACCGCGGCTCTTGTCCGCCCTCTCGCCGAATCACGGGGGGGTTTCTTCAACGGAGCTGACTTCACCATCAATGCCTCACGTCCCGTTGCCATCCCACCACATCGAGCCCCCGCTATTTTCGGACTTGAGCGCCCATGAAGTCATAGTGCCCCCCTCAAGGGGTCCCTGAGATGAACCTCGGCAGGCCACTTTTTCGCAAAACACCTCAGCTGTTCGGCCTGTTCCCACCGAAGGAATTGACATTAGCCATTGTCTAGCTCCGGATTGGATAAGCTTGCCTCTCACCCATCGACATCTGCCATGGGTACGTACTGTTTTGATTGCGATCTGTTTTTTCCTACTTATATATCGTCAACCGGTTGCACCCCCCCGTCAGCCACAGCTTTTGGCCTGGGAGATTTGTCTTGCTATCTACCACCCATTACATCTACCGTCTTTAATAGACTTTGTTCGAGTGACACGTTTTCTTCCAACGTCAAACACATCACATCACACATCACACAACATGTCATCACAACGCTTCTACCTGCTGGGTGAAGACCCTTCAGTCACAACAGAGTTTGAGATTCCCGCCTCAACAGACGAGGAGGGCCTTCAGCATCTCGCTGCCTCCCACTTTGCCGTCGTCGACCACAAGGGTAACATTTTCGGCGCCTCACCACGACGAATCAATAGTAGCTAACAACTTTCCAGGCGTCGGTTTCGTTTCCGGAGATGAGGCTCTGACAACAGTCGCCGACGTGCTCGCCGCCGAGGGCCCCGTCGCCATCACCATCGACGGCCACGCCGTCCGCGAGGTCCCCGGCCCCAAGGGCCTGCCCTTCATCGGCAACTACTTTGAGGTCTACCCCGACCACCTGGGCAACCACCAGCGCCTGTTCGAGAAGTACGGCCCCCTCTTCAAGACCAACAACATGGGCTCCGTCATCTACCACACCAACGACCCGGCCCTCGCCAACATCATCTTCTCCGAGAGCGACTTCTTCACAAAGAACATCATCCCCGGTCACCCTCTCTACCCCATCAAGAACCAGGAGTCTGGCGTCTTCCTGGGCGACACCGACACTCCCGAGTGGAAGGAGGTCCACAAGTTCCTGCCGCCCGCCTTCGGCCCCAAGGCCGTCCGCCACTACGCCCCGACCATGCAGACCACCGTCGAGGATGCCTTCAAGGTCTTTGACGAACTCGACGACAAGGACGAGGCCTGGAACGTCTACCCCTACATGCTGAAGCTCGGCTCTCAGGCCGTCGGCAAGCTCGTCCTCGGCATGGACTTTAAGCACTTCACCGCCGTCGACGCCCCGCCCCACGAGATGGTCATCCGCATCGCCCAGTCCCTCGAGCTCAACAAGAAGATCACCTCCATGGGTAGCTGGTACGCCGCCCTGCCCTTCGGCGACCCCCAGCGCCTGCGCGATGCCCGTGGCCGCATCATCGAGATGATGAACGAGTCCATCAACGCCGCCTCCAAGGGCACCGAGGATCTCGACCTTCAGGAGGCCGCCCTCCAGGCTGATAACATGGTCGACTACGTCCTCCGCGCCAGCGACTCTCGCGGCAACAAGCTGCCCCGCGAGCGCATCATGGAGCCCCTCGTCGTCGCCACCGGCGCCGGCTTCACTACCACCTCCTCCCTCCTCTCCTGGCTCCTCTACGGTCTCGTCGCCTACCCCGGCATGCAGGAGCGCCTGCTCCAGGAGCTCGTCGACAACGGCTTCGACGAGAACACCCAGATCACCGCCGAGCTCACCCAGAAGCTCACCTTCCTCGACAAGTACATCAAGGAGACCCAGCGCCGTCACAACCCCTCGTACCAGCCCGCCCGCACCTCCAAGGTCGACATGATCCTCCCCGGCGGCTACAAGCTGCCCAAGGACTCCATCTGCATCCCCGCCCTCCACCACATCCACAACAACAACCTCGTCTGGGACAACCCCGCCCGCTTCGACCCGGACCGCTGGGACACGGAGAAAGTCAAGAACCGCCCCAACGCCTCCTACATCCCCTTCGCCACGGGCCCCCGCATGTGCATCGGCTTCAACTTCGCCCTGCAGGAGGTCAAGGTCTTCCTGCCCAAGCTCGTCTACCGCTACAAGTTCACCATGGCCCAGGACGGCCCCGTTGACTACGACCCCATGTTCCAGCTCATCCGGCCCAACAACCTCTACGTCCGCGCCGAGAAGAGAGTCAAGTGGCCTCCCAGGTCCGACGCCTAAACCTCTCGGGGTCGTGTAAAGTAACAGCAGAGGATTTCGCGGGTTTGAGAAAGAAAAGTTTATTTGTACCATCATTGTCGGTGTATACCCTGGAGCATTGCTTGGCGCAGATATAGGATGGTTTTTGGGTAGATCTCATGATATAGAATAGAGCCAGATATAGATCTAGACTAATTACAATTTCTTTATATAACCTTATTTATAACCCTGCTTTGCCATGCGTAACGAATAGGCATATACGCTTCTTTGCTACCGCACACGTCGTTATCGCCTCAGTCAAACTGCTCAGCACCGAGCTTGCCCGTCACGTCAATCTTCAACATACCCTCCTCCACAATCTCCTTTCTCCGCTCGTAGAGATCCTCCACATCCCAGTTGGCAGCCACAAACCTGCCATTCAGGAACCTCGCCTTCTCCGAACACAGCCACACCGCCGTCCCGCCCACCAGCTCGGGCGAGTCCAGCGCAAAGGGCCGCAAGTGTTTGTAGGTCATGTCCGTGTGGACCAGGCCCGGGTGCAGCCCGACGGCCGTGACGTTGCCCTGCTCGGCGGTCTCGCCGGCGACGTAGGCCGCGAGCTGCAGGCTAGCGAGCTTGGCGAGGGCGTAGGAGCTCATGGTCGGCACGACCCAGTGCGCAATGGTGGTGAAGTTGATGATGGTGCCGTGGGAGGTTGCGGGGAGGGATTTCAGAAAGTAGAAGGTCGGGTAGAAGGCGCCGCCAATGTTGGTGTTCTGTTTTTTTCGGCCTCAGCAGAGTCTTTAATGGGCATGGTGGTTCCTCTTCCGGGCTCAGGTGTCCTGCTCTCTTTGTGGGACGAATAGCGTGGGCGAGTAACTCACCAGGTCGTCCATCCAAGCCTTGGGATCACTAGTCAAGATGGTCTTGAGCTCCGTTTTCACGCCGCCGTTATTGACCAAGACGTCCGCGTGACCATAGGTCGCGTTGACCTTTTCGAAGAGCGCTTTGATTCCCGCCTCATCGCCCATGTCCACGGGATAGACGAGCGTCTCAAGGTCTGAGTTCAACTTCTTCGCCTCTTTGGCGACAGCGTTCAGTTTCGCCTCATCCCGGGCTACGAGAACCAGAGCCTTGGCCCCGGCTTTTGCAAAGGCAGGGACGAGTCCCTAGCAAAGGTATGTCAGACAACGCATCAGAGGCGCCCGGCAATGTGAGCTCGTACCCTTGCACCAATTCCACGGCTGGCCCCAGTGATGATCACGACCTTGCCCGCGAGAGAGAGCTCGGGGTTTGTGGGGTTGATTGCTGAGTATTCTTCTCTGTGAACGTTCTTCGTAAACTGTATGGCTTTGACGTAAAAGTCCACTGGTAGCGATGCCATCTTGCCAAGCTGTCTTTTCTTATTACAGTTCTCTGAATACTTGGCTCGAAGCTCTCATCGGCATCTGGAAACTTTTCATAAGGTTACTAATCGACATTTTTATACATTGTACGTATTGCGCCATTTGTAGCCATCTTGCTCAAAAACCCAGCAACAATCTGTTTCTAGGTCTTATATAAGCACTAGGTGTTTGCTGACCACCCGCTGAAATCCTTCAATGTCAGACTCCTCTTACCACAAAGTAAGCTCTGTATGATTGCGATCCTTCATAAAGAACGACATGCATGTCATCTGGGTCGTGGCGCCAATGGGCCGCCTGCGCTGGGCCTTGGCAGAGACAGAAGAGCCTATGGAGCGTACCCCGGATCCATTGAACCACGGGTGTATCCCGCAGGCGCCGGGTCTGCCTCCGTACAATTGGTCAGGTATCTGCCCCCTCTGCCCTCCCAGGTTTTGCTCAGCGCCGCGTAGACTGTGGTAGCCGCGCCTTGTGGCTGGCCTTTTAGCCCGCTCATAACTTTATTGAAGGTCTGCTCTCCCATTTCGGCCTTGATGACCTCCATATCAAACGTCTCCCTTTGAGTCATGTTCGTCGGAATAGCCCCTGGATAGAGCGAGAGTCCATGCAGCCCCCGAGGTCCGTAGCGTCTCTCTATCTCGTTCACCATGTAAGTATTGGCCGTCTTGGACTGCCCGTACGCTGCTAATATCTCAAAGGACCCATCATCGTCAAATTAAAGTCGTGAAACCGGACTTCGCTAGCACAGTGAGCCATTGAGCTGACGGCTACCACACGAAAATTGGATTCCGGCGTCGCCGAGGCCAGTAGAGTGTTTTTAAGGAGCTGGAAAGGGAGGAAAGGCCCAGGTGGTTGGTACCGAAGTCCAACTAGAAACCGTCCTCGGTTTTGGTCTTCGCATGGTTCATGACGCCCGCGTTGAGGATGAGGATATTCAGGCGACCGCCGCTCTTGGCGAGAAAGTCTTGAACACCCTTGCGCACGGAGTCAAGGTTATCAAGAGACATTTGTATCACATGCAGCGCGTCTTTTCCGTCCGAATTCTCAGAACCAGCAATGTCCTCAAGCGCTTGCTTGCCCTTTTCGAGGCTTCTGACGCCTAGAAAGATAGTTGTACCGGTTGCGTAGAGGGTGCGAGCCGTCTCTAGACCGATATCCTGGTTGGCGCCGGTAACGAGGATGGTCTTTCCGATGAGTTTGCGGGCCAAAGCTTCGTCCCGGACAATCTGGAGAGCCGTGGAACGGGCATCACCTGGACCTTGGGGCGTCTGGTGGGCAGCTGTGTACCTCGACACACCAATAACTTCGGTTAACGGCGTAGCGGAATTTCAAATCGGATTGAGAAGTGATGTGTTCGTAAGATGTTGGGCCCTAATTTTGCTAGTTTAGGAAGCAGCAAATGGTAGCAAGTCTTGTCACACTTATACTGTCTCGTCGCACGACCCATTGAACTTAAGCTGTTAAATATCGCGGGGCTGCCTGTTGTTTATTCGCGTCCTGTCTCCCGAAAACGCTGAAGATAAGTTTAGACTATTGACAGTCCCTTGGCGAGGTTCCACAACTCCGCCAACACAGTTTCTAGCACCATGTTTCCATAGATGTCCGCGATCGAGAGGGTCAATGGAACCCCGCGCTTGTACATCAGCCCGGTTATCATATTTTGGGAGCGGTCAAGAGAAGCCTTCAAGCTACCCGACTAAGATCCTATTCACGATGCTCTCCTCGACGTCTTTGCCATGTCTATATCTAAGCGCTTCCATATTCTTGTCACCTTCACTTTCTGCAACACCTCAGTCTTCTTCTAAGTCTCCCAGTCGTCAAGACTACCAGTCACGATGGTCTCTCCACAGTAATTCTTCCGGTTACAATTACTGTCTACCTTCTTTCTCACAGCTCAGCCGCCAAAGGCAATCGTGGTTTTGTAGGCCATATGATGGCTCGAAAAGTTTTGCAATGAATAAAAGAATCTCGTTACCTTTCGATGCCCTTCGTTTTCATAACTTCCAAGAAGGAGTTTTGTTCTCGGCCACAAGGGGCCGAAGAGGAGGCAAGGAAGATATCCTCGAAGAATATACTCAATGCCAAAAATACCTACAGAGAATGACGAGGTAGAGTCCCAGGACATACAAAAACATTGAATCGATGGGTTTGCGGTGAATCTTGGGACCAATTCTCAGCAACTTGACGAACGAAGCAAAATCGTATGCAACCATCTTTAAGTACCGGTCGTATGTCTGGCTATCGTCAATTCAGGAGAGATTGTATAATCACTTCTCAGGAACGCAATCAATTTTCAGCAAATCTTGGGTTCCCGCGAGATTCTCGATATGCTTGAAACATGTTTCCATCGTTCGTTCAAAGATTGTTAGGGGCTGGCAGCTTCAGCATCTGTTTCACGCATGCCATCCTGCAGGCTCTCAGTCCGCCCCCTAAATGGGTGATACTAAATTGGCAACCGGAGGCCCGATCGGCTGTACTTCAAAGTGAATCTTGTCAACTTTCAAATGCCAAAGGTTTGAAGGCCCGGACGTTGCTCAATGGAAATACCACCATATACTAAACCCATTTCGGGAGCGCAATTACAGGCTGTAATGGATGACCTCATTGCTTCCACATGGACAATGCAGGACCTTCTCACAATGCAGTAGATGCAGAGAGTAAAACAAATTACGATGACGGGTCCGAGACTGGTCAATTTATTCGTATTCCCGTATTAGTGAGCATCTCATTCGATGATGCGTCCCATCAAAAAAGAACTCCACTGCTCGGCTTACGACGGTTTGATGGGAAGATTTGGCGAGATCAGAAGAAGCAAGTCGTGCAATGATGTTTCATGACCAGCACAGACCACCTAAATGCGCCAGCTGCGAACTGACATGTCTCCATAACTTTGGAGGTTGCTAGCTCGTGTGCCGAGGCACATTGGTGGTCAAACATAAAGCAAGGTAGGTTTCTTTGTCGAAAGACTTTTGCCTATCACCTTCTGTCTCACCTTCGCTGCTCTTAGTAAGGCAATAGTACCACGATGCCTCCGTCAACTTCATCCACTACCCTCGGCAAGGGCACAATCAGACTGACTGGTGCTGAAGAAACGCTCCTTCTCACACTTTTCGGCCGCGCTCAAGACGCTGAGTCGTCCCGTCCAATTTTGAGCGACCAGTATGCTGTCGAGCTCGTCTCTCAGATAGAGAACCAGGGATATGACTTCCATCGGGCCTTTGCAGACAATTGGTTCAAACATATACTGGCGCAATCAGTGTCTATGCGCGCCCGAATGTTAGATATAGCCACCGAAAAGTTCCTGAGGAGACATCCAGGCCCCGCCACGGTGCTGCATTTGGCTTGTGGCCTCGACTCACGAAGCCTTCGCGTCCGCTGGCAAGGAGAAGGTCGGTCATGGATCGATGCGGATAGGAAGGAAGCAGTTGAGCTGCGACGGAAACTCATGAAGGAGCCAGAGCCGGGCAAGGGAGAATACCGATTGGTGCAACCGAATATACACGATGACACGTGGCTCAGCGACTGCAAAATTCCCACAGATCGGCCGGTTCTGATCCTCTTCGAAGGCCTCACGCCTTATCTCACCGAAGACGAAATTTACGGCCTGTTACGGCGGATCGTGAACTATTTCCGCCAAGGCGGTGTTCACGGTGAGATTCGTTTTGATGCCGTCGGGTCATTGGTGTACTATGCCATCAACTATTGGTTCAATGCAACTTTCAAGCTCATGGGAACGAGATTTTCCTACTACATTGATGATCCCAAGATCCTTGAGCAAAAGATTCCTGGTTTGAAATTCAAGGAGCGCATGTTTGGAACACTAGATCTTTACACAGTGGGGTTGTTCGGGTGGGTGTTAGGATTCCTTGGCTGGTTTACGGATTTATTCGGCATCACTAGCCGTATTGGAGGAGCTTACGGGTACGAATTTTAGGTTATTAAGCAGTTTGACTCAATTGTTCCCATTGTTTGATGTTGTTGAACATCTGTCACATCTCCTGCCCGTAGTGTTCTACCATATTAAACCAAAGCTGTCCACCGAAATCCAAAAATATTGACAGTACCAGTATGGCTTATCCTTGCAATGACGACTTAGTTGATCATACGTAGTGAAATGACCGCTAAACCAGCCATATGGTGAATTAATTATCGAAGTGCGGTAATGCTTTGGTTTTGACGTTGCACTGCATAGTCTTCATTACAAGGTACTATGATCTGATACTGTTTTTCCTTGTCAGAAACGCTAGTGATTCTCGCTGTTTCTGTTACTATTCGCCGGTAGCATCATCCCACAACGCGCTTCTCGCTAAGAAGAACCTGCACAGCGCAGGCAGCAATTGTCCATAATCCCAGAACAAAGTTACTCTTATGCACACCTCCCCCGCTCGCCGGTCGCTCAGGGTCAAAGTGTGCCAGTTGAGCGGCAAAAGATGCCGTCCACACTCCCATCCAGCTGATCCAAAGCCACAATGAGCCAAACCTGAGGAGGTATAGAGGCATACACATCAGGATGGGACTGATGAGTACTACGAGGAATCTATGAAAATGACGTCCTGCGACAGTGTAAAACGAGTTGACGTTAATCTTCTGGTCATCCACAACGTCTTGATAGCTGTAGGCCGTGTTCAAATAGATAATCCAAAAGAAGACCATGCAGCACAATGGTAGGCAGTAGCCGATGCTGTCGCCAATGGATTCGTATTGTCCGTGAATTGCAGACCGTCCGAGAACCGCTGGCCACGCGATTGTGAAGCCCAAGATGTACTGAGGATAAATGCGAAGCTTCAGTGCCATAGGTCGCTTGCCGTAAGGGTATAGAATCGATGCAACAACGACCGGAAACATATGTCGGAACCTTTCGATGCCTTTTATTAACAAGAGTCTAGGTTGATGGGGCGGAGGGTGTGGAGGGACTTCAGGCAACATACACATCTTTTCCATCAAGCATCTTATGCACAACAGCCAAAGACATAAGAAGCTGAAGGACCATCCATAGCATGGCGTCCACTGTGGTAACGGTGCCAGCGGCCAGCGGTCGGTCTTTCGTTCGTGTGACCTTTGCGTCTATGTCCCGATCAACCCAGTCGTTCCAAACCATGCCGGCACCACAAAACAGGTAGGCAGCGAGAAAACATAGTGCAGCTTGCCGAAAGATGAAGGCAGGCTGTATGGTTGCGTTCGGATCGACAAGCTCGGAAGCTCCAGCAAGCAGGACGGACCAGACTGTTGCATGCTCAGTAAGCCCAAGTCAGTCCCCTAGATTTCATGACTTACCTCCTGCAAATGTAGTGAAGAGAGGATTGTATTTGTTGAATCGGGACAGAGTCACCAATTGCCAGAGAAGAGTGACCTTTTCCGGCTTAGGCTTCCCGGTGTATATCTCTTTGCATTGTTTTGTAGACTGCTCCAGCCGGTATAGCGCAATAGCATGTGAGATGCTTTGGTACAACATGTCGACTCAACAAACGATGACGGCGACGATTGATGTTGGACTTGGTAGGAGGCGTTTAACAAGAGCCCAAGTTCAAGAAGCGGACCAAACGCGCATGCTGGTTTTAAACCTCGTCCTTCAAATCCCATACCCTTTCGTGGACGCGTAGTCTTCGCCTTGATATTGACGCACAAAAGACCACAAGCTCCGCGTGTGCGTTGGTTTCAGATGTGACGTAGTTTGTGCCGTTGAGTTCGTTCTTGCAGGGAAGTCGCTGAATGTTTCTCGCCAAGGTGAGGAGGTACCCACGTCTCGGCGTATGTTGCATTGATCAAGGCATCTTAGCACTGTCCGTGTGGTGGTGCGAACCCGGTTCACGATACGCCCAACCACGGACCCAGGACGGATTTCGCCCGCCCCAAGGGATCAACAGCTACATACAAGCGATTGAATGGCAGTTGTAGCAGCATGTCTTTTGCTGCAATCGGCTAGGGAGAGAAAAGACCAAACATATGACGAAGAATGGCTGAGAGAACATCATTCAGCAGCTCAGCACAGTATGTCTAAACACACTTCGGTTCATCTGAATTCTAGAACAATGCAGGTCTCCATACGGCCGTGCGCTTCGTGGACAACTGCCCGACCAGGCCAGTTGGTCTAACGTCTCCTGCCCAATCTCATGCGACTCAGCTAAGGGCTTTCCCGAGAGCCAACAGGGTGAGGAAATCAGGCCAAAGGATATTCGCTGCAGCATGAAGAACAAACAGCTGTTGTCTCTTTTGACCCATACAAGCGACAGCGAAACGACCTAATTATTGCCGTACACGTAATCCGATAAGCTGGCACCATCCCGGTCCGTGCTAACATTATAGCCTCGACCCTCAAGGGAAGCCGCCTTGTTTTCGCCCGATGATCGATTTGCAACTCACTTTAGACGCTTCTACATCTACAGTTAACGGTTAAATGCTGTTAGATCAACCACGGATATATCAACTGGGCTCATAGACGTGTTGATCTGTGGATGGCTGGAATAATTTCCACATCAACACCTGTGCGAGTTCTTGCCCCACTTGGAGCTGAAACGGGGCACTCAGGAAGGGACATGCCTGTTAATAGTACTCAACTGAATGTAATGTGCGATGGCGCCGTCATTTTCAGATGCATGAACTGTAGCATAGTGAAAAAGAGTTTCCATGATCGAGGTGTGGCTTTGTTCCGCGGAGTGCCGCTTCGTCCTATTGCAGGGATGTGTTGGGTTGCCGATGCAGATTATTAACCTTGGTCTTACCCCAGAACCGATGATCAGGAATGTTGACAATCAATGCACAGTTTCTCATCAAGCCTCTCATATGAAGCGTTCATCCAGCCATCACAGCACAATAGGAAACTGCAAACACTTGCTTCATCAATATGACGAGACCCTTGGAGATCCACGGCACTGTTGAGGCTGATCTGGAGTGACTCAGTGAGGGGCTAATAAAAGATTTCTTGTAACTGACAACTTAGATTTTGACGGATCGGGAAAACTCACGCAGGTTCAACGCCGATAATAGAAGTTGATAATCAGCAATATCAAGGATAACCTGTCAACTTGGCATGTTTCAATGACTTTTGCCAGAAGCGGATTGAAACCTTTATGTTCACATTGTTATGCAGATCGTCAGGCATGCGGAGGTCGAAGTTATTGCAAACAGGCCATTGTGCGCCTCCAAGAGTAAGATCCAACAAGGTAGCCAAATTTTCAAGTCGATCTTTTGGATGCCGCTCGCACTGTTGAAGCCCGGAATGTATGCTTCGAGTAGGCTCGGCTCTTCCTCTACGGATCATCAACTCTACGGCTCACAAAACTTCGACATAGAGTCTCAGTGAGGCTTCTTTCCTTTCGCGTGGAGTGGTTACAAGACACTAGATCTACTTGTAATTAACCCGTTTTGTTTGCCAATAGTTTTTGGTTTCGGCCGCCATAACACTATGACAACAGTCTTGGGTTCATGGACTTGTAAGAAGCCCCGAACTAGACTGTTAACATCTCTCTACACAACCGCCTTCCAAGCTGATTCATCTCTCACAACGTCTCCCTTACTAGCCTGTGACCGGCTTGTTCATGGGAGGCGCACCTGTTTCATTTTAATTGATATGATACTGCGGATAGGTGGAATAAGCCTGTGAGATTTACGGTATATACTGAGTGCTCGGAGTTGCAGCTGGTGTATAAGGTTCCGGACCGTTTGGCCGTCCAGCCCACTTTTGTGGATCATAGACAACTTGATTGTGCGGAGGCACCATTGCTGGAAAGTAACCTGAGCCACCTTGTGCCACGACATTAGCTGAGTATGGCGGAGATACCGGCGTCGGAAGGGGTTGGACTGCTGTTGCTGTGCCTGTGGCTGCACTGGTGGCTGTGGCTGATATAATTGTGGCGCGGGCTGGTATCCTTGACTTAGCGTAGGCTGATGTTGCTGGTGCACTTCATGATTTGGTGTCTGGTTATACGCTGGAGGGATAGGAACTGGTGCATATTGGGGCTCGGGTGCTACCTGGTGCTGCGTTGGCTGTATACGGACAGCGTTGGATACAGGTGGAGGATACGGTGGAGGAGGGGGAACGGTTGTTGGCTGGTAGCTTTGCGCAGGCTGCGAAGGCGGCGGAGGGGGATATTTATATGCAGGAGCTGGAGTAGAACTGTGCTGCTGGTACGCATAAGCTGGAGGGGCTTGGAAGGGCGTCGGAGGGGCGTAAGCTAGGGTCGGCTGCGAAGGTGGAGGAGGTGGCACCTGAGCTGGATATTGCGAGCTTGCGGCCGGTAGTACCGATACCTGATTAGAGTATTGATGTTTGAGAAACCGGGTACTGTAGGGTTGAGATTCCTGTAATGATTGCTGAACTGGTTGTTGCGGGATTGGATGTTGGGGGGCCTGTTGAGTCATTGTCATGGGCTGATAGCTCTGCTTCTCGTACTGATATGCCGGATTGTACGACGGTATGGGATTTTGCGCATGTAGAGATGGATCAGACACAGAAAAGCCAATTGGGAAGGCTGAATGGCCTTGAGGAGTTTGATAATACTGTGGTGTACTCTTACAATCGGGGTGAAATTGTTGCGGTGGTTGCGGTTGGGAGTGGCTCTCTTGTGGTGCTGTCTTTGTATCCCGTACAGCTTGAAAGACGCCTGCGGCTTGGAAAGCCTTGAATGCATCCTTCTTCTTCAGATGATTTGTGTGGGCGTGCTCAACCCCTAATCCGACTCCGTCAAGGGCAGCATGAGTGACGACCTTGATGGCTGTGTCGTTCTCGACGATGGCCGAAATTCCATGTTCTGCTCCGGCAGTGGCTATAGCATCGGCACCCGCGGTCCCGACTCCCAGTGTTACCACACCGATCGTTCCACTAACGGCCATGCTTCCCAACACGTCACGTTTGCGAGTAAGGTGTGTCGTACCGTGCTTCTGAAGATGTCTTTCAATGATTTCTCTCTTTTTGCGTGCGTTATGAATGGCAGGTGCGGCCATGGCAACACCAATGGTAGATACTCCCAAGGTAAAGGGAACGGCCAAACTGGAGATGGCGGTCGATGTGGAAGCACCAGAGATGAGGCGTGTGTAATGTTCCCACTCCCTTTGCAGCTCCTCAGGTGTCAGAGCGTTGCACTTCGCATCATATGCCTTGAAATCAAAGGGCATCTTCACGGCTGATTGAAGTCTGGTCTTGAGATGATCGAAAGTAAGTGATGTGAGGAGGAGAGAACGGTGGATGTGCCGCACCACCTGGCGCCAGTCTACTTTTATCATCAGCGTCGTCTAGTCATTGAGGAAATTTAGGGAAAATGTGGCGTTTTCAGGAATATCGAAATGGCATGCGTGAATGCACAGATCGTCCTGTTCGCACACCACGCATTGGCAGACTGGCTCAGCTTTTCAGAGTGTAGCCAAAGGCGCATGTCAGCCGCAGCGAAAAGGGTTAGGAGCCTGAGCAAGGCAGAAATGCAGCCAACCACAAGGCAGATTCACATCAACTCAGCATGGGTGAATGCATGTTTCATACAATCGAACCTGCCATTAAATATGCCAGGGATAAGTCATTGGTTCATTAAGCTCGTGTTCAGGCGCCCATTCCAAAACCTGTTCGCCAACTGACATTGCAGCCATCGTGGTTGTCAGCCCTCTCTCACAATGCCACCAAACCCCCGTTTGTCCCTTTTCAAATGCTTGGCGAAAGCTTAATCATAGATAAGTCAGCTGAAGAGCTGACTGAGCCGAGCACGGGTCCGCTGGTTCTGGGAACAGCCCAAGAGCCACTGCGCCTATTAAATAGTTCTAGCCGCTGGTGACATGGGCATGTAAATACCCACGAATAGCAAGAGCAGTGGGCGATGCAAGTACTGATTGCTTTGACAGTGGAAAAAAACTTTTCTTTATGTTTTTCTTTCACAACCCAAGGCACCCAGAAATTGACTGACGACCGCACGAACAGCGTTGTCACAGCGGGAGCACTTTTGCGGCCCGCTGCTGGCAGCTCACGCCCTTCACAATGCCGATATGGCCAGAATTATGAGACACAACTCTGCGAGACAGAGAGAATTCCATTATTTTCTACAGGCAAAATTCTCTTCCCCTAAATACTATCCTGCTTGCCCCACTGCTAGCCTGTTGATGGATGAGTATTGTAACTCAATGAACTGGTATGGGACTTGACCCTTAACATTGACAAGCTTGCCGCTGCCCCGGTCTCTGCGGTATGAGCAAAGGAATCAATTCCCAGAAGCGATAATCACCTACTGCCTGCTTGCTACATGTAATGTCAAACAGGGCTCTCTATGAAAGGTGTGTACTACTGCGGGCATATGATGTTGGACGGTGGGACTATGCCCTGAAGGTATGCCTGAATATGTTCAAAGTAACAGTTTGAGGCCCCTTGATCGATGACTGTATGCTGCATCCGAGAAAAATATCTCACGAGTAAGCTTAGGCCCCTTTTTTTCTTCTTTATTTTTCTTTTATTTTCAGATGGTTATGTGGTTGAGATTTAGAGCAACTTACACCGATGGCTTCTTGCAATAAGAGTACCGATCCGGGAAATCGAGACGACATCTTGATCGCCCTAAGAAAAGTTTAGATCAGTTAGCTATTTACTATATGGCGGAACAGTTTGGTCGAAACGTACGACTTTGAGGGCGTTATAGGGTCGATAGTATTACTAGCGAACAGGATCGGAAAGGAGGTAGGTATGTCCAGTCCACCTATTGGGCCTGCATAAGAAAAGACTGGTTAGGTTTTACGAATTATTGCAAATGTTTGTTTCCCTGCCCGAAAGAAAAAGAGTGTGTGTGTGTGCGCGCGCGCGTGTTGCCTACCTTGAAACACCATGCTATCGGGCAACTCTGGCCGAAATGATCTACACAAGATATTCTCCAGGAAGATGGGATAGATATCACCAATGTATTTGCTCTTTGAAACCGTGTACTCGGCATAGCTTTTGAAATTTTCGATGGTGGTGAGCTTGTTCCTTCGATACGAATCGGTGCACTGGATGGCAAGACGGGCGTCAGATGTAATACTAAACCCGTCAAATAAGCCCACAAGAATAGACGCATTCCCACGCTCGAGCTGCTGTAGAGCGTCTGCCATGACTGGGAATGACGCCAGTGGGGTGTAGATAGTGTTGATGAAAAGGGCCTTCAGGTCTGAATAGGTGACCATTGACGGAAAACCTCGATTTTGAACCCCGCTTAGTGGAACCGGATGGTTCTGAAGCTGATGAACGATGCCGTCTATTCTGGCCGTGATGTTAGTTGGCGTAGGTCCCCAGAAGGAACACGCCTCAGGACCTGCGGAATGGCAGAAACTCGAGAACCTATCAATGGTATCGTCCATTTGATCGACGTTGTCCCTCCAGTCGTTGTTATAGTATTCATCTGCATTCAAAACACCATCGAGCATCATTCTCCCAACTCGATCAGGAAACATGGAAGCGAAAGTGGTGCCGACGACAGTGCCGTAGCTGATGCCGTAACACCATAATTTGGCGTCTGACGGCGGCTGTCCGGCCACCTCGGCCTCAGCTTCTGTAAATTTGAGCAGATCATGAGCGACCGCCGGCGTAGTCACATAATATCCATAAGGTGACCCATTCTCAACAGCGTCGTTACACCACTCTCCATAGATAGAGCTTGAATAGAACTGATCCTCAAGTGACGTTGATGAAGTGTTAGTAGCGCCGGTTCTGTGTAGTCGATTGAAGGCCAGTCTTGCTTCTGCGTTCCCAGAAAAACAATCGATACTCAAACCGCTGTTGTTCACACCACGAGGATCAAAGGAGACGAAGTTGTACTGCTCTCCAAAGATTGACCCTGCCAAGGTTTGATGCGAGAGGAGAAGCTGAATACCAGAACCACCTGGACCACCTGAAGAAGTGTCAGTTCAGTCACTTGAATTCAAGGTAACTTTGTATGTGTGATCCAATAGAGATCTTACCGGGGATGAGTACAATGCTTGGGGACTGGGCGGTAGCATTTTTGCCAGCCAGTTTGATGAAGGCAATTGAAGTCATTCCAAGACTTATATTCGAATAATCTAGAGGAACTTCCAGTTTAGAGCATGTAAAGTTATCGAAACATGGTCTCCACGCGAGGTTGGCTGATGGCCTAATCTAGATGACTAGTCAGAAAGGTCGGAAGGTTTGGAGGATGTGGTTCGGCAAAGTCCAGCACTCACATTGTCGAAGCCATAGACCATTCCCGGATCATGCCAATAATCGGCTTTGCACCTTAAGCTTGTGGAAAGAGTGAACATGATGAACGCATTCATAAGTCGTGCCATTGTTACCGCCGAAAGGTTTCTCATCGAGCTTTCTGAGGTGTTGCTTGCAGGAAGGTGATAACATTCATCATTGTAGCCAGCATAGCTGCGACATCAGGGAACTATTTATACTGGTTGCAACTCATAGCACCTCCCAGATTTTTAGTTTTCATTGCTTAACCTGACAGGCACCCTCATTCTTCCCATCAACTCACAATACCAATTGGGCATACTCTCTAAACACCCCACTTGTACGAACACGCCAATCAATAACCATCTCAACTCAGGATATAGCTGTTCAAGGGACGTCAAAGGATATCGAATGAGGAAATCTCCATTGCCGGAAAAGTTAAGCCGAGTCTAGCCAAGGCTATGGAGAACTCCGCAGTTGACTGGTCCATTACTGTATTACATGTAAGCTCCGTAGCTAGTACTGGGTGAGCGAAGGGCTCCACTTACAGGTAGATACTTGTATAGGCATCAGCCAAGGAGACCCGCTTGTACGAACTAGCCAATCAATTGGAGCTATCAGAATGATACTCAATTGGTATACGTAGTGTATGTCTGAGCCATCCGCTTGAGGTCCCACTTATACGAACTAGCCAATCATTACTGATCACAGTAAGCACTAATATCTATTGGGATTTATCCTGGTTGGTTTATCTTCAACCTGTTCCCTTCTCCGCTGGCATATGAACAGACGTGAAGACGATACTCTTAAGATTCGTTCGGCACCTGATATACTCTGTTGTTCTAAGACGTTGCCGCATGCAGCTGGCGGCTTATGTGTCGTAATGGGCCCGGACTCTTTCTCTGCTGAAAATGGCACGTACTGCAAATCTCGGCCAGCCAACATTCCAATCGACAAGATGGACAGGATTCAGAACGAGAACGTCAAGGCAGCCAATCAAGCTTGGAGAAGAAAGCCTCGAAAGTTCGCTCCAAAGTCAAGACTAGGCTGTAAGACTTGCAAGTGAGATACTCCGGTGTGTTGTTACAGCGCGATCAATTACGTTCAAACACACAATAACTTACACGTGACCTCGGTGCACATTTTAGGATAAGACGAGTAAAGTGCGATCTATCTCGGCCTTCATGCTTGAAATGCCATTCCACAGGTCGCACCTGTGACGGCTATAACGGAATTACCCTGGCCTTCAATCCCGAGATTGAATTTAGTTACAATCACAACGAGAAGGCCAATAGAGCAGAAGGCAGCAACAGTTACCTCCCTTGTAACACGATCAGTGTGCATCAGCCAGAGCAATGGCACGCGAAGTACCATCGCGTCATTCCGCAGAACCTTGGAACCTTTATGATTTTACCGGTGACTGGGTCAGCTCAGAGAGAGGTAATGCGCTTTTTCGAATTTATCTCGATCAAGCATCTGAACGAATACCACCCCTGCGAATCATGGCGGAGGACTCTCATGTTCTTCTCCCAAACAGTGCCATCAGTGAGGTATGCCGCAACTGCTCTGGCTTTGATCCACCGGAACTACATGGATCGCGAATCTACCGAGCTTGGGTATCAACCGCAGTCCTTAGAAAACCAGCTATCGAATAGGGCTCCCTTGCTTCACTACAATCGGGCTATCCAACTTCTTCTGAACCAGCAAGGTGGTGACAACGATGAAACAACAGCTGTCACACTTTTGGTCTGCTATCTCCTCACTTGTTTCGACCATCTGGCGGGAAACTACGTACAAGCAATGAAGCATCTACGCGGAGGCGTGGAGCTCTCACGCAATATCGGCAGGGCTATGTTAAGCGACAACAAGAACAACACAAGTGTCAATTACGAAACCTCAGGGATTCGTACACTTATATACCAGGTCACAAGACAGATCCGCCGACTCGACATGCAGGCTGTAACCTTTCTTGTCGACTGGACTCCCGCCGATATCCAAGAAACACTCGCATCTCAGCATCCACCACCCGACAGCCCTTTTCGGTTTCTAGACCAAGCTGCTAATAACATGCATATCCTTATTGCTCGAGTAATGATGCTACGCAATACGGAGCAGCAAATGGCCCCCATCGGTAAGACGCTGCCGTCACCTTCATTAGTTAAGGATATCTTGCGCGGGCAATTGGAAACGTGGTCAAGTTTCTTCGAATACATGCTGCAACAAGGCAGCTCTTATGAGATGGATTCCGAAACTTGCCCGCTCATATCACTGCTACGTCTACAGTATACTATCGCATGGACTCTCCTCCATGTTTCTGGACCTGGCAGCGAAATGGACTATGACAACTTCCTGCCCCAGTTCCAGCAATGTGTGATTTTGGCGGGCGAGGTAGCCGCGGCGCATGTGCGGTATTCGGGATCGCTAAAGCCGACCTTTACGCCAGAGGTCGGACTTATCCCTGTGCTTTACATAATCGGAGTCAAGTGCCGACATCCCGTGGTACGACGCGAGGTATTGAACATCTTACGACAACAGCCGATGCGGGAGGCAGTTTGGGATAGCATATCTGCTGCCAAGGTGGTTGAGCGGGTAATCGAGATTGAAGAGGGTGGCTTTGGGGAGGGGAGCATGACACAGAACATGGAGCAAATTCCTCTGTGGCAGAGGATCGAGACTATGTCTTGGATACAGGCTGGTGGACAGTCTGTGACCAGGATCGATATTAGTTATACTTTCTGCAAACGGGAGGGAACGCATATTGAGTCTCTCGTGATATAGCAGACGAGAATGTTTCATGTCAAATAATGAACATTAGTTAACAGGCCGTTGTTCGGAACTAAAACAGAAACTGTCTGCATTATGGAGTTGCATACTCAAACTGCCATACTATAGAGCCTAGTTATGATACCTGACTTTAGGGTTTTCAAGACCCACCAGGTCTGGTAGCTATTCACTATAACCTTCGACTTGGCAAGCTCCATGCACTGGGCACTCTCAGCCTCAGAGTCGCGGAACTTGTTCGAAGCATGAAGATCAAATGTGATCGTAAAATTCCAGCGAAAAAAAAAAACATAAATACAAATAAACAAGATCCTCCAACATGTTCAATAATGAACAAACGATCTCATATTTACAAGATTTCAAAAGACCCCTACACGCGCGAATAACAGTAAGCCACTTAGTTATTGGAACACTCGATGTGTTACTCCTCTACCCGAGGGTTTACCGCTCAGGCTCTTGCTATAGGCTTCTACACCGAAAGACTTATGGTCCTGTCAATTTGGGCCGTGGGTAAGGGGTATCGATTCCAGCGACTTCTAAGGTTGCAGAGCCAAGATGCTGGTCATTCAATTTGAGTTCGATGTAAACACCAAGCTTTGTTCCCCACTTTAGTGCATTTGAAGCCAATCAATTTTCCGACTTGTCCGTGGTTTTCGCTTCAGAGCGGTACTAGACAGTGGCTAGCTCGCGCGATGACCAGCATACCCAACTCTTGATACCCACTTAACCACCACAACATCATACTCACGTCAGGAGCCGCGTCATGATAACATCTTTTCCGGGCCCACGGCTAATACTCTTGTAAGAGACGCCGCACTCTTGGCAACCTTTCGACCCCTATCGGCCAGGCCGGCTTGCAATACCATAGGCTGTCACTGCCGTGTTAACCTGCCGGTTGGACGTCACATCCCGCTCCTGCTTATAATAATCCTTCTTCTCTTGCATAAGAGCCCCTCTCCCCCCATTGAACTGCCAGAGGCTATCCTAGTCAATTGGAAAAGCGACTTTAATGTCTTTGACTCATTCAAACATGGATCATCCGAACGATGAACGCCAGCCTCACGTTTCACTGGAAAAAGTCGACGCCCATTCCGCGCCGGAAACATGCTACCTCTTCACCCAGTCCGGCATCGCGAAGGCCAAGCTACCATGGGCAGACCTCATCCTCAAGTCCTTCTTCGGCGGCATCTTCATATCCCTTGGCTCGGGCTTCGACCTCAGCATCGCAGGCGGGTCGCCAGGCCTCCGCGCCTCAAACCCGGCTATCGCCACGATGCTTGCCGGCTTCACGTTCCCCATAGGTTTCGTCTTGATTGTTCTGACAAACGTTGAGTTGGTGACCAGCAACATGGCTGTCATGATGTACTCGACCCTGCAACGGAAGACGACCTGGTACGACCTTGCTAGGAATTGGATCACGAGTTATATCTTTAATATGGCCGGTTGTCTGTTTTTTGCCGGACTTCTGACCTGGTGGACCGACTCTCTCGCAACTGACGTGCAGTCGTCATATGCAGTCACCCAGGCGGAGGGCAGAGTCAACACCAACTGGGCGTACAATTTTACAAGAGGCATCGGCTGCAATTGGCTGGTGGGCTTGGCAGTTTTCCTGGCAATGAGCGGCAAGGACAATTTATCAAAGATTGTTGGTATATGGCTACCGGTGTGGGCCTTGTGAGTACAGCTTCCAGTGTTTTTCATTCCCAAACAACGTGGATGCGACACGTTGTCATTGTTGATAATTAGTCGAGTCCTTGCTGAAACATTCATCTAGTGTCGCACTGGGATATCAGCATTCAATCGCGAATTTCTACATGGTCCCCATCGGCATGTTCTACGGCACAAACTTTGGCGTGGGAAAATTTATCTATCAGTCTGTGATACCAGTTACGCTCGGAAACATTATTGGTGGTGCAGGCATGACGGGTGCTGTATTATGGTTCTTGTACGGTAGAAACGACACTCTGGCCGCCAAGACTGGTCAAACACAAAGCGGAGAGAAGAAAGCAGACGGCGAAAGCGGCAGCCGGGGTTTCCGTAGCTCAGTCACCGACGGAGCTAGTGATGAGACCGTGACGGCTAATGGGCGTCATAATACCACAGGGCTTAGAAGAAGAGTTTCCGACATGGTATAGGACAGTGTTACATACTCAAAGTATGCAGCAGGGCTGTATTCTGTTACCAAAAAAGCGTCTCTATCTCATTTTCGTGTGTCCTGTCAGAAAGACTGTTCGAACCTATATCAGTGACTTGCATATATATGACCTTTTTGACACGTGGGAACAATGATCTCTGTCCTTACGTTCCATCACAAACTTCAAGATAAGGGAGCTGATTTCTCTCTCATGGTGACTTTAAGACTCTAATGTCTTGGGTTTAGTGATGATGTTCACGGCTAAAACAAGCTTGGTAGATACGTGGAAGAAGATAGGAGTACCGGTTGATATAGCGAGAGCCGGCAGCCAAGGGAATTAAGTCAATACTAAACGGCAAGGAAGGACAGTAATATCTGTATTTGATATATTCTCCCTCTTTAGTGATCTGTATTAACCTTCATAGAGTAGTTATCTACGACAACTGATGAATTAGTCAACATGCATTTTCTTTGAAGTACGAAATGTGTTGTCCATAGGAATTTGGCTTCTCTCTCAGGCGTATGTCTGATTTTCCATCCAATTATGAACCAATTTTTGAATCTCATGGCTATTCTTCTCGAGAAAAAACAAATGACCATTCCCGTGTACTCCGACCTCACCCAGCTGAAGGTGCTGTGTTTCTTTGCAACCGGCCTGCTGTAGAAACTGTACTGTACAGTGGTCATAAATAGCATGGTATGATGCTTCACCAGTGACAAGGATAATGGGCTTATTTCTAATATTGACAAGGATTCGTGGGCTGGGGTGCTCTGCTTGTAGCACGCAGTCGCTTATGTGCTCTCTCAAGGGGGCCGCATATGTCTGTTGTACTAACTCCATGGGTCATTAACTGGCGGAAAGTAATGCAACGGAATATCTGTCAATCCCCAGGGGCGTGCCGGGCTATTACTAAAGACAGCATTACGGAAAGGAGGGCCTAGAGGCTCGAGGAGGACTAAGCCCTTGGTTAGTTCGGGGCGTGAGTCGGCAATAAGAATGGGCAAAATTCCTCCTTGGCTGTGACCGACTAGAAAAGCAGGCTTTCCAATCTTGTCCAGCAGCGCAGCGCCAGCTTTCTGAACCGTTGTTTGCTGGTAGACTGCGTCGTCAATGAACTGGACGTTGGCGCTGTAGAAGGCGTCGAAGGTGGCATCGCCCATCACGCCATGGCCAGGCCATTGTGTATGGTTGACAGCTTGAGGCCAGAGTCCATAATCTCTCGTGGCAGTGAATCGCTGTTGAATTCGTTCAGCCGAGAATGTATGGAGAGGAGAAGAGTTTGGGTGCCATGAAGATCGACCACGCAGAGTTTGGTCCACGACGTATACCTCGTAGCCTTGTCGAAGAAAGTCGGATGCCCAGCCGCTGTTACTGTCGGGCTTGATTAAGTAGGTCTGGGGGTCATGACCGTCAGAAATCCGCATCATCATAGTCGCCGATCAAGTCAATGAGAAGTCGCGCTGGATGACAACTTACTGTTCCCGTCTGCGCTTGGCCATGGATCAAGATCACAGGCACATCCCGGATAATGCCATCAATTGGAGTAAGCTTTTCAACATACATCTGGTCGCGGAAGACGTGCTCGCCACCCTCCTCGAAATAGCTGCCGCCTACATAGAAGTGCGAGCGGATAGATGGTTCCTCCGACACAGCCGCACAGGATGATAACGCAGTCGCGAAAAGAGTAACAGCCCACTCAGTCAAAAACATTTTAGAATCGCGGTCGGGTGGTAGCGAAGTGTGATCAAACAGTCGTTAATTATGAAGCAGATTGTTCTTCCAAGGGATTGCTTATTAACGCCTTTTTCTCTATTCTATTACATTAGGGCGGGGTAAAACCAATAAGGGCTTACTTTCAAGGTACCGAGACATATCTCGACTTACACAATTGGTTGAATCATCCCTGTCGCCGTCTACATGCTGGTATCCTGACCTGTAGTATTATCCTGCCATGAGGGGTCAGGTGCACGTGACCTTGAACCGGTCCTGTTTGGATGCCGCATCCGTTCAAGTTAAGCGTTCAACATGTACACGCTCTAGGCGCCGGTGGCCACTGAGGCCTGCAGGTTGGTTCGTCTTGACAAGTACAGTGGCGAACCGCTAACGGGTTGAGGAATCTACAAATGTTGATTTCCACGCAATGGCACAGTAAGATGATTTGGTCGACAGAGTGGTACAATAAGCCCATATGGCTTGTCCTGTATACCTACCACATGTATGTACAACTAGGCAGAGATTCAAATTAGTGTTGAGCTTAGAATTACGACCCTCAGGAATTTCGTTTTCGTAGAGTTGCAGATTTATGATGCGTTGCCTGATCTACGCTGACTGCGCTGAATTTGACTTTGCAATGATAAAGCTATGTATGAGCACACCTAATCACACACGATCTATCCTTTCATGAGATGATGTAATTAATGGACGTAAGAAACGCTTTGAGTCGCTATTCCTTACTGCTGGGATCCAGTCTCTGAAGAATCACCCTCCTTCTCAACCTTCTCTTTGATTTTCTTCTCAGCCGTGGTCTGCTTTTCCCACATGGCATGATACCGTCCACCAAGTGACAGCAGCTCAGCATGCGTGCCACGCTCAGCCACCTTACCCTTGTGGAGCACCACAATCTGATCGGACGTGGTGATGGTAGAAAGACGATGGCTGTAAACAAGGCGTGTTACCAAATTAGGGAGTAATATGCAATGGAGTCAAAGAACCACTTACGCAATGGTGATGGTGGTGCGCCCCTCTGTCACACGTTCGAGGGCGTCCTGGATCTGCCTTTCGGTATGAGAGTCCAAGGACGCAGTAGCCTCATCCAGAAGCAAAATGCGGGCGTCCTTAAGAATTGCTCTTGCGATGGCAATCTGATAACACGTTAGCTGGTATCGAAAATAATTGTGGCGATCCAGACTTACCCGTTGACGTTCACCTCCGGAAAGCTTGAGCCCACGCTCTCCAACCTTAGTCTCGTAGCCATCCGGGAATGCCAGAATACGTTCATGGATGTTTGCAGCCTTGCATGCCTCGTACACATCGTCTTGGGTGGCCTTAGGGTCGGCGTAGAGCAAGTTATACATGATGGTCGCGTTGAAGAGGACCGTATCTTGGGGCACAACTCCAATGTTTCTCCGAAGGCTGTCTAGCTTCAGGTCCTTGATGTCGTGTCCGTCGACAGTGATCGAGCCTTCATTGACATCGTAGAAGCGGAATAGAAGCTTCAAGCAGGTCGACTTGCCGCTGCCAGACTCTCCCACAATGGCAGTCTTGGTCCCAGGAGCAACGGTAAAGCTGACGCCGTCAATCGCCGGCTCACCCTTCTTGCTCTGATAAGAGAACTTGACGTTGTTGAATGCAACCTCCCCCTTGACCGCACGCAATGGGACAGCACCAGGCTTCTCCACGATTCCGGATGTTTCCTTGAACAGATCCAACATTCTCTCTGCTTCGATCAAGTTGTTCTGCAGCATGGTGTAGTAGGTTCCGAAGAAATTCAGGGGACCCTGCAGCTGCACAAAATAGTTGATCAAGCTGACAAACTCGCCAACCGTCTGCTCGCCCCGAGAAATCTTGTAGGCGGAAACGGCGACAAGCAAGGCGGTCCCAAGGGAGAAGATAGAGCTTTGGGTAAGGTTTAGGAAGTTGAGAGACCACTGCACCAGTCGCTCGGCCCTTTGGTACACAACCACGTGCTCCTTGAACCTTTCAGTCTCAGGCGCGACCGCGCAGTTGTGTTGCACGGTCTCGTATGCCATGATAGCGTCTGTTTTGATGGCTTCCATCTCACGGTTCTTAGTTGCCATATCTCTTCTTTGCTTGCCGCGGTACTTGGCAACATAGATGGTCAGGAAGATGTATGACCACATGATAAAAAAGACGATGATGGTGTAAAAAGCGTCGTACTTCACGAAGAAGAAGACACCGGCAACGAAGATGTCAAAAACCATGGGGAAAACCTGGAAGCAGAAGTTCTCCAAGAAAGTGTTCATCGCAGATCCTCTGCTCAACGCACTGGTGACTTCACCAATCTTTTTGTTGAGATGGAACTCCAGAGAGAGCCCCAGGACATGCTCAAATGCGGCGCATGACAGTCGGCGAAACAGTGACTGAGAGACTGGAATCCAGAGAACGGATCTTGCGGCACCAAGAGCTCCCTGGTTACCCTGAAGGGCGCGGTATACAACGTAAAGGATGATCTCCTTGTAAGGAATGCGGCCATAACCGAGAGCATCGACAAGGGTCCCAAGCTGGACTGGAGCTAAGACGTTGACAGTTCGCTGGCAGATCAGGAGCACCAAGCAAAGAACCACAATTCCCTGATAGACAGGGGAGTCCTTGGGCCTAGGATGGGGTTAGCGGACGAAACGAGATGGATGCACAAAGAAAAGGCCATGCATTACCAAAGGTATGGGAACAGGACTCGGAATCCAGCAAAGTAGTCCAGCCATCCCGTGCCTTGAACCTGAGTCCTAGCAGGAGGCTTGTGTGCAGATGCACTGTGAGGGTGGGTGCCACCATAGTTCTGGGATGCACCGTTCCCGTTGCCAAGCAGGGACTGTCTCTCCTCAGGGTCTGACTTGGTTTGCGATGGCTTCAACTTGTAATCCCTAAGAATGAGGCATGCCATCATAGCCACCAAGATGACGATCCTGGCAGCACTCAAGATATCGAGGACATCAAGCAAGTCGTTGGCCACGCGGAACGAGTTCTTCTCGGAAGAGAAGACTGCCGCAATGAAGGCTTCAAAGAGTGCACCAACGATCCATGCATAGAAATGAGCAGAGGTTGGCGTCCACGGGCCCTCCGGATCGGGCAGCAGACCAGCCAGGTAATACAGTAGGACTGCGACGTAGGACGCCTATATGGGCATCAGCGATGTGTGGTGCGACTTTTGGCATTGGGCCGGGGCGACGTCGTCACTTACGAGGAATGCGCTGTAGGGAAACACGACCTTGCCAGCCCCGTCGTATTGACCGGCAACTGCACCGCGGACGGCAAGGATGATAGTGGCAAGCTAGTCATCAGTGAGCGTTGGTGCTTCCAATTGAGCGAGTCCTATTGGTGCGAGTCCCGACTTACTAGCAGCAGAGAAACATCAAGCTGAAGGAACCGGATTATCCGGGCATAGAGTCGCGAGGCTCTCTTCTGCTCATCGTCCGTCGCGTTCTGGCGCGTGACGCCATGACGATCACGGTAGAACTGGTAAGACTGAGATGACAGTAGAGTGACAAAGAGGCCGCAGGGATAGAGGTAGAAGGCAACCTCCAGTCCCAGCTGAGTCCCCGCCATAGCTTTGGTCGTGCTACTAATTGTGAGAGCGTGTTGAGCGAGGTCGAATTCCGAACATGATCCAATGGCAATTTGGGATGATGTCGATTCCGAACGGCGACGCAGATTCTCCGACGGACCTCCCCTGTTGGGGGAAACATGCACAGACACGGAACGGCGGATGTTCCTCGGGCAATAGAGGGGTGGAGCAGCATGTGCCATCCATCTCATTAGTCATACGGTCCCGGTCAGCCGCATAGCCGTCGCCTTAGTCAGTCAGTCCCCCTTGCCAGCCTGCATGTCTGTCGCTCCTTTTCATCCCCCCTGGTAAGTAGTCGATCACCAAAGAACACAGAAGATCCCCAAGTCACTTACTTTTCTTGATACAGCCCACCATCTGATGTTTCGCTCAAACCTTTGCAACCTGCCGGCTCGCGAGACCGATGACCACAATGGGCCGATTTCCCATCCGCTGATCTGCAAGCTTTCCCCCGTACACAAGCACTCGGCTAGTCAAGCAGGCCTAGCGTGCTGACCGTGCCAGAGACAGAGCCTGCTCAACCCGACCCAGTCCCCAACCGCCTCGTGTCCAGGGTTTGAGATTGCCTGTCTGAGGCTGTGTGTGCTCCGAGTTCCCCACGGTTGATCGCCCTCTGACAGCAACCCGCCGAAGATCTAGAAAGCTTGGCATCGTGTTTATTATCGTACACAACGGGACCACCCGCACAACGCTGGAGAGGTGGCTCATTTGACGGCTTGGCATCGAGATCGAGCCTAGCACAAAGAGCAGGACAGGCTTCCTTGGATAAATTCGGGATTTCTTTCTACACAGTCTATTTATGGCGCCCCCTGACGATCTGTCCGATGCAAATTCCACTTGGACTGGCGGGTAACTGAGTTAGCACTCATAGCTTCGTGACCCTAATCCTGACAAGCTTCGCCTAGGTGCCGGGTGCCGAAGACTAGGATCGTCTTTGTCGTCTCTTGATCGTTCTGGCCGCAGCGAACACCCGTGTTGCCTCCGAAAGAAACACCCCGCATACTTTTTACTCTTTGTTCCAAATTTGTAACGCGGGCTAAACCAACCGTTCCACCACGAATCGGGTCGAACGGCATCTGTCACGAGCCACTCCATTGGACCGACATTGTCGTCCAGGGATACATGACCTCCAGGCTTTTACCAAAGTGTCCAAAACAATGGGCGTCTGCACTTGCAGCCCCAAGTCCAACAGAGAGCCCGTTTGCCGGAGCACGGGTCCCCACGCCCGGCACCAATATGAACCTAGACTCGTCAGAACCGGGCGACATGGGGCCCACGCCTCAACATGGAACCATCCAAACGGTGAGCCGAGTCGTTCGTACCAAGAAAGACACGCGCTCATTTTACTTCCCCTTATTAGCATCGGTGCATCCGTAGTGGAATTCAGGCACCATTGTTTTCCCCTCATATCGTTTGTTCCCGTGCTTCTGATGAGCCTTCAGTGATCCGTTGGTTATATACTAACCTGGCCGTCTTCGTGAGCTGCCATGCGTTTGAGCGTCTTCCACCGCTGCATCTTTCTAGCAAGTCGTCGCAGATCTAACGAATCCTTCTACCATGGCGTCGGTCGCTAGTGTGCTGGCCGCGAGGTCGCCTCCCAAAATCGAAACAATACCGAATGGACCGATATCGAGTCTCCAACCGTTCGGATCGCTGCTCTTCGTCTCGAGCATCATCATTGTGATGCTCGTGGCTAACATCCTCGAGCGGTGGCTACTTCAAGTGGTCTATGGGGAGATTTACGCAGAGCTCCAGCGCCCCGGGAGCGAAAAGCGTCGTCGATCCTTCACATACTACCACGTTGGCGCCATCACCATGTTCGCTATTCTCTGTATCGGAGCCTACCCCGTCATGCACTTCCTCGTTGGATCTGCAGACCTGGCTACCGACGTCGTCCCAGGACCAGGAAGTCGAATTCGTGTTGGAGACCTTCTCTTCGCTGTGTCTCAAACATACAGCGCGTATTATGCCTTCGAGCTTTGCTATCGCACCAAGTTCGCGAGTCCCCTTAGTATCGCCCACCACATCGGACTTCTAGCCATAACGCAAACAGCTCTTTCGCTTTTTGGTAGCTTCAGAAAACACCCAGAAGCCACCATAGAATTTTACATGTGCATGGTGTGGGGTACGTCCTGAAAGCTCGGGAACCAGGTCCCAAATGGCAAAACTGACAATGGCACAGGTGCTTTCGACGTTATCGTTGAATTGCCCGTTTACATCACCATGATCCTCTGGCGCATCAGGCGCAACGACCACCGATTGCTATCATATCTGACCGCCGGCCTTTGCGTCTGGGTTCTTGTCGGTGCATTCAGTGAAGTCGCTGTCACAATCTACCTCCTTCACGAGTCTTGGGGCAGATGGGGACATGTGTGGAAATTCGTCACACCTTTCGTCTTCTCCTTATGGATCGCAACACAACTGTACGGTGCTTCAAGGCTATTTTCGATGTCGCAGTCAGAACGACGCAAGTGTATTAAAGGGACGCCACAGGAGGTTGAGCCTACGGTCGAGCTGCCAGGATTGACAGACGAAGGGGGAAATGCCGGTCAAGAGGAGTCGAAGAGCAAAGCGATATGAGAACATGGATATGCGATTGACCAGGGATTAATACCAATGATTCATACCACCCAGCCTTGGGCCGTTCCTTTCATGATAAATTCATCTTCAGGTATAAAACTTAGCGACGCACACCAGCGACGGTGTCTGTAAAAAAACTGCTATGGTTTCAATTGGTTCTCGTTTTCAACAAAAGAGTCACCTGTAATGTAATGCGTACAGCTAATACGAGTCTAGCCACATAAGCTAGTTGCATGTAATTTTAATGTTTCGTGCATTCAATTTATCGTAGCATGATGATATCTAAAATGCTAGAAAGACAGTTATGAATAACGGCAGACCAACTGATTCGAGCCCATGAGTATACCCGGTGTTGAACAGAATCACATTGTAACTGTCTTGGTGGGGCTGAAGGCGCTGAACGATGGTGTGCCTTCACCGGGATGTTGGCCCCTCTGAAGGCTCTTCTTGGCCAGCAGCAACAGTTGGGATACTCTCAGGGCCCTCCCTCATCTGAATTTCATATTGATAAAGTAGCTGTCCTATCCTTCATATCTTAGTAATGGGCCCTAGAGCAACAACTGTTGTAACCTAGAATATTAGCTCATTACTAAGCGTCAATCTGCCCTAAACCAGGGGGTTGGATTTTCATTCTGACCCCTGAAGGCTTATTGAGCTGCTGAACGCGCGGAGTTCCTTCCTCTCCAGTCTCGTCCCAATGACTCCATCGCGCTGCTCGACTCCAATGCCAAGAAGAGTGTCAAGATGGAGACAATACCGGACCTCCAAGATCTTCCACTAGACCCACGAGTCCCGGGTCAACAGCCTCGATACTCACGCGACAACATCGTTGCCTCGCTGGCATCTTTTTACCAGAGTCTGCCACATATCAGCCCCTCTCTGGTGCGTCGCGCTCCGCCGGGGGGCTGGCCAGAAATCACCTCCGAATCGCTCGCGACCGCTAAAATGCGACCTTTGAACGAACGAGTCATTGACTTAATCAGGCATCTGCCGTATATTGACGGCAATCCCTTTTGGATTACTCCCGAAACATTTCCAATCAACTACCGTACCGCTGTGGCGCTGGTCCCTGCTGTTGGAGTATACAAGCCCAAATGGGTGCACATTCTGTCTCACGATCTCCAATCGTTCGACAGCTTTCCACCCTGGGTGTTTCAACTCACTATGAGCGTGAATAGAGACGGTGACATCTGGCTGTTGGACACCATGGACGGCACAGTCACCAAGTACATAATTACCGGTGCGGTTTATCCTGAGCCGGTAGGGAGATATGAGGAGGGCGATCCACGGATGTGGAGAGAGAAATTTTGCGATGATGTTACTGTTCCACTGGAATCATGGTTACATGGAATCCTTGAAAAGTACAAGAAGTTTTTATACTTTGGTGTTCCCCGCCACAACGACCCAGGAGTGCTTTGGCGTGACCAGGAATGGAGCAAGGACACACAGGTATGTCGAACTGCACCCGGCCTGATTGAAGTCCGCTGACTTCTGATCCAGGAGATTAAGGAGATTCTGGTTGAAAGCGGATGGCCAGAGAACTACAATGCTGAAGAGGGTCGCAACAGGTTGGCGCAATGGTTGACGCAGGCAAACATATAACAAATGAGGGGCTGGTGATGCAGGCACAAGCAGAGACGAGAATAGCATCATACGTTGAAAGTAGATTTAGAGACCGCAGTACGGAGCTAACTACATCAAACACCAGTATACATAGGGATATCAGAGTCAAAAGACCGTCCGGATTGGCTGGGACGCGGGACTTGAATGATGTTGTGCTCAGAGACTGGCGTTAGCCCAGGTGCGGGCGCTTCAGCAGCTGAGTTAGCTGCCCTCTCAGCCTTGTCCCTAAAGTTCCTGGCCATATCCTTCAGCTTCTTGATTTCTCGTGAGCAACTATTGTCCGCGGACTCCTCGAATCCGAGGTGGTCGCGCAATTCCTCGGGAGTCGCTACCCGCGTCGAGTTGGCACCCTCTAGTACCAGTCCGGCTGACTCAACCCAACGCTTTTGCGCAGGATCATTGGGCCATGTGTCTTGCAGCGCTGCCCCCGCCGCATGGCTATTGAAGTATACATCCTCATTGAGGAGGGCGTAATCTGGGTGTTTCACACCATTGACCATTAGCACACAGATGTTATTTGCGACATCATAGTTGTCAAAGTCATCGGGAAGACCGGCAAAGTCAAGTTCCCAAACAAGCTGCAAGAGAGCCACCCTGGTCAAATGCCACTCGACGGGAACTCTGGCATCCGGGTCGATGGTGGTCTTAGTATTGTGCATCACAGAGGCCTCCGGCGGTTGACAGCATTAGTCAAGGATCTTTCCGGCTTCGCGTTTGTCAACCAGATCGATGTAGCGAACCATCTGCCCATCTACAGAGTCCGGTTTCGTACTGAGGAATCTCAACACCTCCCTGTCTACTTCGCCGATCATGTCTCTGAGAATGCTAAACCCATCGTTCACAGGTGCCATCACCGCCGGTGGGTGTTTGTCTGGCGAGCATCCATTAGGCGCGTTGATTACGGGGTCCTAAAGGTCCATTGCCTGCTGTCGGTTGAAATTTTTGGTGATCGGACGCTTTTTGTTGCGAACCTTTCGGTAAGGGCAAGTGATGCTTTTGTACTGCGGGTAGTTGTTGACAATGGACCTGTAATTCTTGCAGGCTTCGGGATACACACCGCCACCGCAGGCACATGGAATCGGGTGACCATTATCTAGACGCTTTTTCATTGAAACCACAACTTCACTGGTTCGATGTGATGTCATCACACGTTTTCGTCTCTTGCAGGGTCTTCCGTCGTCTGGGCGCTTGACATTCGAGTCACACGAAGAGATCTTTGCTGGTGTCTGGCAGCTGTTAGTGTTATACCAAAGACCCATAGAACATGGAGGGAGCAGCATACATGGCTAGACTTTGGCGGCCGTGACACTGTATTGGATGGTTTATTGAACGACACGGAGTGTTCTTTGCCGAATACTTTGAACACGGCTTTGCCTACTTTCTCGATGCCCTCGGTACAAAGTTGAATCAGGGCCGGCGTTGCGGCAATCTCAGCAATGTCGAGAATTTCGCCTAACTTTATTAGCAACAAGTAACATCAACGCGGTTGAGAAATTACAAAAGAAGCAGAGCCTTCCAATGATCGGAATGGCAGCTTCTATTAACTCCAAGGGAGCCAAGAGAGCCGGAATGGCAACTCGACAAAAGTCTTTAGCAGCAATATCGAGAGCTGCCTGTTTAGCGGCTTTTTCAGCCAATTCCTGTTATCAGCCGTGCTTGTCATGTCGCTAAAGGCTGTTCTTGTTGGTCCTGGACCTGTGAAAGACCAGAGATCCATGCTTCTAGCCCGGCGTCGTTCTTCTTTAGTGCTGTTAACCGGCTGCACAACTTCCCAGTCTCCGTATCCATGGGAGCAATCGGAAATGTCTGGGTGTCAACGAATTCGAAAGCATAGCTGATGTGGGAGAAGCGATTCAGATTGAGATCCCCCGGTGAAACTGCCTGACAACTGTGAGTGTTTGACCATGCCTCGTAGTAGCCAATTGTACGCTTGGAGACAGAATTGCCGCAACCGCCGAAATTTGTTTGCCAACCTTTACCACATAAATCACCTGTAGAGCCACGAAAGCTAGGTAAAATTTTATCAGAAAACAAGCGGCTGACCCAGGAGAATGGAAATCGTTAAGGCTGGGACCTATCCGGACTTGGAACAGCAGACACTCAGCGGGCATTCTTGAGAGCCTTCCTTGCCGTATTGTCCACATTGAGCTCTTGCATCACAGTTCGCGTGAGCACCGGAGCACTTCAGTGGTTCACAAATAGTGATACCTTTGCGGTCTATAGCTCAGTTTGCGTGCCTCGACGATGCACATTGGAGAAAATTGGAAGCAACGAGACCTGGTATGTATTCGGAACTTCAGGGTTCCCATCTGCTGCCATTTTGTGGTGCAACACAAGGTAACGAGAGTCACTGCAGTGATAGCATCGCGGAATCCATTGTTGGAGACACTACTATAGTTCAGTTCAAGAAGTGAAACACGTATATTCTTGAACTATGTGACAGTCTTGTCGAGGATCAACATATCTGCATCAGGTGAGAAATAGCGCCAACGACTGTGCTTGGCGCCGGTTAGACTGACAAATCGCGCTGGAAAGCTCTTCTCGTGTCAAAGCAACATACGCCCTGCCCGCGCCACCATTAGGCACAGCAGACAACGCAGGAAACCAATAGCGAGGTGGTGCCGGGGGTATGGCAACGGCAACAACGACGCGCCGATACTCCCCGAGTCTTGGCTAGCCAGGCCACATTTGATCGCACCTCGGTTTCGGTATGGAAGTGGTTTTTCTTATTTTCGGTTGGCGAACAAAAACAATGTGTTACACCTCAATTCAATGATTACCCATATCACTGAAACCGAAAGCAGCCATGCCAAGAAACCGCCATTGCTCGATAGGATTGACTGTGCCTCTTTAACCCTTCCGCCAAGTTTTCTTCATGGCAGATTTGGAATAATGGAGGATGCCACAAGAAAGTCGCCGGCGACACGGTGGGCCTTATTTTTAGAGTAGTGAAGATATAGAAAAATGCAGCGCTAGATACTAGGTGGCGGAAATTGCCAAACTCGATTGACAACTGAAAGCCTCTCATCACCTTTTGATCCTAGAAGTCGTGGAGACCATGGAGATCGTGATTTTAAGCCTTCGTTGGTCTGGGGTGGAGATATCAGATTTTCCATCGAAACCAAAAGCAACATTTCGTCCTGAGATTGTGACTGCAACTACAGGGGCCTGATTTCTATGCTTTTTAACGAACATTCAAAGCCCGAAGAAAGTCTTCGGGTCAACGGAACTACGGTCCTCTTCAAGGTCGTCCACGGCATCTCCGCGCTTGAATAGTCTCAACACGCCAATGTTTCCGCATGCAGCCGCCACATCCAGCGCCGTCTTACGCTGGTTGTCCTCGATCATGGGATCCAGACCCCTTGCAGCCAGAGTCTTGAACCTGACAGCGTGTCCTCTAGCCGCCATGTGTAGCAAACCCTGACCTGCATTATCCAGGGCCTTGAAGTCAGCGTTTGCTGCCTCGAACGCAGCAAGCCCGCCTTCGTCATCATAGGTCACCCCATCAAGGTGTTCGGTGTAGAACTCTTTCTCCTTGCTCTCGAACTGCTTGAAGTAATAGAACAATGGTGTCTCGCCTTTCAAGTTGCGAGAATTGACGTCACATCCGTGATTGACAAGCTCCTCGAACAAGTTACGGAGACTAGAGATCCAGAGCATCCGGGACAAGACGTGAAGAACTGTGTTGCCATCGTTGTCTGGGATGAGGGGGTCTGCTCCGGCTTTTAGGAGTTTCTCTGCAGCGGTTGTATTCTTCTCATAGACAGCGCGGCCGGTAGCCAGATATAACGGCGTCTTCCCGTCTTTGTCTCTCTGGTTGATTATCGAGTGGTGATACGTGGCCATATAGGCAAGCGACTTGTGGATGACAGGTAATGATACTGAGCAGTAGCGCTCTTCCAAGCGGAACCGTAATAAGTGATGGATTGCATTTCGTCCATCATCGTCGCGCGCCTCGAGGTCTGCGCCGATGGAGAGAAGATGGTGGAAGAGCGAAGTCTCTGTCGATTCTTCGGTTTCCCACTGTTCTCCTGGCATGAGACTTACTGGTAGATCAGGTCCGCGTCTGGAGAAGCACGCCGCATGGAAGAGAGTGCGGCCTTTGCTGTCACGGAAATTCGCGTCGATATTCGGCAGTGTCAGAAAAGGATACACGACATGCCCATCAACTAACAACTGGTGCAGCACGACACCTTCCTCGTGGAGATGGGATTTCGAGTCGTCAGTCGGCTGAATTAGAATGTCGTCATTAAGTTGTTGATTCTCATTGTTATCGGACCGCAAGTCCGCTGCCTGTTCCTTAGCAAGAAACTTCTGATGATAACACTCTTTCGTCGAGCATCTGGTGAAGGTTTGAAGAGGGTTCGCTCCATGAGACAGAAGAATGTTAATAATCTTCAGAGTAGTCTCGTTAAGTTCTTCCCTGAACTTCTTGTCTTGCCAAGTACTAGCGTACCTTGAGGCGGCGTGGTGCACAGGGTACCACTCGCAGTCCGGCATGTCATCTCTTTCCCACTCATGAGAGCCGGAATGTTGGCGTTTCCTCCAAGGCTTGCCGATAATCTCTTCCAATCGCAGGTTTGGACTAACACCTGCCGTCAGTAGCGTCTCAAGCACGTCAACCTGCTTTCCGTTGATGGCCGCAAATATCGCGTCCGCCTTCACTGCCGCCCCACGCTCAATAAGCAGACGAATCAAGTCAACGTTGCCACGCGCATAACCAAGACACGTTTTTGCCGTGCCATCCACTGCGTTGACATCAGCTCCAGCAAGAATGAGCAGATGAGCCGCATCGCTATGGTAAGGCCCATTGGAGTCCCCGCCACCTAGAGCAACATGAAGAGGCGTCTGTCCCTTGGAATTCCTAATCTCTAGGTCTGCACCCTTACTGATCAAATAAGGCAGTGCCTGCCCAACTTGCCACCACCAGTGGCCTGCGGCAAGCGAGTGGAGGGCGCTTTCGGTCAGCATGGAATTTCGAGCGCCATTAATATACAGCTCATTGGTGTCAACCGCAAACTTATCCACAAGAAGCTGAACAACTTCAAGCACCGGTAATTCCTGATCAACAGCTTGTAAGAGGAAAGGTTTCCGAACACTGTTCCTGTTACTGGACTCGTTGCAAGCCCATTTGGTGTTGAGTCCGAATCCGGGTCGAGTTTTGTCTCCTGCCGCATGCCAAATGCCTTTTTCAAACTGCACCTTCGCCTCAAGTGAGCCTATTCGGTCGACAAGAAAGGCGAGCCCTCTGGTGACGAGAACTTCTAGGTTGGAACTCCTCAGATTCTTCTGTTCGGTGAGGAAATCCACCCCCAAATTAAAGAGCTCCTCCATCACCTCATATTCGCGCCGTACTAGCCTCGACAGGACCAAGTCCTCGTTCGCTTCGCCCTTTTTGACTATTCCAGACTCTTGTATTGCCTTGATAATAGCTTCATGGCGATTCTTAATAAGATGTTCATAGAAGCTTCCCAAACTTGGTTGTGACTTGTAAAATGGCCCAGGCGGACCTAAAGGTCTTCTTCCCTGAGCCTGTGACAGACATTTGAAGGTATAATCCCGAGAGTGGATTGAGATCCCATTCAATGACTTGTCGCTTTTCATTATACTGTTGGACATTGCTTCAGACAAATCGACGCCGTTATCAAGAAGCATATCGATAATTTCCTCGAGCCTGGCCGTGTCATGGAACGGGTGAAGCAACTCACGAGTCGAGTCCCTATCACACCCCACGGACGAGACACATCTTCGAGCTTGAGCCCGCCGGCATCTCCGTTCTCGGGTTCACGGACAGGTCTTCTTAGCCAGAGGTCATACTCTTGCTCAAAGCCAACGACGGCAGCGCAAAGATTGCCATTTTGCGCAACTGCACCTGCTTTGAAGAGCATGGAGACGATTTCGGGCCTCCCAGAGCGACACGCGTAATACAGGGGCGTGTAACCGCTCTTGTCTGCTACATTAACTCCGGCGACTGGCTTGCTACATGTATTATGCAGCCAATACCCTCGCGTGGCAATCTTTGACCTGACGTTAGACGCAACACCGTCCGCTTGATGGAGTGCATCGAGAAGCAGTCCGACAATGTTGCTTTGCCGGGACCTCGAAGCGAGATGCAACGGCGTCAGGCCCTCGTTAGTACGGATCGCAGGGTCAGCGCCAGCGTCCAACAGCTTTTTGGTGTATTGCTCTGATACCGTGACCGCGAGATGCAGCGGAGCAATGCCGTCGCGATCGCGGACATTCATATTCTTCGTACGCGAGATGACCAAGTCGATTGGCAGCCCTTCCCCCTGTACCTGCGACCGCGATCAACTTTCGTTGCCAAGTTATGGAGTGGTGTCCGTCCCCTGTTGTTCTGTTGATCAACATCGAGACCTAGAGACAACAGATGTTCCCAAGCCAGCATGATCTCCCGTGAATCAAAGTCATGGGCACGACGGTGCCAGCAGAGTTCATGAAGCAAATTGTTGCCATCGTAATCCGTGACGTGGACATCGAGGCCTTGACTCCTTAGAAAGTCGAATCGAGAAGGCTTCGAACTGTCAGCGCTGTGAATGGAAGAAACGTCTGAATACAGCCTGATGAGCTCATGGAGAAGGGTACGCCCTCGGGAATCGCGAGTCTCTAAGAGAGAACCGCGATCCAGCAGTGCCTTGACGTCGTCGTTGGGATGCTTCTTCGGCCAGAAGCAACCACTAGGAACCACTCGGAAGAGAAGTGTTGCGCCGTTCTTGTCTTTTGCGTTGATGTTGGCACCAGCTTCAAGCAAAAGGTCCATGATTTCGACTGATTCCCGCCTCTGTAAGGACATGACGTCCAGGGGTCTCGTGCCGCACTCGTTCTTCAGATTGGGGTCAGCTCCACCTTCAATGAGCGCCTTGATAAGTTCACGGTTGGTCCACAACGACTGCAAGGCGATGTGCAGTGGGCCATTACCGTTGTTGTCGGTAATGGTGCAATCGGCGCCGTACTTGATGAGTTGGAGGGCAGCTGGTAAGGAAGTATCAACTACTTGCAGAAGAGGGGTTTTACCGGTTGATGGAATCCTCTTATTGATATCTGCTTTGCCATATACAACAAGCAGGGTTAGGGACTCGGTAGAATGTACCATATGGAGGGGCGCACAGCCCTCGTTGTTGGTAACGTTGGCATCGATCCCTGCATCGAGCAGCAAGCGCACCCAGGTGGGATTATTCTGTGCAACGTGGAGCAGGGACTGGCCGGTGTGTGTTCTTTGGTGGATGTCTGCTCCCTTTTCAACGAAAAGTGTGAGTAGATCTTTGAGTGCCACAAAGTCGTCAGTTGACCTCCATCTGGGATCCTGACGGCCATCGAGAGCCATGTAGAGGGCGGTTAGGCCAGATCTCCTGTGATATGGAACACAATTGTTGTTGTTGTTATCGGCTTCGCCTGGATCTATGAATAAATCGTACGGGATGGTATGTCTTCTTCTAAACATGTCTTGTAACTGGCAGACAATCGTGGGATTTGCGCCCTCGTTGAGGAGCAATTTGATGGACTCATAGCTCCAACTCTGACTTGCCTGAAAGAGTGGCGTTACTCCATGAACTTTACGGTTGATGTCGATTCCGGGATGCTCCAACAGTCTTGCGACGATGTTGGTTCTGCCACTTCTAGCTGCCCATGACAAGGCTTGGTACACGGCTTCGTCGTTATCAGCGAGGAAGGGCATGTAGGCTTCAATTGCTTCGAGATGCCCATGCTTGCAAGCGTACTTCGGAAGAATAGTCAGAATGGAACGTGTCATAACTATCATTTACAGTCAGGGAAACAAGTGTCAAAATACGTGGACATACCATCAGAGGAGTGTGTCCTGTAGACCTTGGCGAGTTGCCGCACCGTCTGCCTGGGTCCTCTCGTGACTTTTCTGTTAAGGGATTAACTCCCGCTGTCAACAGTACTCTGATGACCTCGGGGTAGTTCTTGCTCGACGCTTCATGTAGCGGCTTCAGACCACGGCAGGCGTCATCCTGATCCGGGCTGGCACCAGCTTCAATCAAGACCTGGACGACTTCTGCCATTCCAAAAGACGCAGCCCACCATAGAGCCGTCTTTCCCTCAGCATCAATTGCATCGACAGCCACATCAGGAGACGAGACCAAATGCTTCACATACTCAACAAGCCCACTTTTGGCTGCGATGTGCAAGGGAGTTAATCCAGAAATCGCGTCCTTGGCCCTCAACCAGCCGACTCTGAGCCAAGCATACACTAGTTCGGAGTTGCCAAAGAATTGTTCCAGTGCTGTAATCACCTTGGTTTGGTTGTAACCGTCCTTCGCCGATCTCTCTAGGTGGACATACCAGTTGTTCGCCGCATACGTAAGAAAGGGATATTTGAGGTTCAACTCCAGATCGTTAGCGCCTCTACTGTTTGGAAGCCTTCCAGGCGCCTTCAGCCACTTGTTTTTTTCAACAACGTGATCAAGACACCCAGCCTTCAAATAGCGCAAACATGCCAACCCAAGGCTGGCGTGCGTCTCCCCGAATTCTAGCACTGGGTAACCTGTGTCATCATCGGCTAGTCTACTGATGCCCTGGAGATACTCTGTGAAAGAATGGTGGATGACACAGACAGTCTCATCAGGCATAATTTCCAGAAGAGGACCACATGCAGCCCTAACAAGGTCTTTTGTGTTTCGAAGATGCTCGGTTGCATTGCTGTAATATGTAACGGAGATCATTTCAGCCAGCTCAAGCAACCGGAGCGGCCGCGTTGCATGTGTGGCCCATTGCAGCACAACCCGTTGCATGTCATCACGAACGCCAGACCTGCGGGAGTGCTCGCGTAGTAAATCCGCATACATGGCATTCATGTCGGCCGGCAAACTCTTGAGAGTGTCCTTGGTGTTGGCGTTTGGCTTAAGGAAGGCATCCATGGCAAGCTTGGCGTAGAGGAAAAGGCCATTCGCCCGGCCTGGAATTGCTTCTCGGATAATTTGTTGGTCTTCCGGTAAGATGCTTGATATGTCGAGGCCTTTTTGGACAAAGGCTGAGATGTCGACGTCAACCATGCTCCCTTGGAGGCGAATCTGGAGATACTTTGTTGTTCGTAGTGGGATTTCGACGGAGGGGACAGGCCGGCTAGTGATAAGCACTTTCACCTTTCCCGGCATCCAATTTCCGAGGTCGGCAAGTGCTTTGATGAAGGCCTCGTTTCCGTGATCAATCTCATCAAGGGCGTCAGCGACGCAGAAGACCTTGTCAGGAAATCCGGAAAGTGCCAGTCGAAGGTCTTTCCATAGATCGTTCATAGACATAGTACTGAGCGGCTTTTTTTCTTTCTCAGTGTACTCCTTGAGCCGCTTTTGCAGAGGTGGACTGTAAACGAGAACTTGGTCTAACCAATCTCTCAAGAGGGCGACAGGCTCGTGATTGGCGTCAATAATCTGGCGAAAGAAGAAGTAGAGCACAGGGCAGCCGGGGTTTTTATTCCCAAGTTCGTCCACGATTTTTGAGGCTAACACTGATTTGCCCGATCCAGGGATTCCTGTGATCCAGAGTAGACCATCATTGTGGCCTTGCGACCAGTCTGCATAGGTACAGCTGGATGTGAGCCATTCACCAGTGCCTAGGACGTGAGAGCTGAGGTGCTTGCGATATTCACCGCTTTCGAGGTCGTACGAAGTCGGCTTGAGCCACGATCTGAGGCTTTTGATTACTCCATCAGATTCTGGAAGAATCTGTTCTGGGTTGTAGTTGCTGACATCGTCGCGGTCGATGACGACGGTATCATCTTCGCTGCAGTCACTGAGAGTCGCCGCCATGATTACTTCGTGCTCGAATTTTTGCAAGTTGCAGTGCAAACAACAGGAAGAGATCCGAGAAGCCCTCTTGTTTTTGACAGCAAGAGTATACGGTGGTTGATTGTCGGGCTAAGGCACTGCTATAATATCAAGCTACAAGCAAAGACAACTGCATTTGAGGCGATGATAGGTTCAAAAAAAAAAACAGTATTGTTCGGTCTTCAAAGCAGCATGAGGTCTACTGAAAGTATGACCATCGAACGGTTTGATGAAATGCAATTACCATGTTGCTGATTGAGGCTACTAGGCAGCCGGTTGCTTGGGCGGCTAATGCGAAATGCGGCTGCCTAATTAACCGAAAGAGGTTAGACCACTATTGGGACTAGGAAACTTCGAAAAACGACAATTGGTCAAAACTGCAGTGGGTCACATGATGAAACCGAGGTCGATGCTAGAGATTGTAAGTGGGAGTGCTGTTATTGAGATGATTCCATTCCAGATAATCTTTCAGGAGGTGCTCGTCTCAATAAATTTCTGCCAACTCTGGGAGTAGTTGCACAGTGATGCAGCGTTTTTCCAATGCTCCGCCTCACACTTCATCTAGGGAGGATCCGGGTACCTGTGTGAATTTGTGGAAATCCAGTTACGTATTGGGAATGACAGTAAAACATATGAATAACGCTTAAAGAAACTTAGATTTCCAGGTCCATTATTAAGAAAACAATCATTGACCGTCTATATATCACTACATGAGTATTGGAGATTTGAGAACATTATTTACAAAAATGCTAGAGTTGTCAGTGAGTTATCGTACGACAGCGCTTCATTCGCACAATCAACTAACTAATCCAAATGACTCAAACACAAAACCAACAATTGAGCATCTCCCCAACAAACAAACCAGTCAACTCTTTGTTTTTTGGCGAAGTAACCCAGTTAGCATATAAAGGAAATTAGTTTGCCCGTTTTAAAGTACAGCGCTTGGCGTGCAGTACAATATATCACTGTTAATGGTGTTGCTCTGCACAGGTGCCACGTCGCTAGAACATTCAAGGTGCTACCAAAACAAGGACGACTTTGTGTTCGCTTAGTCCCGTTTGCATACAAAAAAAGACACCTTAGCAGGGGCCTGCAACTCATCCAGTATAGAGACGCGCGAGTTTGGAGCTAGGCACTGCCCAGCCCGAGAGGAACGAGACCCATGGATCAATAGGCGAACCTCCCTCAGCAAACAAACAAGCTTTCATTGAGCCAACGATTTTTCTTCAAGATGGTGTCGAAGGCTAGCAATCTGGAACCGAACTGGCCCTGCAACACAAGCGCCGCGACCGCGGATCCGTGGAGCTAAGAAGTGGTGTGCGTCATCATCGTCGCGTCAGTCCGGGGTGTGCCGGGTCTAGTTGGATTCATATGAGGTACCTATATTGAGAAGTGTGACAGGCTGTGCAGTAGGTAACAACGCAGAAGTCGTGTCACCCCGGCTGTCATATCATGCATGCATGAATACTGATTGAAATTTGGCTGGTACATCAATCACAGCCTTGTTGGTATGTGCAAGGCCGCCTGACCACAGGGCCTCAAGGTTGATCACCAACCGGGTTAGAGTGAAACTGGGGTGTTCAACTCTGGGACGCTACCCAGGAAAGTGACAATGTCTCAACCCCAGATATCCATCCGGTTGGGTCCATGCGGTGAAGGTGATGGCAGGGCCTGCGTGGATGGCCGGAAACCCACACGCTGGGCACACCTTTGCAGTACCAATGTTTATTTTAACGGCTTGGCAAGTGATGGCCACCGATTCTATCGAGTTGACAACGTTGATAGCAGGATAAGACTCACTAAGCTTTCGGTGCCTAAGACAGAGAGAGGCCAGAAGGAGTCAAGGGAAGGCGATTCACATCAAACAGATTCGGAGCAGAATCGGGAATGATTCCCTGGAGCAATTACCACTAAAGGATAGTCGGCGAAGTTATTAAATTACGAGGACCACGGGGCATATGAGGAGATTGAGGAGTCGTAGTTGACAGACGGCGGAGACAGTAATTTGGAATTTGGGACTACTGTTTTCCCTCTTGTGTCTCACTCAGAGTCGTGGTTTGGCAGATTGTATGTCCTGGCCCAAGCTCCAGAGTACCTAGGTGGGAATAGCACGAGCCACTACGGAAGCCAAGCTCCGCGTCCTGACCTCTCATTGGCAATTTGGACGATACGTACCGATACGCTGCCTATCAGCTACGTCATTGGCTGGTCACCTATGTGCGCTCATCATTCCTTCCTACCGAATGGCTCGCGCTTTGTTCATCGTGACGAACTTCAACGACATAGCATTCTCTTCACCGTAGCACTTACCTTTCTACAGTCCTTCTGACCTCTTCGAGGACTCATCACGCTGCCGGAACCTCAAGACTCTCCCTTCTTTCTTGTCCTCAGGCTTCAGCAACAGTATTTCCGTTGCCGCAATGCTGTCCTTATTCGGCTTCGACAGGTCGTCGCGCGAAGAACGCGAGCGTGAGCCTCTGCTGCCTCGCTACAACGACGACACAGCCTTGCAGGAACGTCTCCATGAGAAGCTACACACCTATCAAATGCTTCGAGCTATTGGGAAAGGTTACATGCCCTCGAACGAGCAGCTCATCATCAATCTGCGCACTTTGCTGTCTGCCGATATCCTCAATCCCGATACCCCGGATCTCAGCGACTCAGGACGTGCCCTCGTTCTGAACGTTAAGCTGTTGATCAAACAACTCATCGAGCTGCTTCTCCACAAGAACGACAAGGACCAGATTCAGGACTTTATCTGGTATCTCACCAAGGCCCGCCTGTCCGTTGACGCGTACGACATTGGAGCTCGAGCATCCAAGGCCAAAGCGAGGGCCGATACAGTTGCAGGTGGGTAATGGTTGCCGAAGCACACCCAGGTCCCCCGTTCTGTCTACCCTACAGTAGCATGGAAAGTTTGGGATTTACTCCAGAGTTTGTGCTGACACTTTACCTAGCATATAAGAGCTTACAAACTGTTGGATCGCTGCTCCTCACAAACTCGGACTTCCGCTTGTTCCTATCCGATCTGAGTACTATTGGTCGCGAGGTTTTCCGGGACACCGCCTTCACTCTTTCTGACGTCTCCAAGCAAGCGGCCAAGGATATTGAGCCGTCGAAAGAAGAGGAAGAAGCCGTCAAGCATCCTAACGGCGATTCGAAGCCTCCGCCATCCAAGGACGACTTCCAGGGTGAAGTTGTTGAAGTCTCTAAGGTTCTCACTGATGGCGTCGCCCGTGTGGCTGACGAGGCTGGCCAAAGCCTAGCCGATCATGTCACAGGCGAGGAGCAGGAAACGCTCGTGCACAGGCTGAAGAATACCGTTGTCAACCTACGCGGTAGAAAGGATTATTCTGATTCAGTATCGACGCTCTCTCTACTCATCAGGCGCTATCTCCTAGTCTACTCTCACGCCGTTTCGGACACCATTCATGTTGCCCAGGAGGACATCGACACCAATCCCGAAGCCGACCGCGCACTCCATAACTTTTGGCTATTCTTGACCTCCCTCGGCGATCGCGAGCATTGGAACGAGGTCGAGCGTATGTTCAAGGTGGTAATGGAACACGGCCGCAGTGACCCCGAGTTCGACAAGCTTGTTAAACAAATTGGTAACCTGCTCCAAGATATCCTTACGGACCCCGACTTCTTCGAACATGCCGAAGAACGCTTCAAGGAGCTGAGGGCAAAGTCGAGGGAGTTGACCTCGGAGTCTTCGATACGCGATGATCTCGATGCCCTGCTGGACCGAGTGCATCTGGCCTTGCACTCTGTTCTCGAGGATACCGACATCAAGAAAGCTTTGAACACAACGAAGAGAATCCTCAAGATCCTCTCCCCCGCTAATCAGTACACAAATGGAGAACTATTGGCCGATTCAACCAATATTTTCATACCCTTGTTGATTCAAGCCATTCAATACATCCCCATCCCTCGCCTAGAGGTCTCGGTGCCGACTATTGATCTTCTCCTGGAGAACCTAATTTTGGAGCCAGGCCGAACAGTCAATAACAGCTCGTTCTTACCCTTCAAGCTCAACATCTCGACCCAGAACGACGTCGAGATTCGGAAAGCCCGGTTCCGGACGACCACTTCGGTCACCACCCTGATGAGAATTACCCTGTCGGGCTTGTCAATTGCCGCCGAAGACCTCGGGTATTGGCTGCGCCTCCATTCGGGCATATTGAGACTGGGCGACGCTGGGATTGCGGGGTTCCACCTAGATGAGCGCGGTATTGACGTTGCCATCGATGTGGAGGTTGGAAAAGACCGCCTCGAGAACATATTGACTCTTCATAATGTCCGTGTTCGCATCCATCATCTCGATTACAGCCTTCGGAAGAGCAACTTTTCCTGGCTGGCTTGGCTTTTGAAACCTCTTATTCGGCCGACCGTTAAGGCGGCACTGGAGGCACAAATTGCAACCAGTATTAGCGAGGGCCTCCATTTCGCCAACAGAGAGCTACTCTTTGCGCGTGAGCGTCTACGAGCGACTCGTATTGCCGACCCGCAGGATTTGTGGACTTTTGTCAAGGCCGTGGCAGCGAGATTGGTGCCACCAGAGGATCCAGATCTGTACACCCGCGTGGGTGTCACGCAGCCTGGACGGGGAGTGTTCAAGGGGGTGTATGCACCTGGCAGTCTGGTCAAAATGTGGAACGAAGAGGCGGCGCTTGCCGGCGACAGAGTGCACGAGTACCAAAGAGATGGCTGGCGCAACTCAATCTTTGACGTTGGCACTACTGGTGTCACCATCTGATTTTGCGATTCCGTGCGCGCGGGTAAAAATGGCGCATTTACTGTCACAACTAGCCGGGCAACAACACACGGGCTAAGGTAGCCAAGAAAGGAAGGATATAGCACGGTATGGACTCAAAACTGCAAGAACTTTTCTACATGTATTCTCTAGGGGGCAATGACACAAGCAGGGAGAACAGTACCTCAACCGAAAATGGCAAGTCGCTATGAATTACCACGAACTCTGCATGTGCCCATGTGCTTGAGCAGAGCGAATGGCGGGTTTTACGTTGCCTTGACTTTGGCAGCGTGCATGGGATGCAGTGCTATGCAGATTGCATCAGCATTTGGCAGGACCAGTCCTCCACGCGCGCATGCTCCTCAGATGCGCGCGCTACGATGCTACAGGTGGCAATCACACTCCATCTCCGAATTCAGCAGGAACACAATTGCGAAAACAGTGCCAAGTCCACGCGTTGAGGTTAACCGGTTGTTTGACTCAATGTAGGCACAAACGTAACATGGAAAGGGGGCTTGATTTATCAACTGTCATGTCTAGAATCTGCTGCTCAGCGGTGCAATCTGCCTCCGTCAACGGTTCCTCGGACAACATGGCTCTGAAATGCCTCCAGAATTCGTGGCATTCACGAGCTGTTTATCGGCTCTAGTCGTCGGACGTCGGAAAACATTATGTTTTGAGTTTGGACGAAGCCCTGTAGCGCGCTCAGCCGATCGCGTACTGCGTAAGCTCCGATGCGGCGCTCTCCCGAAAGTTACGTAGGGGCCACCTGCAAAAGCTACGTGTGCTTGAAGTCAGGACGACGCTTTTGGAGAAAGGCCGTCATCCCTTCCTGAAAGTCACCCAGACCGAATGTCGAGTAGTAAAGAGACTTTTCCAAGGTCATCCCGGCATCAAGATGGCTATTTTCAACTGTAACACAGTCAGCGAGTCATGAATACAGGGGCCCGACCCCTCAAAGCCTGGGTGGTATTCGGAGCTATCCATAGGGGTAAACAAGGGTTACGGAAGGGCACCAACCAGTGAGAACCGCCTGCTTCGCCGTTTTGATCACGGGGCTCGACATAACTGCGATACGCTCCGCAAGCTTCAGTGCCGCAGGCACAACATCTTGACGAGGAAACACCTTGTTCACCACGCCGAGTCGCTCAAACTCGGCTCCGCTGGCTGGCTCGCCCGTGAGAACGAATTCCATGGCCTATTGCTGCTAGTCAGCCATTTGATCCAGCACAGGAGGGCATGCCTCCGACTATTTGACTCGTGTTCCACAGTTCGACGGCCTGATTCCGAGTCTTCCACTTACCTTGTGCTTGCCCAGAGCACGGGCTATCCGCTGAGTGCCGCCAGCGCCTGGGATAGTTCCGATCTTGATCTCTGGAAGGCCGAACGAGGCATCTTCGGCCGCGTAAATCATATCGCACTGCATTACCAATGAGCCTCCGATGTCCTTTCTTGCAGGACCGATATAGGGGTTTCCAAGAACTTACCGCCAGGGCAATCTCGCAGCCACCGCCCAACTTGAGGCTTTTGCGTTAGCCTTGTTTTCCAGAGACATGCAGGAGGAGGGAAAAGAAGAAAAGAAAAAAAAAAAAGCGACCGTTGGACACACAGGGCGGCCCAAAGCTCGACTCCCAACTTACAGCAAATCCAACAACAGCCGCGATGATGGGCTTGGAGAGCCTGGCGAAGGCATCTGTCAAGTCCTTCAGAAAGGCGCGCTGGTGGGCCTCGGCCGTTGAGATCTGCACTAGCTCGTTCAGATCCATCCCAGCTGCACCATCAAACGGGTTAGCTAACGACTCGTCTCCATTAGATTAGATTAGAGGCCCATTGCCGGATCCGCAATTCTCGTCAAGTTTCAGCAATCAGAGACGCACGACAACAGTGGGCAGGCCCCCGTGTATCATGTTCGTGGGGAATCGGATGGAGTTGGGATGGCAGTTGGTCGACGTGGACTCGCCGACTGCCGTGCGCAGCGCCAATGACTGAGCGGTATCCGCAAATGGAAATTGGAGCCCCTGGGAAAAGGGGAAAAGGAAGGAAAAAAAATAGAAAGAGCCAAGGAAGAGAGGGGAATATGCGGGAATTGGGCACTAGGGATCAAGTTTACCGCACCTCCAAACCCGGACACGGATTTTCGGGGCCCAAGTCGGTTTGAGGTGGTACGAGAAAAAGTTGCAAACATACCGCAGAAAGGACCGTCTGGGCCACCAGTGACAACCACAGCGCGAACAGTGTCCAAGGCATCGAGATGAGCCAGAGTAGCGACAAGTTCGCCGATCATGGCCTGCGAGAAGGCGTTTCTCTTGGCGGGTCGGTCGAATCGGATCAAGGCGACGCCCTTGTCGGCGTCCACCGTCAACTGGAGAGTTTGGAGGTTATCCATGGCGTTGGGAGAACTTTCCGCAAAAGGATGGAAAAAATATTAAGAATGAGAAAGTTTGGCAGACGGGCAAACGGATTGCGACTGATGACGAAAACGTAGAAGGCAAAGGGAAGACGAGCGAGGGTTGTGGTAGTAGTTGTTGCTGACTTGTTGGGTTGCGTGTTCAACACATGGCAGAGAGACAGAGAGATCGTTTTTCCTTCTGCCCTTTTCTTTTTCTTTGCATCCTTCCTCTTAGGAATCTTTCTTCTTCACCAACACCACCACATTGCCGTGCTTTATTGGGGATGGGCACGTTGCCTGTTGAGAAAAAGGTTCGTGCGCGCCGTGGCTGCGAACAAGCTTAGCGTTGCATCCGACTGGAGACGACTTGCACAGGATGAAGGGGAGGGGGTGGGCGGCCGAATGGTCAGAAAGCATTACGAGCCGCGGAAGTCAGGGTTCACCCCGGGCATGCAGCCAAGACATCCATGGCAGAAGCAAGGCACAGTCCGTAAACACCCACTAACATAGTACTTTTCTCCACGATCGCGGCAACGTTGGTGGATGGCACATGTTAACACCTCGGGGCTGATTGTCAACGACTTTGTCACCCCTCCCCTGATCACATCCACCCCCATCCAAACGTCTAAGATGGTCCTCCTCCGTGCCTCCACCACTGCCGCACCCCTTGTTACAGTCCCAAGGCGAGAATCGCTTCATCAACGAGACTGAAGGTCACAGCTACCGGATTGGGCGGATCTGCTCCGGATTGACCTCCGATTTTCCCGGATTTGGATGTCTCCTCCGGCTTCGCCCAGCCGCCCGCCCAGAGTTGCTTCTACGGCACGATGGAACCGTCGTTACAGCGCAATCTCTGCCCACATGCAAAAGAAAATGAAGCAGGCGCTTTCCCAACTGCTCTAGGCCGTTCGCCTTGACGCTGTGATGGAAGAAGCTGGCCCCTGCCATGTAGTGTAAGCTTCTGTTTACGCTCACATCCGTCATCCACGACCATGGATCCTCCTCCCCCCTTGATGGTGCTGCGTTCGTTCATCAAGAGACCCAATCACATCTAAACCCTTGCAAGCTTTTACACATGCGAACCCGAACCCGGTTCAGTCCATCAGCGGCCCTGTACATCTCCACAGTATCCAAAACATATTTCTGCATAGGAGGTAGCTGAAAGAAGCAAAGGGGCCTAGCCAGGACCTTTGGTATCCATGACTGAACAGGGGCTCTAGAAAATGCAACCTTGTTTTGGCTACGGATGTCGAGCTGCTCGAGACAGGCTTTTACGAAAAGATTGAAACGAAATATGCGGTACCGTCTGCAGAATGACCTAGTGTTTCCGTTGCCACCCGTGGACCCTACAGGCTAATGAAGACAAGCACGATGGCCCTCCGGGACGGGATATATCTGGCTCGAGGTTCCCACCTCTCGATATACGATGTTGGGCGCGTCACTGGCGGGCACAATCACTCTAGAGCATTGTCACTTTGAAGCTCTCAACATGGGCTCTTCACTTCCCTTCCAGTCGCTGGAAAGCCTCTCCCTGGCGGATCGAGTGCTATTCAGCCAATTCAGCAAAGGACCGAAAGCCACCATCCCCTACCACGTCGTTCACCACGCCTTTGAGTCTATTGCAGCGGCACACCCCGACGTCACCGCCGTCCGCCACTACGATGGTACGACCATCACGTACCGGGAGCTCAACCGCAGGGCCAACGTGCTTGCCAATGAGCTGAGGGGAACTCACGGCGTGAAGAAGGGGGACCGTGTGGTGCTCGTCTACTCTCGATGCATCGAGATGGTTGTCTTCATCTTTGCCGTGCTCAAGGCTGGTGGTCAGTACGTTCCTCTCGACGGCGGTATCATCCCCGAAGATACCCTAGGCTACGACATTGCCGACTCCAACGCGCCGGTCGTGCTGTGTCTACCCAAGTTCAGGGAAAAGGTGCTGCGCAGCCTGCCCTCAGACAGGCAGGACCTTGTTAGGGTAGTCGACCTCGACGCAAACAGCTGGCTGTGGAAGCACGGCAACGCGGGCCACCCCGGTGTCGTTGTCAAGCCCGAAGATGGCGCCTACGTTATATACACTTCGGGCACCACTGGTCGACCGAAAGGCGTGGACGTGAGACACCAGGGCGTCACCAACACGCTTCTAGCGGAGCCCTCGAAGCTAGGCATCCGTGTGGGGAAGAACGTGGCGCAACAGTTGAACGTCGGATTCGATATGTGTAAGTCAAGTGTCTCAAACTCTATTCACTAATGGCCGAAGCTGACGCACCATTGGAAAAAACAGGCGCGTGGGAGATTCTCGGCACAATGATGAATGGTGGTACACTCCACATTAGAGGTAGCGGCAACGATCTATGGACGGACTGTTTGCAGCGCGTCGATACCGTCATCGCGACACCATCCGTCGTCCTCAAGCACATGTCCAGACGTGAAGACTTCCCCAATATCAGGACGATCGCCGTCGGTGGTGAGCCTTGCCCCTTGGCCCTCGCCGAGCAATGGGCGCCATATGTTAAGTTCTGGAACGTCTGCGGCCCAACCGAGATCAGCATCCTCAACACCGCCCACCTTCACAACCCGGGCAAGACTTTGTCTATCGGCAAGCCAAACCCCAACACCAACGTTTACGTCCTCGACGAGAATGAGAACCCCGTACCCATCGGTGAGCCTGGTGTCATGTGGGCCGGCGGTCCAGGCGTGTCTAGAGGTTACCTTAACCTGCCTGAACTGACCGCCCAGAGATACAAGCGTGACAAGTTCACAAATGACGGGTAAGCCACATCCCCAATACTACCCGTTATACCGGCCGAGAGGGAAGAAAGCCACGCTAACAGTGACTCGCAGTCGTATGATGTTTAACACTGGCGACCTGGCCCGCTGGCTTGAAGATGGCAGTCTGGAGCCCCTCGGTCGTAAGGACGACCAGGTAAAGATTTCCGGCTTCCGCGTCGAGCTCGACGGGGTGTCTCGCGCAATTGAAAAGTGCCCCGGGGTCGTCAAAGGATGCGCGCTCAAGATCGACGATCGTTTGTGGGGCTTCTACTCAGCTCCTGCGCCGATCGACGAGTCTCAACTAAAGGCCATCGTCGGCGAGGGACAACCCTTCTACGCCGTCCCGACGACCTGGAAGTACCTCCCTGTTATCGAGCTCACCCCCAATGGCAAGGTTGACAAGCGTGCCCTCCGCGACATCGCCGGCGGCGCGGCCCAAGCCCCCCTCCTATGTCAATTGCGCCCATCGACACGAGCATGTCGACACCGGAAGAGTTCTCCAGCGCCTCGTCCATCAAGACGGTCGTCAGTTCTACCAGCGAGGGCGGCCTCACGCTCGTCGACTCCCGCACATTCACCGTTATTGATTCCCACCGCGACCTCGATTTGGAGAAGACGGCTGCCTTCGTCGAAGACGAGATAGAGAAGCAGGAAGAAGAGTACAAGCTACCTTCGAAGAATGGCTTCCACGGCTGGCGATGGATTCGTCACCGCGGTCTCAACGCCTACCGCAAGCTATTTGGCGTCATCTTCCTCTCCAACCTTGCCGTCTTCGGCTTTCTCCTCTGGAACAGCCGCAACAGTAACTTCTCCTTGCCCTTGAACCATCTCGCAACTGCAGTCGCCGCGAACCTCCTCGGGGCGGTACTTCTGCGTCAGGACTACGTCGTCAACTTGATCTTCTGGCTGTGCTCCCGTGTGCCGACCTCGATGCCTCTCTCTATCCGCAGGCACTTTGCCCGCGTCTACCACAACGGCGGTGTCCACTCGGGCTGCGCCGTCTCCGCCACCGTGTGGTGGGTCATCTTCACCGGCGCCGCGACCGGCAACTTCCTGGCTCCTCGGTCGCTGTACTCCGTCGACCTGATCACCCTCGTCCTCACCTACCTCATTCTCCTCCTGCTCGTCATGATTCTCGTCATGGCGTACCCCTCCATCCGCGCAAAGATGCATGACCAGTTCGAGTGGACGCACCGCTTCGCCGGCTGGTCCGCCCTCGCCCTCGTCTGGGCCCATGTCATCGCTACCGCCGCGTCCACGTCCTCCGAGCCCCTCGGCCCGACCCTTGTCAAGACCCCTGCCCTTTATCTTGTGGCTCTCACGACCTTCAGCATCGCGCTGCCATGGATGCGCCTCCGCCGCGTCAAGGTTGTCCCAGAGCCTCTCTCTAAGCACGCCGTCCGTCTGCATTTCGACTTCTGCACCCCTGGTCCCTGCACCTCGCGCGGCGTTCGCATCACCGATCGCCCCATGGTAGAATGGCACGCTTTTGCCGCCATCCCCGAGCCCAGCGGCAAGGGTTTCTCTATTGTCGTCTCCAAGGCCGGGGACTGGACCAAGCGCATCATCGAGAACCCTCCAACCTCCATCTGGACCCGCGGCACCCCCGCCTCAGGTGTGCTGGCTGTCGCGCCGCTGTTCAAAAAGATGGTCCTCGTCGCGACGGGATCTGGTATTGGCCCCTGTCTTCCTGTTCTGATGGAGCGCCGTGTCCCGGCGCGCGTGGTTTGGTCAACTAAGAACCCGCTCAAGACCTACGGACAGGGTGTCATGGACACGATCCTGGCCGCTGACCCGGACGCGCTGATATGGGATACGGATCAGATGGGAAGGCCGAACCTGGTGCAGTTGGCGTATAATGTCTACAAGGAGAGTGGGGCTGAGTGCGTTGCCATCATTTCCAACGGTCCAACAACGGATAAGTTTGTGTACCAGATGGAGAGTCGTGGGATTCCTGCCTTTGGACCTATTTGGGATTCATGAGCGGTTCTTTTTGTTTTTTGTTTTCTTTCCACTGATATCATACCACCCTTCAATCGCTTATTTCTCTCGTATAAACTTATTACCTAGTCACTTGTCCGTTCGCATCAGGTACATGCAGTTCAGACTCTCAATAGTAGTTAGATTCATGATAGAAAGATTCACATACTTGCCTCGAGTTGTCTTGTTGCATGTGAAAACGGCTTCTGCGGAGTCCATCGGCATTGCTTATCTGCCTAAGAAACGTCACCAGCTTCGAATTTCGGGACGGTGACTTGTCTCGCTAAGAATGTTCTGTCTTGGGAAGCATCTGGCCGTTCAATTCCAACTCCATCATGATTTACCCATATTGCCTTCCGAACTGAGCAGAACAGCATCTCCTAGCATGGAATATGATCGGGATTAAATCCACGCCTGTTTGCAAAATTTTGTGATATATTCTCTTGGACGCATTGCTATTTGACGATTTTCGTCGTGGAAACGCCGTGAACGAAACGGAGTTCTGAGCTCAGATGGTCAGACAGGAGACAGTGACAGATTCCGAGAGATTAAAAATTCAGACGGTTACATGCATCAGAGTGAGACATGTCCGTCCACGCGCGGAATCTTCCGATTGCCAAACAGAGATTAGTGTTTTTGAAAGGGTCTATACCTTGAGAGCTTTGAAGTCTAGTTGTTTTCTCGGGCTACTTACCGAGTTTCAGAAACTGGGGCGTCTTGGGACGCGTCATGATGAAATCGCCAGGAATGCGCTATTCATGGCTTACGATTTCATCAATTAGTTGGGGAACTCTACGAACGCAGATGTTTGAAAGCGTGTGGCCTTTCCCTTGCTTTGGTATGACAACGGTGTCATTCATACATGTACAACAATCTGGATTAGCTTTTCTCGTTAACCTTTTTGACTGCGAGGGAAGCTTGCTTGATAGCGGGCAACCCTTATGTAGCTGTCTCCCGATACGAATACTAAACTTGCGGACACATGTCCAATTGGCTGCGGGGTCTGCTTGACTAAACAGGTGCAGACCTGATCAATTGTGTTCGCTATCGACTCCGACACCGCTGTCCAATCACAATGGGGTATAGCTCGATTTTTATACCTGCCAGAAAGAAACTCTACGCCTCATGACAAAATTGTGGGGGTGAAAGAACCTTCTGTTCGACTCTGAGTTCTGTCATTGTGGAACTATGAAAGTGAAAAGCTTTGGCATAGCATTTAGCCTTCGATAAGGCGATGGCATTAGTTCGCCTGTGTAAACAAGCAAACTCGAACACGAGCCTAAATCGAGATGTCGATGCGATACTAGTGTCTTGAATTATCAGGGTGACATCTAGTGCGGGTTCCCCGCTAAAATCTCATAGTGTACAGTGTTGGCATGGCTGCAATACCGCAGCCGCGACACGTTGCCCTTCCCAAGAGAAGAATCATTATCCTCAACTTTGCTTTTTTTTGGGCACGGAACAAACTTGTCCGAACTTTTACGCCTGTAGGATTACGTCGCCTCCGGATTGCCCCCCAGCCGACGGTTTAGCGTAATCCTCAGTCCTCATCCCATCTCGGTGCACTCAACGTTGGTGATTTTCGTGTAGCGTCCAAGCGGGTCCTTCTGACGTATATTTAAGCGTACGCAGTCTGTCGGCAGATTCAAACTTCTTGAAACAGTCCGTGGAGTGTCGGCTTGTGGCGTTCTGAGGCACTTTGTGGTTGAGAGTTTGGTTTCTCCACGGCTTCTCCCTTTCTGCCCGTCACACGTTTTGACATGTCAAGAATTAGGACGATGACAGATCACTGAACATGTATGATCCCAGGACTGAACACGGAGGTATTGGCGTGCACAGTTTTACAGAGAGTCATGGCTGTCGCCGTCAGTGTTTTAGGCCAAAATGGTCCATAGGCCAGTGCCGGCGTATTTTCGTATCATCTTGACTTGCAGCGGCCCTCCGGATTATTCTTTCTCACGTCTGCATATTCGATTTCTTCAGATCAAGCTCTCGGTCGCGTCTCTTGGATTCGTTTAGTCCAATCTCGTCTTTTGTTTGTCAAAGTCATACTTTCTTCCGGGATCAAATCCTTCATGTTGAGAGCAAGCGCCAGGAATATGTCAACGCGCTCGACGCAGATGTTGCTAAACTCGTCAAAGGTGGCCAGTACGTCGAACAATCTGTCGATTGCCGAATATGACAAGGCAGGGAACCTCAAAGCGAGGTACGTCGAGTCGACTCCCGTCGTCAGACATTCGAGAGTCGATGTTTTGGTAAGCACATTCTTGGCACGGTAGACCCCTGCTAGCTTTACCATTACTGGGCACGAATCTTAAGGCATGCATGCGATTGACACTTTCACACATAGCTCCCTACAAGAAGAAAGAAGCTTTGGCTCCGGCTTTTAGAAATATTCTTGCCAGATGGCTATCCTCATAGCGTGACTGATGATTACGCTACATACCAAATCTATGTAGGTGATAAAATGGTCGACTGACTTTAGGATCATGTCTAATGAATTGACAGGACTCTATCCAAGCGTTTGCCGGCTCAATTGCCGGCATGATATCGTCTCGTGCCGTTTGGGAAGGCAAGTTCATTGCACATCATCCCGGCTAACCCTGAAATTCTGATGGCTCATCTCAGCCAAACCACGACAATGAAAGGCTAACCTGATGATTAGGTCTCGGTGTTGGCGACTCATTAGCATCTCCAACTGGAGCCATGCTAATCCAGGTTATAAGAGAATCCACGGGAAGATTTGCAACTATTACCTTTGCCCATTTGTTTGGAACTTCAATCGAAGCGGAGTGCAAGGCGTACCGTTTGGCTGCAGATGTCCTCTGTGATGCTGCCATGGTTCTTGACTGCCTCTCACCAATCTTGCCGCGAGGCACCAGATTCCTCATTTTGTGCTTCTCAAGTCTACTTTATTCTGCTAGTGGTGTTGCTGGCAATGCATCAAAAAGCAGTCTTAGTGGCCACTTTGCCAAGTGGAACAATCTTGGCGAGCTCAACGCTGTAAGTACTAGTGGTGAAATTTTCGTGCGACATGAAGAGTAGTACTGATATCTAGCAGAAAGATGCCAGTCAAGAGACCGCTATATCTCTCATGGGCATGATCGTAAGTCAATAGTCATTCTCTCTTGAAGATATTCTCGTCATTGATTTCACTTAGGCTGGTACGTTCGTGGTATCGATGCTCACAGATCCGAAGGCCACATGGGTGGCTCTTCTCTTCTTGCTGGGAGTCCACCTTTCTCTTAACTGGAAGGGTGTCAGAGCGGTCAAATCACGCTCACTCAACAGACAACGTGCAAACATTGCTCTTTCAGCATTGTTCTCCAGGGACGAAGTCCTCACGCCCCATCTCGTTTCCGAAAGGGAGCGTATTTTTGAAAGGCGTTGGGGCGAAGTTTATCGCTGGAACTCCGGAAAAGTCCTCGGCCACTGCAAATACGGCGTGTCTTTTCAAAAACTACTCCAGAGTCTGTCTAGTGGCCACGAGAGACGGAACTCATTTCAGCTTTCCACCTTGGAACTCGTTACACTGTTGAATCTCTACGATAAAGAAGAGTACGTCCTTTGGTGTGTAGTCTCGGAGCCGGCGTACTACGACACGGCTTCCAGGATCAAGGTTATGGTTGTGCTCAAGAATGGCGTCACACCAAAATCTCAGCTGAAAGCTTGGTTCCATGGACTGCTGTTGACAAGACGGTTGAGTGGTCAGAAGGAATCCGAACTGGTACGAGCCAAACTGGATCAGAAGGTGATGTTGAGTCATGTCCAGGCGAGCCTGGAAGTTACAAACGAAAAATACGAGGAGTACACGAGAAGGCTCTCTTTCGCAGGCTGGAACCTTCAAGTCTCTGTGCTTGAAACCCGGTCAGGTTCCCGAATCATGCGAGAAACTGACGAGATGAAAAGGCACTGAGTTTAGTTTCTTGTGGGGTTGCGGGTGGGTGAAAAGGCGATCCAGATAGGTCACGTCAAACACACACCGTTAAACATGGTCCAATGTTTAAAAACATGCATTGTATAGCATGTATCCATACTCTTCCAAGCTTTGAGGCGACGTAATCTTTTAGGATGATCTTTTAGGGGCCTCCAATGATCACTGCAGCCGTTCGATTCGATAGGCTTGAGTCGTTCAGCCGGCCATTAACTACCCTGACGAGGCAGCGTGGCCGCATGAGAACAACCTTTGCGGTTTCTGCTGTAGCAGCAAAGGCTAAACCCAGAGAGATTTGGGACCGACACATGGAGAAAGAAAAGTATGGTGTAGAGCAAAAAGCACTGGCAGAAACGTAGTTCCCAGTAAAATCCGTCTGATCAGTGCAGCCCGGATGGTAACAGGTATTCTCGATTCGTTCTGTCGCCAGTGTTTGGGATTGACGATGTTTACACATCTTCCGAGTAACTCAAAATTTCTGGGTGCACAGGTTTTCCAACTGCTGTTGGAGTACAATAATGCGGAAGATTTCGCTTTCGCGTTGGGCGTTAAGGGACCTTGTGTGGTTGGATTATGCTCAGCCAATTTCGCTATCGGTAATTTGATGATCGTCTTGGCCCCGTCTGCAACGCTCATCTGTCCCGACACCCCGTTCGCCCGTCTGTGATGTCAAGAGAGCTATCCCTTGGCACTAACGCGTCAAAAGCCATTGCGGGAACCGTGCTGCGTTTCTACCACCTGTCCTAGCTCAGCCGGTGTCTTCCGGAACTCATTTGGGGAAATTTTGGATAAGAAGGGGGCTTGACAAGACCCGCTCGTATCATGCCTCGCATTCGACGAAGGGACAGTGACTCGTTGAAGCGAACCCGAGCACAGCCCAGACGACTCGCAAATGCATCCGCATTGCCATCTTGGAACGACTGATGTATGAGACACGTGAGCAAAGGATCTAATGCTGGCGCCTTGTTGGACCCTTTGCGCTCCATTAGAATTGATTGGCCGGGTTTGATACCGATTTAGTGTCTCGATGGGAGGGTGGAGACTCGATTTGATGTCCTAAGAACCTTGCGGCGCAAGCCACCGTCGCAGGATGGCGGGTGACATGGACGGATACGCAAACGCAACTTTGGGTTTATTCCACATACTTCTTGAAGTTGTACATTGGAAAGCGCACCGATAAATAGGAGCGGCCCAACCACCAAGTTGAGATGAGGAATTATCATCCAAGTTCATGTCCTCACGCTTTTGTCAAATCCGCATTCAACGATGACGAAAACCAGTGTCGCATCGCTGCACCCTACGGAGGCTCTGCCATTGCCTCGGAGCAAGTCACTTCGTCGTCAGCGTAATGAGAAGGGTCAAAACCCAGTGCAGCTCCAAGCCTTCGAATGGAACCTGCCTGCTGATCACAAGCATTGGAAGCGACTCCGACTTGCATTACCCGCACTCAAGTCCATCGGTGTTAGCAGTCTCTGGCTGCCGCCAGGCAGCAAGGCAAAAGACCCCGAGAGCAATGGTTACGACATCTACGACGCTTGGGATTTAGGCGAGTTCAACCAAAAAGGGTCGGTGCCCACAAAATGGGGTACCAAGGGAGACCTGGTTTCTTTGGCAGCAGACGCGGAGAAGAACAGCATTGCTCTTGTCTGGGATGCGATTCACAACCATCGTGCCTATGCGGATGGCACTGAGATGGTGAAGGTGGTGGAAGTAGATCCTTCCGGTATGTTGAACCTAATCGTGGCGGTAGACGTGGGAAGCTCACACAGTTTCCAGATAGACGCATAGACATTACAGACCCTTACGAGATTGAGGCGTGGACCAAATTCAATTATGAAGCTAGAGGGGGCAAGTACAGCAAGTTTAAATACAACAAATCGCATTTCAATGGCACGGATTGGAACCAAATCAACAGCAAGAGAGCGATCTACAGATACGTAGAAGACGGCAAGAACTGGCACCAAGACGTTGGTACAAGCCAAGGCAACGCTGATTATCTCATGCTGGAAAACCTCGACTACACCAATACTGACGTGGTGAGGGAGCAGCACCAGTGGGGCCGCTGGATCGTGGAGGAGCTCGGACTCAAAGGTTTTCGCGTTGACGCCGTTCAGCACATCTCGTGGAACTTCATCAACGAGTGGGCTAGTCTGCTGAAGAAGAGAAGTCGCCAAGACCTCACGTTTGTCGGGGAGTTCTGGCATGGAGATGTGCGTGTATTGACCAACTGGTTGGACCACATGCATTCCTTCTTCAGTCTTTATGACGTCCCGTTAATGTATCACATTGCGAGACTGTCGTGGCATGAAGATACTGATCTGAGGGAGGTGTTCAGAAACACACTTGTAGAGCAACGGCCTAACAGTGCAGTGGTATGTCCATCATCATTTTAGTGCCCTTGATATTGCTACGAGGTACTGACCATACTCAGACTTTTATTCGCAATCATGATACCCAGAAGGGTCAGGCCATGGATACCTCAATATGCAGCGATTTTATGCCTCTCGCCTACACGCTTCTCCTTCTCAGACGCGACGGACACCCTTGCGTCTTCTTCGGGGACCTTTACGGAATCGGACTTCCTCACCCCGAAGCTCCAGTCCAAGGTCTGCCCAATCTTCTATTGGTCCGAAAGCTTTACGCGTATGGAAAGCAAGAAGATTACTTTGAGAGACGAGACTGCATCGGATGGGTCAGACGTGGAACTGAGGATAAGCCCGATGGTCTCGTAGTCATCATGAGCTGGTCAAAAACCGCGAGCCCAGACACCCGGCTTTGCATGGAAGTTGGGCAAGAGCATGCCGGGGAGGTCTGGAGCGATGTTCTCGGACTTGAATCTGCTTCCGTCGTGATCGACAACAATGGCATTGGTCTCTTCTCCTGCAGGAGAAATAACATGGCATGTTTTGTTAGCAGTGATGCCAAGGGAAGGAAGAAGTTCCCTGCAAAGTTCAATACTGATTTCCAAAACCTACTGGAATAGCGCGATTATGTTAAGGAACCGGAGTTATAAAGGGGAAGCTATATTTAATAGTACTATAGAGTGTTCACGCTTTCTAAACGCATTTGTTTACCAGAGATAACTTTCGTAACATATAAATACCCCCGGTAAATCAAGCTTGCCGCTACTTCAAAGATCACTTCATCTTCTGTCATATGAACAACAAGAACATTAAGTTTTGATATAGAAGCATTCAATAGAACTTCGGGCACTGAATGTTTTTAACTGCATTCTTCTATAGCCTTGGATATATAGTATTTGTGTCAGGTGCAGAATGATTCTTCAATAGAATAAACTAGCCCCCACGGTGAAACCGGTTCCAGGATCTGGTAACGTCCTACAGGATTTGAAGAACGCAACATAGAATCGATTTCACGTCAGCTATATAGTGCACTTTCAAATAAAGAAAGGGAGTAAAGCTAATATTATCAATCTACCGAACTGCAACCGAGGATGAGATGCGATACGACAAAATGATTCAAGAGATATATTTATGATAAAAAAGACAATCCAGGATTTCAGTAGACGTTTCTTTTATCATTAGACTCGGTTCTTTAGTCTCATATTTGGTATAGGTATGTTGCACATGATCCGTGACTGCTCTTCAATGGCGTGAAAAACCAATATGGAATATCTAGCTAAGATTTTAGAACTATGTAGCTGGTGAGTTGACGTGTCATACTCATGGTGACAACGGTGAAACCTTTAAACTACGAACGGTTGCATCCTGACGGTACAACCTACTTTGTGTTTTCCTTAGTTGCCCACCCTTTGGTAAAAAAAAAAATTCTACAGGCATATAATTTGCTGAAGGCAATGATCGGCCTAGTTTTGCTCTTGCTGGTAGATCCATCAGTATCAACCAATGAGCGGTATGGATCATTAACCTCCAAGGGCACATCTCGTTCCGATAACCTCCGTTAGACATATACACAAGCTCGAACGCTGACTGAGATTACATGACGAGTCAGAAAAAAGCGCAGATTTGTAAGCGAAACGAGCTCTCGGTTCTTTAAAACTGTTAGCTTGTCAGCCGCCACAATTTTCTCTTCCAAAAGCTCCACTTCTGTCCGCATGTCACTCCGCAAGAAGTCCTGTTTATCCTGCGTTGCAGCCAAGCGGCGGTGTGACCGCGCACTGCCGGCATGTCAACGATGTTGCCGACAGTCACTTGCTTGTCAGTATCCTTACCCACCGGTAGCCACCACTTTTCCTCCCCAGGTGCATGATGGCTATCTACAAAGCTTGCCGCAGTTACCTGGCTTGTTCGTCGGCCAATCAAATAACGACAGTATGGCTCTGGGAGCAATGACTTTCGTCAACCATTCGCAAATTAGCGAGAGTCTCCAAGACAACAACCCGTCAGTCTCTGCACATACCGATAATGACTTTTTCAATGGGGACTGGTTCACAGGCTTCCCAGACCTATCACACCTACCTCAAGGTGACTCCCTTGAGCACCACAGTGAAAGTGATACAGTAAAGTCACTTTCGTCGCCTCGGCAAAGGTGGTTGAAGAACCCACGGATTCGGCCGCTGCAATATGCCCAGCAAGCCTATGTTGAACCAATGTCATCAGGAACCCATGGCCCGATGGATCTGCTCTCTAGAACGGTTCTTGGGCCCTGGACTAAGTTCGATGACGTAGACACATGGCGTTACTGTGCCAGCGAAATGCTTTCATACATTTCTCTGTACGCAATATCTGGAACTTCACCGATCACCGCATTCACGAATCAAGCCTCCGCCGAGCTAGACCCAATCCTTGGAAGAGCGTTGGGTGTCTGTGCAGCTCACGAAACTCTCGCCCGAACTCAAAGACATATTTTCGACCGGCTACTCGATTATGAACTTGAAGAACTTGCGGCTCTGTCTCAATCTGCTCCGATCTATGATGCTGGGTGGCCGCGACATCGATTGGAGGCTATCCTGGCAGAGACCACAGCCAGGCTCCAAGCTCTCACAATCTATCAAATCATTCGACTGTTCAGTGAAAACGCTCGAGATTTTCAAAAAGCCTCGGCGCACGAAGCGCTTTTCGCTTCATGGGCCAGGGAGCTCCAGCTTCAAGTCCAAATACTTCAAGACATCACGCCAATATGTGCAACCCCCACGCTCATAGGTCCGCTACCTGAACAGGCTGATCTGAAAGTCCTTGACGCTGCTTATCGTGCGATTATTATATCGTACACGGTACGCGCTGTTCACTCAGTTCTTAACTACAAAACGTGTGCTGTTTGGGATGATCTTTTTACATTAGTCATGCCGGCCAGCTTGTCTGGATCAACAAAATTACTGTACCCGGAGTATATTGCTCAATGGGAAAGGAGGTCAACCCCAACACTTAATGAGGATAATATGAGGCTTTGCAACTTGCTTGTGGCTGCTTGTAAAGGTGTAGCTGTTGTGCAAAGGACAACCCCATGAACCGAACTTTGTTGCTGTATACCAGGATCAATACAATTCCCATGAGATCCCCTGATGTCACTCAATATCAATTAAGCGTCCGTTATACGCTAAGTTAGGGTGATCGTATTTGCTTGGGGTAGCCAACTTGCTCCGTGGTTCCACTTGAGTCCGCACCTGTCTTACGTCACTCCGCATCCTTCTTGGTCTTTGGTGATGCATGAGACACAGTCAACCGTCACATTACCTTAAAGCATTGGCAAAATTCGGGTAGGGGTAATAAAATACTGAGCCTCGCGGCCGTCTATAAATACGGATCATGGTTCCATTCTGAACCGGAGCATCGATTAATCATTTCTGCACGCACGCATACAGATCAAATCAGGTCACAACGACCTCCTCAACATCTGAATCCTCTATCCCTAACTATGGCTTTCACTGAGATCGTCTTTCCAATTCTAGAGGCCGACGAGAACGCCAGGAAAGCGTTCTACGACAACGTCCCCGGCTTAGTGAAAGCCAACTTCAATGTCGTCGGCGGCCCAAAAGCATCGGCAGTAGCTCGCATCCTTGAAAGCACTCCAATCAACGCAGAGGGCCACTGCGGCTACCTTGCGATTTTCAGTAGGTTTGGTGGGATATTCATAATACAAACGCGCAGTCCTAATCGTTGATGATGTATGTGCATAGGCTGGGAAAGTCTTGACACGATCAAGGACTTTATGAAATCCTCTGGGTTTGCCAATTTCAAGAAGTCCCTAATGGAATTGGTTGCTGGTCCTCCAGTTTTACAGTTCTTTCAAGCACCTCCTGATGTTGCACCTGAGAAGACGCTTGAGGGTAGCACACACTTCTTCGTCATCAAGGCAATGGGCACTGAGGCCCAAATCGGCTGGGCGAAAGGGCGGTGGGATGAATTAACGGCTATGTTCTCTACAATTGCTGGAGATAAAGTTAAATATCACACTGGTCACGGGAAGGAGGTTTGCGATGGTCACTTCGCTGGATTTAGTGGTTGGAAAACAATTGCGGTAGGTTCTTCATTTGAGGATATGCCGCCCATCAATCTGGCTATGACTGCGACTGACTTCCCTCCACAGGCTCTCAATAAGACACTTGAACAAGCAGAAGTTCAAAAGCAGCTGCACAGTCTGGCTGAAGCTGGCGGAAGCATTTCCAGTTTTATCTTGGAGCTCAATCATGTCCTCTGATCGTGTAATGGACGTTGTTGATAGTACAAATTCTTCGTGTCTTTAGACTATAGGATAATCCCATCTCAACCTTTTGTAGCCATAAGCAACGATAGAACGCCTAATTACATGCACCAGTGAAACGTAGTACTTCAGCACGAATCTCATCGTTACCTATATGATTACAAATTACCGCTTGCACAGCCACTTAAACAAGATGCGTCTGGATTTGAAATACGACCATATCACCAATTTCCGTCCAAACACGTTTCATCTTGCTGCCCTAACCTTTCAGTCTCAACCATAAGCGATGACGATTGCACCCAAGATATTACGTTTATTTCAATGTAGGCTCAAAATTTATCAAGATACCACTTACGCAGTTGTGGTTTGATAGCTTCTGCTTCCAAGGTGTTTCTTAAAGCAGCTTATCAATCAGATCTTTATCACTTAGATCATGACAAAGTCGGTTGTGGACCAGCAGTTCCTGTTCACTATATCGATTGGTGAGCAATAACAACCTTGAACATCTTTTGTAGAGCTGCGCTGTATTTATTAGCCACGCATTGTGATTTTGCAAAGACTACCGGGCCATGAAACAATTTGAGCATTCGGTTTGAAGGAGAAAGTCAAAAGCACTCTTAAGCCTGGAATGCCAGAGGGCAACCCCTAGCTCTCCCTATCCTCTCACGTGTAAGATCCATGTATTCTTGTCCTTTGCATCTCTGGGATTCAGGACCAACTTCGGGAATGATATAACCATCGGGATGGAATGTTGCGCCTCCATCCCCTGGGAGATATCCCCCAAGTAGTCGAGTATAAAGAGCAGACGGTCTCCATCTCGAGTAGAAGCTCGGTTTGACGTAGTATGGATGCGCCAGGTAGTTGGGAAGATAGAATCTACCTGTCTTCTTGTCGACATCCAGAATAGTTGGGTTGGTCCACCAGCTTGGCCTCGGAAGACATAAGTACTTGAGAATAACCCGGCGTATCGCGATTAGCTTCTCAAAGACGAAGAAGTCGAGCTTACTAGGGTCGTTGTATCTGCGTCAAAGGTTTGGTCAGCTACTTCAACAATACAGGATCTGTAGCTGGATCAAAACTAGTGCTACTACTCACCCAAAGGCGTGTCGAAGTTGGGGTTCCATAAGACAACGCAGTTGCTTGAAGACGAAATCGTGCGTGAACTTCGGAAAATCCATGAGAAGAAGTTTCACGTTCGCACGGGCGAGCTTTTCGTTGGCGATAGCATAGACCATATGATGTTCTTGGTACTTTGAACACCATTTCTGAAGTGATTCAAGCCAGGCAAGAGCGTCGTTCTCTTTGTGCGTGTATGGTGCCAGACATTCGTAGGAGATGCCCATTTCGTTTCCTAAGTCTTTCCAGAAGATTGCCAGAGCATTTTTCTCGAACATAGTGAGGTCTCTCCACTCGTATAAGGCTGCCCAACGCATGGGCTCCAAAACAAAGAGACTGAGAGTGTACAACATGTCGTCGTTGGAGATCTTGCCGGCTTGTCTCCAACGGCTATGGAGGAAGTTGACGCGGGCAATGGCATCAATGTTCCGTTTCGAATCTGGGGTGTTCCACATGATCTCGAATATGAGAACCCCTGTGTCGGTTCGACGTTTCGAAGCCGTTGCATCCCCTGAAAGCTGACTTGTAGCTACCAAAAGTTTGGAAATTGATGGAATACCATATGTCTATATATACCTTAGCCAGATACTGGTGTCATTGCCCTGTCTACTGACCTTGAATAGGGCAAAAGAGATCGAAGTATAGAAAGTAGTAGGAAACTCTCTGCCTGCAAGCTCTTGCATCACCGAAGTGGCTTCTGAAAGCGACATAGACGCCATCTCTTCCCGCGTTTGGTATTGGGGATATCTACGCAAAACATCACCGCGACGACGATACCGCAGCGCCCGCACAAGGAGCAAATATGCGACTATAGAAAATGATACGGCGAAGTAATCCATGCCGAACTTATTATAGTCTGGTGAAAAATGTCATAAAATATTGGCACATGAAAATCAAGAGAGAATGAGGCCGCGTGGTCTTGGTCTTATTCTGTTTCTAGACAACACTGCGGCAGACCAACAGGAACGTCCTGTCTCCTCCATAACCAAAGCTTTATTAAGCTCTATCACTCACGTCTTTTTTAACCCCCAATGACTAGATTCCGCCCATTCATTGTGTCGGCCGCATCTCTTTGACGTCGGTCGTGCGACTCAGATTTGACACAGAATGCGGGGAAGGAGCGCCAGAAGCCAATCAACTAATTGGGCAAATTTCATGCATTAGTGCAGATCTTCCGAAATGGGGCAACCAAACCAAAAGCAGCACGCCAGCACATGCAAAACGCTAAGCCAAGGGGGTAAAATTGAACGACGCAGCGGACTTCGCCAAGCCCCTCGCTAACCATCGGACGAGTGCACTCTCGGGGGCGTCAATTGGCTCTTTCTCTTCTGGAGTCAGATGCTTCGACTCAGTCCGTTTGATTCGTAGTTTTGGAGGCGTTCTTAAAAGAGAAGAAAGGGGGGGAGGAAAAGTACACAAACATATGAAGCAGTGTCCAGCCCCTCAGGTCAAACGTAGGCTGCAAATTATTGGCTCTAGCACAGGGTCCGTCACCAAGCTAATATATTCATTTCCTCTGAGCAGCCGCCGTCCATTTCGCCCTTTGACGTCAAAATCACATGGTTGCAGAATCCAATCATTTTTCTTCCTTATAGAAGGGACCACGTTAATGCATTTTCCGCCTTGTAACGTAGAGGTCCGCCTTTCAGGTATTATTCTCACTACCTCCCAGGTCCCAAAGTCGGGGTTGGGTCATCTGTTAAGGCAGAGGAACGAAACAAGAATGCTTGATTTAGACTGAGAATATTCCATAGACAGATTCCGAGACTCGATTTGACTAACCTAGGGCATTAGATTGAATAACCGAGAGTAAGTTATAATATTCTTTTTATGACCCAATGAAGGACGAAACTAGGATTCGTTGCCATCTGTCTTTATTTTGATTACATATTGACATGTAACGAGGTGACAAATGGTGTTTAGTATGCCTAGCCCTTACTATTGAAAATAGACGACAGAAATGTTATCTCGAAGCCACTGTGCAGAGCACTGTGCAGAATGAGTTTTGCGTCGTCAAACAGAGAGGGCATCCATGCTAGCTAAGTCAGGAAACCATCCTTTACCTCAACTAATTGGCAACTCGTCGGTAATGAATTCTCACCAGGCCTTTAGAAAGCTTTTCTATACCGTTGGGAATTATGGCACGTCGTGTGTTATTTTTAGCCAGCTATTCTTACACATCACTACTGTCGCGGAATCACCATCATATGTATCCTCAGTCGAGAACTGCAGTACACTTTGGCTTGATTTTAATGCGAGTAGTCTAGCCAACCGATTGACAAGGTAATACTGTACTTAGTCATATTTATTGCATTGCCGGAGATGAAGATAACCAAGCTTCTTTATTAGCGAGCCTACCTTGCTTCTCCGTTCCCAAAATAGTCTATCCATCATTCTCCTACCTCTTTGTTATCTTTCTTGAGCCCTGATCGACTATGGAAAACCGGTGCTGCGGCCTTTTCCAACATCGTCTTTCTCCCCTGAAAGCATATTTTCGTGCACATTCTCTTTGTGTCTTAGCTTGCAGCGTAAAAGGACATTTAGCGCCCACATACTTGGTACTATCGACTGCCGGGTTGTTTCCAGCTTTGGAACTCTGATTAACAAGCACCACGCGATACAAAGCTCAAGGTGTCTCATTGCTATGTTTCATTCGGCCTGCATTATATATCTATATAGAAAGCCACCCACATGGTCTATCATGGCCTCTTATGTTGACTTTTAGTTCTTTACATGAACGATTTTGCGTGAGAAAGCGAGTAAGAGATACCCCAACAGGAGTTATGCTGCGTGGATGTCTGTATCATCTAGAGCATGTTGTTTTCGTGGGAACAATAAGCGAGTTGATAACGTATAGCCATTGGCAAGGATTGGATAGTTTCTGTCTATTTACTCGGCCCACCACCTAAAAGTGGACAGCTAGCATAGTGAGTTTGGTCTAAATATTCGCAAAGACTAACAAGCGGCGGACATAGATCAGCCGTGAGCGTCAGACTGAAGCGGACTTACTTCCGGAAAACTTCATTCAATCAATCTGAAGGTCGTGCGTTTAATCCACATTGGCCGCATCTTTACTTTTGATTCAATCACAAGCAGTGTATTTTCTAACCAAATAAGCTGGGAGATTCAGATCCACTATAGTACCATGCCGAACGAGCTAGAAGGCGGATAGACATGTACTTCGTTCAGAATCCAAACGATAATGTAACGTTCAAGTTAAATCACCGTGGTGCCCCCGTATAATGGATAAATGACTAAATCGTCCCCAATGTAGTCAACCCATGCAAAAAGGAACCTAAGCTGAATTATCCCAATGTCAAACCCTCCAAGCATACTTTCAGGTTTCCACAAACTCGGTCAAATGCAATAGGTCTTGATTGTGCGTTGATGTGGATATGTTGCGAACCCTACAGCAGGTAACCTCTACTTTCTCCCCATCTGAGCGGGCCAACACCTTCTGTGGGAAGTCAAAGAAAGCTCTTCCAGCCAGCCATTTAATTACACTGTAACAAACACAGCCATAATTAACAAGAGTCTATGTATCAGGAGGCCCAATCCTATGTGCATTAGGTAGGTAATTGTAATTGTATCGCTTGTGTTCTTTCCATAATCTATCTGAATGCCCTTCTCCGTTCCAGACAACTACACTAATACCGTTGTTTAAGCAGAGGTTTAACGTACACCTTAATTTTGAGCTAGTTGTCGCGATGCCGCTGACTTGTACGATCTTCTAAGAAGGTCGAATGTCGAGCACGCGACCCTTGTACACCTTATCCCAGTGAGAACGGGGGGAGGAAGTCATGATCCTATCCGGCTTGTGACTGAGCCATGCAAGAAACGACCATAGTTCCTGTAGACTTGAAACTCGACGACTTCGTGTTTGTACATTGCAAGATCGAATGTATGAATGTGCCTGGCCTGCATAGTTAACATAGGAAAGAGACAGTTGCCAGCAGGTTGACATTAAGAAACTTTGGCAATGCAACGAGAATACAAATGCTACTAATGATCATGCGAGTTCAAACACCGATAGATTCAAGGGCCTGAAGAGGGCCTCATTTCTTGCCTAATCAAGTACAGTCGAGACCTGGCACACTGGCTTTGCTTGGAGCCCGCCAAGGCGCATAGAATCCCCCTCTGTTTACAAAGGATGAAGTGTATCATCCACCGGGCCCATGTATTATTCCTAGTCTTAAGCATGCATGTACGCAGACAACACGTGGTCTCGGGTGATCTACATTACGTTGTACGTCCCTTGAGTGCTCGGACTACGATATTAATCAATTTTTCAAGTTGCTCTCCCTGGCAGTTCCACCGCATGGTAGACATTCACTCTGTTTCTCATGGCACGCAAGACCCCTAATGAGTAAGCCACTGTCACACATCTCACAAGTGGTTGTAATTAAATCAGAGTGCCTCGTGGTTTTCGCATGTGTGGATTGGCGTGTTTCAGAATGACTATAGGAAATGCAGTGAAATCTGTCGACCGCTCAGGCATATATAAACACAACTCGTCAGTTAACACATCAGTATACCAACTATTGGGGAGTAAAGAGTAGACTGATTGAGGCTCACAATCAGCACATGCATCCACGCATACGTGAATTTTGAAAGCCTGTACCAGTAAATGACAGCACGCGGTGTTCCTCTGTTCCGTTGAATATACTCCTCACTCTGGTCTGTGATGGAAGTGCTACCGGCCTAAAAATATAGCTGCAGGTCCTGGGGGGCGGAAGCTAGCGAGCCAGGAATAACCTCAACATCGTCGTTGACCTTGATTTTCATTGCTGAGTTCAGTAGGGTTCGCTCGCTTCTACTTTCCCCCCGTTTTTCTCCCCGTCGGAACTGTGACGTATGACACTGGAGGATCCACGGACGGTGATCGACAGTACTGGCTGCTAGCATCGTTTGTTGGGCTGACTCGTGAGGCCACAGCGCGATGGATTCCTAGCAAACGTGATAGAGATCCCCAAGCTATCGACCAAAATTAGACCCTGGTGTGCTTATCTCTGTCGCCGTTCAATCAGCTTTCTATAGGTATTGTAATGTTGCAGGTTGAAACCTAAACGGCTGAACCGGCTCGACGGTCTGGGTTATCTCTCAAACTGACGAAACCCTGCTGCGGGGGTGGGAGGCCAGTCAGCTGGATATATTTATCCACTTTTTATATGCTACTCAATCCTACATTGCGGGGGTTCATGGCTTGTGAGGGGAAAAACTGGGATTTCTGTGGGTTGCCAAACTGCCGGGAAAAGTCGGGCAGAAGCTAAAACACATGGTGCCGTGAGCCGATTACAGCCGAGGGGAAGTTCAGCGGGTTTGTGTTCGTGGCATTGTTTGAGTCCATGTTCATTTGCTGCGTAATGGTGACTCTACCGTCTCGTGGGACCAAATTTGAGCTTCTAGAATATGTAACATAGGTAGTAGGATTATTATTATGCCCATGAAAGTCCTTCCATGCTGCGTGCGGATCGATTCAAGTTTTCTGAGCATTGCTGCCTTGACATTTGCAATCTTTTAATTCTCTGGTTCCCCACATGAAGCCTGGGTTAGCCCTGTAGCGACGCTAAGAGGATTGAACGGCTCCTCTTGACAGAAAGTTTGAAAAATTCAATAGTGCAAGGTACGACTGGCTGGTTGATCTAGTCTATAAGCTAGTGTCGATGCCGAGTTACCTACAAACAAGCACCAAAACAAGCGCCTAATGGGGCCATTGAATTTCTTGGCCTGCCGCCTTGGCACCATTGGCATCGCACGACCAGATGCAGTTTCGTTAACCACCCTGCGACCTTTCAATGTGCCAAGCCGGGCAATTATTACTTGTCACCAGCCAAGAATGCGGCTTCGCCTCCGGGCCCGGTCCTGATATGACGGGAGCTAGGAACGTGCCATCAAGTGGTCAGGCACGAATGGCTTGCGGCTCGTAGGAGAAATAGTCCCGGCACGTGGTCATGTGTATCAGAGCACGTTCCCTTTAGAGTATATGTCACAGCCCAGATAAAGGGGTCCCTATATTTTTGGTAGCCAGGGTAAAAGAAAGCCCAGGCGTGGCTTGTCACGACTGAAATCTACCGAATATCACCTTGCCATGCGTGCCCATGTGCCGCTTCAAGATTTCGTTCCCTCGCCTGACGTCAGCTCACGGCTTCCAACCCGAAAAGGCTTCCCCAATCCAACCCCCAGAGAAGAAATTAGAGAAGAAATTCTAGCAGTTACCAACTCCACGCGGAGACTCCGTAAGTTTCCATGTCAGTCACGAGAACGAAGGGAGACAGGCTCGGACTGTCACCGAGAGATCCAGGACGTGATGTCCGGTGGAATTTTCGGTCAAACTACCCCCTTCTTGCGGGGCTCACACAAGCGCTATCCTGCGTTGATGTGGAGTCGCGAGTCAGATGAGAAGAAGAACGTCGCGGCCTGGTCTCCGGCATGGGCCCATTGTCACGCCTACGCGAGAGCAAAATCTGGAGCCCCAAGGGCAATCGAACTTTACGCCCGCACGCAGCGCTTCCCCCTCCCTCCCCCAGCATGTTCGGTCTCCAAGCGTGCGTTCTCCTGGGGTCTCTCCACTGGAGAAGAAGCCCGAATATGCGGACAGCATCGCTCCTACTTCGGCCGTTTTTCTCCAGTTTCTCCACCCGAACACCAGTCAAAAATTTCGGATGACGATGTTGGTGTCGAATCTAGACAAACCGGTGTCGAAAATCGGGCAAAGAATCCACAATAAACCGATACTGTCCTCGGGTTGGTCGACTTGTGTAGTCGGTCGTGTTGTTGCTGATTGACCACGTGTGCTGTGTGAAAGGGGGTTAAAAGCCTGCTTCGTCCCATTATCAATTTGCCATTAGGCTTTCTTGGCAGGTTGTCTCTTTTCTTCCGGACGATCAGAGCCGTATTCCCTCGGAACTAAGCACCAGCCTCATCAGATCTGTTGATTCTCCCTTTGGCTATTTGTTCAAACAAGGTCTTGGCTCGAGGCTGCGCAGAAACTCCCATACAATGCACGGAGTAACACTCGCCCCGAAGAGTTCGGGCAAGCACAACCCAGACAGTCAAAATGAGGCTCACATTGAGAACCTTGCGAATGCGCTTCCTGGATTGAACGAGAAAGATGCTACCGCCGTCGCCCAAGCCGGCGCTTGGGAGATTGATGCTTTCATTGACAACATGGAGCGCGAGCTTGAGGCTGCCGGTGGTCTGAAGACGGGCTTTTTTCAGCTTAAGTTCTCCGAGACCAAGTATTTCACCTGGCTTATCATCGCTTTTGCCTCAATGGGTGGTCTTCTCTCTGGTCTTGATCAATCTCTCATTTCTGGCGCCAACCTTTTTTTGCCCGCTGATTTGGGCCTCACTGTCAAACAAAACGTAATAAGGAGTCTATTCAACCCTTAAATTGCAGTAAACTAACTCTACTAGTCACTCGTTAACTCAGCAATGCCCCTGGGCGCCGTTGGTGGTGCCATCATCCTCAGTCCCTGTAATGAGTACCTTGGCAGAAAGATGTCAATCATCATTTCCTGTATCCTCTACACCATTGGAGGTGCGCTGTGCGCCGGCGCCCAAAACTTCGGTAAGTATTTCTATAGCATATGTAACTAGGATGTGCGTTTTACTGACCGCATCTCACTTCAGGTATGATTGTCTCTGCACGAGTTATCCTGGGCATGGGTGTCGGTCTCGAGGGTGGTACCGTCCCTGTCTACGTCGCCGAAACCGCCGAGCGAAGAATTCGTGGCAACGTCGTTTCTCTCTACCAACTCAATATTGCACTTGGCGAAGTCCTTGGATACGCTATCGCCGCTATGTTCATCCACGTCCCTGGCAACTGGCGCTGGATCCTCGGCTCTTCCCTCCTCTTTTCTACCATCATGTTCGCCGGCATGCTCTTCCTTCCCGAATCTCCTCGTTACCTGATGCATAAGGGTCGCACACTTGATGCCTTCAAGGTGTGGAAGCGAATTCGCGGCACTTCGACGCCCGAGGCCAGGGAGGAATTCTTCATCATGAAGGTCTCTGTTTTGGACGAGAAGCAAGTTGTCGCCGAGGGTGCCAAGAACAAGCGCTTCCCCTGGATGGACTTCTTCACCGTTCCCCGCGCCCGTCGCGCCTTGATCTACGCCAACATTATGATCCTCCTAGGCCAGCTTACCGGTGTCAACGCCATCATGTACTACATGTCCATCCTCATGCAGCAAATCGGCTTTAACGACGAGAAGGCTACCTACATGTCTCTTGTTGGTGGCGGTTCGCTGCTCATTGGTACCATTCCTGCTTGCTTCTACATGGAGAAGTTTGGCCGTCGCTTCTGGGCCAACGCTATGCTTCCTGGATTCTTCTTTGGTCTCATCATCATTGGTGTTAGCTACCAGATCCCAACCACAACAAACACGACCGGCGCCGTAGCCTGCTACCTTGTTGGTCTTGCATTGTACATGGGCTTCTTCGGATGCTATGCCTGTCTCACTTGGGTTGTTCCCTCCGAAGTTTACCCTACCTACCTTCGATCTTACGGCATGACTACTTCATCTGGTCTGCTTTTCCTGTCTTCTTTCATTGTCACCTACAACTTCTCCGCCATGCAGGAAGCTATGACGCGTACTGGTCTGACTCTCGGCTTCTACGGTGGAATTGCTATCCTTGGTTGGTTCTACCAGTAAGTTTACTACTTCGATATACTTCACACTTGATTTCATCCACTAACATTAAACTTCCAGAATTCTGTTCATGCCAGAGACGAAGGACAAGACCCTTGAGGACATTGACCTTCTCTTCCAAAAGCCGACTCGGGAGATCGTTGCCCTGAATATCAAGAACACCGTTGAAAGCTGTAGCAACTTCTTCATGGGTCGCTGGGGCAGCAGTGCTCGGCCCGCTCGGGAGCTAGAGGTTGACGAGAAGAACGACAAGGATATTGTCGCCTAAATCTGTAACATAACGATATGGCTTCGGCCAAGATACCCTGATGTAACGCCAGATATATGCATTATGAGAAGAAGAGTGCTTTCGAATAAACAAATGTACTACACTCATCAAACTGCCACCTAAAACCGCCAGTAGAACACATTTGAGTCTTGTGGTAATAGAAGATGAGGCATTTCAACCTCCTAGCCGGCTTCGACTGCGGGAACTGGCCGAACCGGTGTCGTGTAGGGGAGAGGGGGGGGCCATGATAATTTATGTTACTCAAGCCAACAACAGTTGTGAAGTAAAGTGTAAACTATTGTTGTGAGTATACAAATCTTGAAAAACCACACCAGCTTGCTACTTGCGAATGATCTAGGAGTGGAGAAATCCCCATTTTTAGCGATCGTCAAGTGGTAAGTCGCGCGAAGTGCGAAGAGACGGGTGAACTCTGTAAGAATGGTTCTCTGAACAAGTGGAAGTGGACGGATGTCAGATATGCTGCTGCCAGAGTTCAAGGTTTTGCTACAGTCTAAAAAAATATAGTACGAATGCAGCTTTGTAGTTGGAGATTACCACAAATGGTCTGTACTCTATCCAAGTTTCATCTGTACTTCACCAGACGCTTCATCATATCTTGAACCTTCTCACTCTAAACAAACTCTCTCCAACTTGTAACAAATCTTCTTTCTCATCTCAACCTAACTTCGGTAAATTCATATCTCAATCCTTCACTCAAACATCCGTTACCATGCGTCTCTTCACGATCGTCACGACCGTTTTTGCTGTCTACGTTGCTGCTGCGGCTGCTGCATCTGGCTCTCAGACTGGCATCGTGAACATAATGGAAGCCCACCAAGGCGAGTGTGGCACTAACGGAATTGCCGGCGGACACTGCGGAGAAGTATTCGATCAGCGCGACTGCACTGGCTCCCGTGTCAACCTCATTCAGCCCGATGTATGTAGCCAGTCGCTCTACTGTGCTTCCTTATTGTTCGACGACCCCTGTTTCCCTAGTTACGTAATTTCTTACAGTAACTAGTAAGATGCTAACCCGTCGTATTCGATATAGTGCTCCCAAGCTTGCAACAAGGTCACTGACAAACGTGTCGCTAGCCTCAGAGTCTCTGGCGACGGGAATGCCGCTAGCACGGTGACTTGCTACATGTACTCCGACGAGGGCTGCAATGCCGAGGTTCGCAGGTCTAATCCCGTATCTCAGTCTTGGCAGAGACAATGCTTGAACGTCGAGGGTCAGACTGTCAGGAGTTGGAAGTGTCTCAAGGGATGTTGACAATTAACCGCCGAACACACTTTCGAGAGAAACATAGTCCTTTTCGCTTGACCATAATCGTCACCAGTTCAAGTAGGTTAATTGTCGATATTTGCCCCAAAAACAATGGGAAAAAACGCAATATTGAATAGGATCTGAAGGACGGATTAATCACCTTTCTTGTTTCTCTATCATGATGTATTGTTATCCTATTGATTACGGCTTAACTTCAATCATCCCTCATGTGAGGTAACACAAACAAGGGCATACGGACCCATTCGAGCTAGATAATGAACGGCTAAGTTATATGGTGCTTCTATTCTCCATATACCTGAGTGGTGCCATAGGTACCAGCATTCTCCTTGGATACATATAGGTAGGCCAAAATCTAGGCAAAACATAGTGACTCATTCATGAGTATAGTAGAAGCGGACTTTGATTTGGGCTGGCTTACTGACGTTAATTAGCAGTCAAGGGATAGCATTGCAGTTTGGCTGGATGCCCAGTCACTACCAATTTTCGTAGCTTCTAGTAATCAGAGGCGACCGTTTTCCTTCTCTAAATCTCGTATTTCGTTGTCCATTTTCTATATATCAAAGTCGTAACCTAGTCTCTGTGAAGAAAGAGGGCTGCTTCTTGGATACCCTTCTGAAGCTTTGTATCGTTGCTTTCATGGCCACCGCTTCGCATTCTACATGCACGTGCTCAAGACCAAGGGCGATTGCCCAGAGTCTCAAAACCATCATTTTCCCCAGAATTAAGAATTTCGTGGCTTCATTTATTAAGCATAACTTTAGACTTCTTGACTACTCTTCATTCTCGGACGGAATGTTTCTCTCGCTAACGTAGGCAGCATTATACCTTGTACATAACTTTGTTACTCTTAGACAAATTACGTCGTTTTTCAGTCGCGATGTCTCTGAGAATAAGTAGAGAGGCGCTTCTCATCCGCAACTGGTGGAGTAAGTCCCAAGGGGGTTGGACGGCTCCATCCATCGAGATAGGTTTCATTTGGCCGTTCTCAAGCCACTCCCAAGGTGATCCAGGCGGAGAGGAGTGTCTGTAGGATAACCGTGAATAATCACCCTCGACTTTTAAATGCTGTGAGATTGGCGACATGCTCCCGTGAAACAATGGTACATCACCACTTGTAATACTTCTTATATCTGCGATCGTGGATGGGCGCAGTGTCGTGCTCTCAGCCTCAGAAATCATCCTTCCACGTCTATTCCATGTTCTTGCCTCATATGAAAGCTGGAACTCCATTGTCTTCATGATCCCAGAAGGCGGCGGGTCTGACATAGTTCCGCCAGTCGAGATTGTTGACCTGCTGGTAGTATTGGAATCGGTAGATGCGGACAAATCCAGCCCAAAGCTAGAGACATGTCTCAACGGAAATGCCCACGATGCCCGATGGCGCGGCGGTGGGGGCCGAGCCGGTAACTGAGGCCCCGATATTCGTGATTCATAGGAGAAGTCATCGAACCGTAATCGAGGTACCTCCTTTGAGGGTTCTTCACTCTGAAACTCATGTGTTCCGGGAAGACCTCTTGATGTCGCCATGGCTTCGTCAATCGTTTAAAGTGGTCCTTTCCGCTGAGCTGAACTTGAATATCCCTCTCATCCCTTGTTCCCAAAGAATCGTCTGACAACAGAACCAAAAGAAAAATTGTGCGCAGGCTGCCGTTATGTCGATCCGAGGCTCTGTGTTGGCCAAATAGTGCGTTGCCTACAGTTAATAGAGAGAATCAGTACTCGCACAATCTAGCTTTCCACAAAACCCCAACAAGTCTATAAGGGCAGCCCAGATGACGCACAAAGGGGGTTTTCCTGGCCGAGGAGTCGTGATGCAAAATTGACTCGAATGATGCTGCAGTATTTGCATTGGGGAAGTACAACTTAATGTATCAGTCGATACTCCTCACTAAATTGCGTCCTCTTTGCATCGCGTCATAAAGGTTACGGCCCCAGACTACAGGACTTACCTAGATGCAAAGCTCAACAAGGTTTCTAAACCCTCTTTTTTGTCAGACGCATCTCAAGCAAATGGACTGGAGATATTAGGAGAATTTGATGTGCCGCCCGCGATGCAATTCTGGATCATCGCCGTTATAGTATTATCTAGCAAGACGCTCGATTCGAAGCAATACTTCGACGCACAGGGGTTTTCGCTCAAGAGGACTTGGAAGTTGTTGCTAAGAGAATTTGAGGAATAGATACGTTATAACGAAAAATAGTACCGCCACAATAAGCGTACGAAGCGTTGAGACGAGAGCGATACTAAGAGTCGAAGTTCGACGCAGGGTTCGGAAGACAGCTTGATGGCGTTTGTAGCACTTCGACACAGAGGAAAAGCTGACAGGTCGTGGTTAGCGTACCAATTCTTTAATCACACAATATTGTCCAACTTCGAATACTGTCGCGGGTTGATCGGCGATATTTGATTCCAGTCTCAACTCCCCGGCCATATGCAAAACAAAGGCTATTTTCTTACCTTGATTCTTTACTTCCGTAGCATCGCTTCCCATTCCACGGTAACTCACAATATCTCGGAAAACAATAGATACGCTTGAAGCGTCCTGCAGAAATACGGGAATTTATCGTCGAATGTGAAGAAGCGGGTAGCGAAGGTCTTTGGGTAGTTGCTGAGGAGAACCACAACTAGTTGTAGATGCGGACAGAAGACAGTGACGGCGGGGCGACGAGATCTGATCAGATCAATGTCAACGCGAACATGCCGAAAATTTCGCTGGGGCAGATTATCACTGCTGCTGCTGGATCGACGATATCGCAGGATAACTAGGAGGAGAATCGAAGGGGACGGGGGTTCTCGAGGGTCGAACCCCGAGCTCGTAAGGAACGAAGCTTGAGTGCAGGTATTCAACATACGGACCAGAAGGGATCGGTCCGCACGCGGGGGAGTGGTACAACTTAAGGAAATACAAACAAAGTATTTGGTGTCCGGTACTTAATTAATGCGAGCTCAGGTCCGGTAACGCACACGCCACGGCCCGAGGTATTGACGTCGAGAACATGGAAACGTATCTCTCACACTAAGAATAGTCCCAGAAACGAAAGCGAGCTGTGTGCTGCTCAAGGAAATAACCGAATATGCGGACAGACGTATAAGCTTTCAAGCTGGTGCACTGAGGCGTTATGGATCTGCGTCCATCATCCTATCTTTCACGCCCTACCCGTCAAAGGTCTACCAGACTGGTCTTATTGGTTTGTGCAATCGATCACCGTCTTAAGACGGCTGTTCCGGACTAATGGGGTATGTTTGAGTTTGTATGCAAACGGAATGGTATGCATAACAAATAGGTATGAATGCACAATACACAAAAGAGCCGCCGGCGAAGTGAACAAGATCTCTAGGGCTTGGGGAAAATATGGATGATAGCATGAGTGGCACACGATTGATGGAGGCTTAGAGCCTATGGGCTGAGACATCCCTGCCAGCTTTCCAACTTGGCGGTAGTGGCTTATCACATGAGCGGAGAGAGAATGCATCATAACATTAGATTTGGATTCCAGTAATGCCGGAAACGGTAATAGACACGACCGTTTTTGACTTTAGACAATCTGGGCCTTTTCGTCTGGCCCTAGCTTTTCTCCCACAGTCTTGGACATTGAGCCAATCATTGAGCCGTCATGTAGCTCAGCCACCTCGCGCAGGACTGGCGCATCTCCAAAGGTACCAAAATAATCCAGGTCGTCCACTGTCAGCACCTCCGGCATAGGCCAGAATTGATGAAGCGCCAAATATATCAGCCCTGATACGAGACACCCCACAAACCACGACAATTGGTAAAGCCTCGTCCACCCGGCCCAGATCTCATCTGGTGCCACAGTTCGCTGAGCTAGGCCTGGAATGAACATCCAGGCGCCGAGTGTCCAAGACACGACGGCCCGGAGATTCCATCCCCTGTTGTACCAATAGATACTGCTCGGTGAGTCGCCATAAAGATCAGTGAGTTTGATGGTCCGCTTTCGGATGAGGAAATAATCGGCAAACATAATGCCCATCAGCGGGCCGAGGAACACATTGAAGCTGCCGACAACTGTCAAGAAGTTGCTCGCACTGTTGATTAATGACCATGGTTGCATGACGAAGACGAAGATGATGGTGAAGTAGCCACCACGCCTAACAGTGAACCATCGAGGCAATAAGGCGGCGAGGTCGATTCCCGCAACAACGCTGTTCGATGCAACTACCATGCCGAATTGGGAGAGCATGAATGCGATGCTAGCAAACGCTACGCCCGCCCGAGCCCCCGAGCTGTCTTCATTTCTGCGAACAGCATCCAAGAAAGCGTATGGCTGCCAGAGCAACTTCCCCTCGTTCGGATACAGAGTGACCGCGCACGACGTACAGATGATGCCAATGCAAGCGACGATGATGGTTCCCAGAGGTACCATTACAAGCTGAGCCACCACCTGGTCCCCCGGTTTACGTGCATAGCGGGTGTAGTCAGATTGAGACCACATATGCGTAGCAATGCCACCGATGTTGGCCGTAATGGCTGCAATAAATGCCCAGCCTAGATCCCCCCCTTTTGCTGGTTTAACCCCAGAGATCTTGCTTGTGTCAAGCAGGAGAGCGCCGCCGCCCTCAGCGCGTGTAGTTGACCAAATCAGGAGGATAAAAACTGTGGTCGCAACCACAGTTGATGCTACAAGAAACGGCTTGCGATAGTTCTCTGGGCTGAACCACATCAGTGGTAGGCAGAGAACAAAATACAGGACAAAGGAGACCAAGTCATAGACCTTCATTGTCCCATTTGCCAGCTCGGTATTGAGGTCGAGAAACGATGGCCAAATGCAGCTTAGCAATACTCTGAGGCATTGGCTTCCGTACCATGTGTTCGTTGCTGTCCACACAAAGGACAAGAAAACTCGGATGGCCTAGCTGCAGGTTAGTGACATCCGACCCAGGTCTTTGTCGTAGGTAATACGAAATCGAGACTCACCATTGGAAACAGATAGCCCCAAATGCCCCAGTTCTGCTTCATCCAAAGTGGAAAGCCAATGTGCCACTTTGCGCCGGGGTGACCGCCGGCTATGCAGACAAAGCCAACGAAGGTATGTGCGATGATGATAGAAAGCATAGATTGCTACCACCGCAATTAGTTTGCGCCCTCATTCGTGCTGTGTGAAAATAGCATACCCAGACGTTGAGCCCTAGGGAAATGAGTGAGGACCCTGTCGTCCATCCTCCAACATTGAAAGATCCCGTAACCATCCATAACCCTACAAAATCCCAAGGACCGTATGTGCGGCGCGAGGGAGGCAGTGGACGAGTATCTTTGTTGACATAAGTATCAACATCAGTATCGGTGTCGCGACTGACTTCAAATCGCCTTATCAGGCGGCGAACTGAAGACGGGTTCGGCATCATCATTACGAGTAGAGCGAAGGTCGTGCTCCGTGTTCTGTGTTTACTATCGGAGTTTGGTAATCAAACATTTGAGACACTATCAACGTTTAGGCCTTGCTCTTGAACAAATGAAGCTAGGAATACTGTTCTTATAAATACAGACAGGCATCTCTGGCGTCGGTATTGAGTTCTCCTGAGATAACAACTTTTCGGGTACAATACTTGTTCCGGATCCTTGGTAAATCTCATCGCACGGAGTGATGATAAGAAAACACACGTTCCTGGCGTACTAAAAGCTATTGAGATAACCGTGGGGCGGTTCCCCTTCCGTAATTCAGGTATTAGATATCCTGTAGAAACCTTGAGTTGCAGATCGTCCAATGGGAGTAGTGTTGTTTATCCGGTTGACCAGTTCTGCAGTTTACCCACCTGATAACCCATGATAAGATCTTATCCATGTGATAAGCACACTAGAGACTTCATCATCAAAGTCGTCAAAGTAGTTGAACAGTTGTTCCTGAACGGCTAAACGTGCTGTCGGGTTTGTTGAAGACCTCATTTGAAAGTTCCTCATAGTAGTTTATTCCTAATCCTTTAAATAGGTTCGAGAGATTCCGGTCACGGAACCGGCACGTTGCGTCTTTCAAATAATATCGAACAAACACGCACTATAACAGCTAATGGTCTTCGGCTCTGTTTTGGCTCGGTACAAAGCATGTTGCAGCCTGTGGTTGCCTCTGACTCCGGGACTCGAAGTGTTACTTTACATAACGGAACGGTTTTTAGCTTCAACTCAAACATTGCCACAACTCTGGAAAGTATTCCTATCATCGATGCATCGGGAATCTGGAGTGAGGACCCCCGCGACCGCAAGGCCGTAGCGGAGCAGATCCGAGAGGCATCGAGAAATATTGGCTTTTTCTACTTGACCAATCATGTAGGTTCACAGAAATTAGATGCATAATGGAGTCAGCAGGAGACTAAGCAACTCCAGGGCGTCGACCAAAAGTTTGCCGACAAGACCATGGCTGAAGCCCAGCGCTTTTTTGCCTTGCCAGAAGAGAGAAAAATGGAAGTTTTCACAGGTCGTGTCCCCAATGAGTACGTTGGCTTTCACCCGATGGAATGCTACAACCGCAATGGTTGGAAACACCAAGGTAGGCAGATGGCAAACTTTTTCTCTAGCTCCATTACCCTGACAGTCACCAGATCTGAGTGAAGCCTTCAACTGGGCATATGATGCTCATGAAGACCCGGAAGCCATTGACAAGACTGAAGCATCTGTCAGCATTTGGCCATCGGATTTACCCGGCTTTAAGGAGAACCTCTATGCCTACCACAGGGAACTTCTCCGACTGTCTCGCCGACTGACTCGCATCTTCGCATTGGCTCTTCACTTGCCAGAGAATTTCTTTGATGAATACATCAAGCGGCCAGAGGCGGGAATGCGTATTCTGCACTATCCAGAACAGAAGCACTCGATAGATGAGCAGAACGGTATCGGCGCACACACCGATGTTGAGTGCTTTACTATTGTAACCCAGGATGCGGCAGCTGGCCTTGAAGTTCTCAGCAAGACAGGAAATTGGATCAGGGCAGAGCCCATCCCGGGCTCATTCGTCGTCAACATTGCCGATTGCTTCATGAGACAGACGAATGACTTTTTTGCGTCAACGATCCACCGGGTAATCAACAAAAGTGGGAAGAAGAGATACTCGGCTCCGTTTTTCTTTGGCTTCGACAGGGCAAAGGTGCTTGAGCCTGTGCCTACATGCGTGAGCGACGATAACCCGATGAAGTATCCTATTATGACCGGAGGACAATACTATGCTTGGCGGACAAACAAACAGAAGAACACAAATACTCGGAACTCTAAAGTAGATGAGTAGTGCTGGCTCATAATGAAATCTTCGGCAGCCGGCTGCCACTGTTTAATGTTTTCCAGTGTCCTTGACCACTTTCATTGTATCCCATAAGGCCACGTGAAACAACCCATTAAGCTGGTGAAAAAGATATCCCCTTCGTTACCAGACTCATGGAAGGCCGCGTTCAGGTACGGAGACAATGCATGGCTTCCGCTGTCGTTTGCAATTCGATCCGAATGAAATAAGTGAGCCTCCAAATCCGTGAATCGTGTCATCAGCCGTTCCTTCGCAGTTGCAGTAGCGATGTTGTATTCTTCGAGACGACTGAGGAACTGTATCATTGATAGAACGACAGCTTTAAACATGCTATACTCAGGTTCTAGAAGTCTGTTTTTTGCTGCGACGCTGACGAGCATGTGACCAACACCGGCCAGTTGCTGGACAAGTGGCGAGCCAACAGCGCGTATGTATTCGATGGGGATGGATTCCATAGTTTTCATCATGTCGCCAGCGGTATGACATGCCGCTCCAAGATCATTCTCGCCTGATATAAATGAGATCATTCGCGCCAGGTGTATCGTGCAAAGAATGTTGGAAGCTTGAAAACCACATCGATTCCTTCCATTATCGGAAGATCGAGTTGTTGCAACGCCAAACTGAGGAACCAGTTTAGCTTGAATTTGCGATAATGTTTTGGAAATAGTTGCTGTCGCGGTCTTGGTATGGATCCCCTGGAGAATCGATTTGCGATCCCGGGTTTTTGCCCTGAACTCAGTGATAGCATGCTCAAGGACTCGATATAAGTCGGTTGTCAAGTTCCATCCGTCGAACCAATTTTCAAACTTTCCATCTCGACCAGGGATAAAGGCAGGGTGATGTAAACCATGGGGATATCCGACATCAGAATTTGCCTCGGGGCACCTAACGAGACTTCCCAATACACAGGATGTGTGCACTTCAAGCCGGTACATGGCCCACCAAAGACGTCTTCTGACCTCTCTGTCGCATTCAGAGGTTTCGGCTGGCCACCTTGACTCCTCGTGTAAGCCGTAACGGGCGCATAATCCATGATACAAACCTAAATACTTGTGTACGATCGCATTGTTTCCCTCTTGTGCTCCAAAAAGTGCTAGAAAACCATATGATCGAACAACGTTGATCTCCGAATCATCGAAATCGACAGGGACAAGACGTATGGCTTCCCTGAAATAGTCTTGAGCAAGGTTTGCGGTATTTTCAGGAGCCATGTCGTCAGTGAACAGTGCGCGTTTTCCGACGTGCTGAGCGCTCAATGCGCACATGGATATGAGACTCATGTGGTCGAAAGCATTACCCGGAAAAGATCCTTCTCGCCAGCCGACCCAGATCTCTCTTTCACAGAAGAGCGGAAATCTGCACGTTTACGTCAGTGAAATTCTCGTGGAAAAGATCGGTATGTCTCACGTTGGATGAATACTATCTAGATAAACATCTAGAAGAGTGGTAACAACCTTGCGGTTTTCCAAGTGTGGGATTCCAGTTGAGTTCATGCTAGCCAAAGTCCGTCCAACTGATCCTCGAGGTTTTGTCCCACGCTTCTTCGGCTGACGATTATGCGTGCACTCTTGACCGTACTCTGCGCAAGTCAAGCAATGTCTCTTCTCCTTCTCGCCGGGACTCTTGGGGGCGACTCGACATTTTACACCGCGTTTGTGGCAAAAGTCACATGCCTGAGTGACACGTCTCGATTTCGGCTTTAGTACTAAATGGTCCATGGCTGTGTGCACATGCGATATCCTAGAGAAGAAAGGCAGTGAAGTCACACTCCCACCTATGGACTTGGATGCAGGATACTCAGGACCGACAGACAGCATCAATCTCAGTTATGATGACCAGTCGGACGTCGAAAAGGGAGGAAGACTTGAGGTAGTCGTCCTGAGGGAAGATGACTCTCCTTTGAAGGTTACAAAAGATAACAGCTGTGGATCCTCCAGATATGTATCTAACTTGCGATTCGTGATCTGACATGCATCCCCACAAGTCGCGGTGACTGAAGTCGATTCTTGAGGCACTAGCAGCGCAGGAAGATAAGACTTGGGTGATTATGAGTAAGCTAACTGCAGCTTTTACTGCAAATGAGTCGCTGGAGTAAACCAGACCATCTCGAGAGACTAGGTTTCGCGCCCGTCCTAGACTCGACTATCTTGCACAGACAACTCCTCTCTTTTCTGATTTTGAGTCTATACAGCGCTCATGATTCATAGAATTCATCACAGTCAGAATGTCTACACAGTCTTCGTTCCAATTTTTTGAAAACAGATGAATAAGTTCCACGTAACAAATGCGTGTTGTGGCGCGGATTGACCCTATGAAACGCGACTGCTCATAAAATTTCCGTTTTCTAGAGAGTCTGTAATGAAGTTGATGATTGATACTATTAACAATAGTCATATTGCTTCAGTCATTCCTTATGCACAAGGTACCAGGTGATTGATGTTGTAATATATAGGGATTGGACTAACTTTATTGAATTACTTGATCGGAAGTCCTCTGTAAAAGGTGAGCAGCCTTCTTTCTATATATGTACAGTAGTAGGGAGGTCGGGTACTCCCTTTCCCAGCTGGAATCGCCTTGGTTCAACATTTGATTTGTATCGCTCTGCCCTAGAGTAGGCCAGTAAGCTGTGTCAAAACATAAATCAACGCTGACTTAGTATCGTGTTGCTCATCGCAATCTCAAAATACACGGTTCTAAGGCCCAAACTTCCATAGCAAAAACCTTGACAGCAAGGAACAATAAACATCCCTCGGCCGGCTCGAGCCGTCGCCAGGATCTCGATCACAGAGACGTGTCGGGCTTCCGGTCGGCGCGGTGGGACTTAGTGGAGCCAATCCCGCTAATTCAGCTGTTGCTGGCCTTGCCGGAATATGAACCCGCCATGCGTTGATCCGTGCTTGAATATACTTGATACATGATGAGTTCAAGGTTGCATCACTGATCGAGGCGATTAGACTAATCAACTTTCCTCTGTTAGCAAACGGAACTAAACAAACCCGTTTAGAGAGCAGCACATGCAGGCCTTTGGGTCTCCAGAAGCTACATTAACAATAGCAAAACTCCTCCAATTGATCATCCCAACAGTTGAACTTTCTGCCTGGGCGCAACCAACAATCAAGAGATGTGTCCCACTGGACATCCAAGATGTTTAATCGGATTCCTCGCCCTAAGTTTCAACTTGCCTCCGCACCACAAATATGTCCATCATGTCTGTGATTAGTCCACTTTTATGACAGTATGAGGCGGCAAGATCCACCGAACTACCTTTATTGACGTAAGAAACATTGGGCGCTGTGACGCCAGCATTGCGAACAACACCATACAATGAACACCGTGAACCATGACGTTTGAGAATGGACAAAAAACTGGGAACAGATAGATTGCATTTCAGACCTATAAGTTAATTGTTGGACATCAAGGTCGAAACTGCTTGCCGTCAACAACCAGACAATCTACAAAGACGTTACCACATTTGGATTAAACTTTCGAAACCAATCATATCTTACCTCAATCAACACCAGTTCGCCTCATCAAACACTCTTATTGTTGAATGGATTCTCTCTTCCTGAGAGAACCCGTTTGTACGATCGTACTCGGGTTAAAGTTAGGGTGAACCAAAGATGTATTTTCCGTGATTATCTTCCTAACTACAAGACTTGGCTTTCGTACACAAGATATATGATCTCGTACGTCCCTGAGTCAGTTCGGCATGAATATACTTTTGATCCCCTCAATGGATAACCGAGGGCCGAATATCCAGTCTGTGCCCTCTGCCATGATGTGTGTCCCTGAGTCGTGCGTGTCGTACAACCAGCTGGTGCTGTTATTCCAACACTCACAACTTTTCTTTTGTGACTGCACGACTCCCTGCGGTGTCCAATCAGGTTGCGCTGATTGTGACATCAATAACCTCATCGTACAACCCTGTGGGTTAGGCCACTTGCGTTGTACGATAAATCACCAATATCAAAACTCCAGGCAACTGTCCATTTCCTTCTTGCCTGGTTGAGCAGGCAAGTCACGTGTTGGTGAAGTTCCTTCCTTCCTCGTTGACTTCACTTCTGCTCCTGCTGTTGACGTACCTTCCTTCCTTCGTACGGCAACCTTAGCTATTTAAACCCCTTCTCACTTGTTTTTTTCTTTTCCTCTTTTTCTTTTCTTCTTCACCCTTCGCACGCGTCGTTTTCCCATACAATCGATCAACGACGATCTTTCCCCTTCTTCCTCAATCAACTCCAACAACAACTACTTGTACGTAGGATTTCCTCTCATACGTTTCCTCTTACTGATTCATCAATAGCACCTCGCACGATCAATCCATCATGTCTCTCGCTGCCCCCGGTGGTTCGATCTTCGGCAACATCGGTATGCATACCGATGCGTCCGGTGGTCGTTGGCTTCGTCTTCCGACTGGCAACGCCAACAATCGCGCTCTTCTGTTGGCTCTGGCCATCAACGTACGTTGCTTTTGTCCTTACCTTGTCTTCGTACGTTAACCTTGACTGCAGGATGAGGAGCGTCTCATCATCAACATGCCGTCGCGCGATATCGAGATCCGCGTCACTAGCAACACTTCTGTCCAGCAGTTTGTTGCCAGCATCATCCGCCGCCAGGGCTACTTCCTTGCGGTCTTGGTTCAGTCTCGTGGTCGTGCGGCCATTGCCTGTGGCAATAAATGCGCGACTACTGACTCCCCGCGCTTCCGCCAGTGCACCCGCATTCCCACCTTTCAGGGTGGCGCCTGCGCCGAGTGCGTCTAGCAGTCGCACGGCGCTCGCTGCACCCACCGCGGTCGAGATGTTGATTCGTCCGACAACCCGGGCGATGATGATGACGATGATGACAACGGCGGCCCCAGCAACTACAAGGCTCCCAACGTCACTAATGCTCGTGAGCCTCGTACGCCTGGCAGCAAGCTTGGCAAGAACATCGGCAAGGGCGGTCGCTTCCTTGGCACTTCTGCCAGCCCCATGGTTATCGACAAGGAG